CAAAAGTTAAAACCTTTGTTTCCTTGACTATTATTATACTTTTTTGTTAAAATTTTCATATTTACCAGGTGAGATATAATTGCGCATGAACAGTTTCGGGTGGTCAGTTTCGCTAGATACAGCCTTTTGAGTGATTTTGTAGTGATTAATAAATTCACTTTTTGTGGTAGATGATATATAAATATTCTTTTGGATTGTTTAGTCTTGGAGAAGATATAATAACAAGGCGAGATGTAGATGACGAAAAAAAACAACTAGAAATTAGCCAGGAAACAACTTGGTACCACGAAGGTCCGGAATCACTGCGAATATCTCGGTTATGGATAGCCGAATATTCTTTACCGAGAGCGAAAGCACGGTTGGAAGAAGCACGGTTGATGCGAGATCTACCCAATGCAGCTAGAACTGCTAAAAGACAGGAGATACAAAAGAAAATACAAAATTTAGCCATACATAGCAGCCAAATAGGAGATACGCGACCAATTTCTTCTTGCATGTTCAGTCCCAACTCTCAACTATTGGCAACAGGATCTTGGTAACCTACTCAGTGTGTATTACCAACATAGAACTGTCTTTTTAGGACTGGATTATGTAAAGTGTGGAGTATACCAAATTGCGAATTAAAACAAACTTTAAAGGGCCACAATTCTAACGTGGGTGCAATTATATTTCATCCAAAGGCAACAATAAGTCAAGAAGAAAACGTTTGCAACATGGTGTCCTGCGCTTTTGATGGTTCTGTAAAACTATGGGATTTCAAAAGGCATACTTAGTCGTTTACTCATTTAATTAGGCACTAATTTTTATTTGCAGTGAAGAACCAATAGCAGATATTGAAGGTCACATGCCGTATCGTGTTTCTAAGATGGGTTTTCACCCATCGGGACGATTTCTAGGCACGTGTTGTTATGACTGCTCATGGCGGCTATGGGATTTACACCAATGCACAGAAGTGTTGCATCAAGAAGGCCATGGGAAACCAGTACACTGTATTAGTTTCCAAATAGATGGTTCGGTTTGTGCTACAGGGTAATGCAATTACCTAATACATTTTTGAGCTTATATTAATATCTCGGTTGCAGAAGTTTGGATGCATTTGGAAGAGTTTGGGACTTACGAACAGGGCGATGCATTATGTTCATGGAGGGTCACTTGAAAGGAATTATGGGGATAGATTTTGCACTTAATGGCTACCAATTGGCAACATCTAGTGAAGATAATACATGCAAGATATGGGACTTGAGAAAACGTTCAGCTGTTTATACCATTCCTGCGCATACTAATTTAGTATCGGACATTAAATATCAAAAGGAGGGAGATTTTTTGGTCACCGCGTCATTCGACACTACTGTAAAGTTGTGGACAAATCGTACGTGGCAACCCTTAAAGACTTTGTCTGGGCATGATGGGAAAGTTATGTGCGCAGATATGTCTCCAGATAATCAATTTATTGTCAGTGCTTCTTATGATAGGACATTTAAGTTATGGACTGCAGAAGATAAATGTGACAATTTGTAATGGGTACATGTTTGTAACATTACGAATAAATGTGGTTCTTAAGAATTATAATTTTATCATACAGCTTGAAACATTGGAATGTTCTTTTCAAACGTTTAAAGGAAAAGTAAATAAATAGAGCTACTATATCTTCAAGAGTTTGTCAGTGCTAGAGTGCTATCTTCAACTTGAAGAAGTTGATGGACAATTTAGATTTATAATAATAATAATAATAGTCGTTTATTGAGTTGCCGTTTACAAGTTTATGATAGTAACTAAAAAATAATTTATGTGACAACCCAAAAGGGCGAAGTTCAGATTGGTACGGCATCCATACCATCTGCTCTCCCACTTAACCCTTTTAAAATAAATTGTTAAATCATTTATGGCAGCTAAGACATATTGGAGAAACACGTAAAAGAACAAAAAACGCCATTAATTTATTGATTCTGCAGTAAAGACTTGTAAAAGAGCCTCTTAAATGACGGTGTGTCACAAGATTTTAAAGCCGGACTGACGGAATTATAAATTTTGCAGATGTTATAACTGAATGAACGTTGCTATAGAGCAGTTTTATGAATCGGTACCGTTAGAATATTCTTTGATCTAATGTTGATACGATGGACATCCGTTCTAAGAGTTACCTACTTTATTAAATAGGTAAGATGGCTTTTGATAAGCAATTAGGCGATGATATACACAAGCAGAATGTAACAACCTTCGATCAGACATACTTAACCATTTTAATTCTTTTAACTTGTGACTAATGTGATCCCGTCTCCTTAATCCAAAAATTAAGCGAAGACAGGAATTTTGCATGCGCTGAATTCGTTTTATGTCTATTGAGTCCAGACACGGGCCATACACACTGTCGCAATAGTTGAAATGAGATAAAACAAGAGATTCGCAAAGCATGACTTTAATACCATGATTTAAACTGTCTATGATTAAATATCGTTTTCAGATTCATATATGCCTTCCGAAGAAGTTCCGATACATATCTTTTAAAACGAAACTTTGTATCTAATATTACACCAAGGTTTTTGACATGATCAGAGATCGGAAGCACTGTGCCCTTTATTTTTACCTTAATTAAGTTGATATTTTCATGATGCGCTTTACCTGCGCCAAACAACATTACAGAACATTTATTAGTGTTTATCTTTAGGCTATGGTTTTCGGAAAGTGTTACAAGTTGCTCTAAATCTGCATTAATTTCCGTATTCGCTATGTCAATATTAGTTAAAGGGAATGAATATATTAATTGTGTGTCATCAGCATACATATGGTATGTACAGTATTTTAAACATTTCACTATTTGACTAGAATAAATAACATACAGTAATGGACCTAAAAATACAGTAATCGGACCTAACATACAGTAATGGACCTAATTATACTCTCAGTTCGGTCGATTGGTATGCTCTACTCTAAATACACTACAATAACAGGGTAACCTAAGCAAGACTTTATCAAAATGATTTTTACTTAAATCTCCCTTAAGTTTTTTCCAAATTTGAATGTAAATATGCTTTATCAATAGAGAGTAAAATTCCACCAAAATCTGAACAAAACCTTTGAATATAAAATTTATATTCAAAGACAAAACTAAAGAAGTTAATTAACGTCAAAACGGGTTCCAAATAAATTCCCACCGTGTAATGCGCGAATGGTGTATATGAATATGGTGAATCACTGGTTTCCTATCGAGTAAAGAGCTGTTTACACACAACATTTTGTCGTACGATTTATCTGCGAGAAAACGTTTTGAAAAGAGATTGTTGCTTGAATTGTTTTGCTGTAGAACCGTGGTTGCGGTTCCTGATTCAGTATTTAGGAATGTGTGTTGTGGTCATTTCTTAAAATTTGTTTAAATTAAAAAAGAAATCAAAAACTCTTCAGAACTAATGTCTTCCATTGTATTTAGGATTAAACTACACGAAATGACTGCCAAATCTTACCGAGGGCGACTGAATAGTGTGCGTTACCGTGAACAATTGCCAGTCGGCAACGACCGTCGCCCTGATGGAACCGAATTGACAAGTGTACGACAACCTTAATCGTACTATAAAATGTGTGTAAACGGCGCTTAACTACATGGCTTTACAAACTGGGTTATGTTAACCTGATGTTAACTATTTCATTCTACGAGTAAAATTTCATTACATATATTCACCATGCGATTAGGTAAATTTACCTAAACAGCTATAAGTGTAGTAATTTAGAAATCATTTAATTTCAATCAATGTTGATAAAATTTATACTCTTTTGATGTAAATTGCTAATTAACGGCCGGAAGCTCTCGATTTGCGTACCTATAGGTAAATGAAACTAATTAAAACAATAGAAAAAATTATCGCTTATATACCTTAGTACATATGTAATTTTTAGTTTCACTTTCAATTTAGAAGATCATTACATAACGTTTGATAATTATATTCACATTTCATTAATATTGTAATTAGAGTATAACTAATACAAATTAAAACGTTCAATTTCAGAAAATACTGAAAGAAAAATACCATAAACCATACCAATTTATCAAGTATCCGGCAGATGTTTCCCATTTTAATTAGTTACTTCAAATTTCCATGTTCACTTTCTAAATGCTCATCGTGATGTGTGCGTATTTCCGTATATCGCATCACATTTTTGTTTGAAATAACAATTTTGGGATGTAGCAGATATTTCTAAATTTAAATGGTGCGTGCGCGCTACTTTTGTAATTTGAATTGGTGATAGTATATCTACCTAACTGTAATGATTCTTGGGCAGTTTCGCATCGATGAATTACTTGAGTAACCTGATGAGCCATATTTTGTTGTAGAATCACAATTTTTGTTCACATACGGATTAGAAAAGACTAAAGGGATGATTTTGTGATCCGAATCTAAACTGTGGTTTCTATTTTAATGACGACATAGTGCGCATGTTCTACTACTAGATAGCTAGATCAATTTTAAAAGTAAACTAGGTACCTATACGACGGAGGATCTTGGATTGGGAAAGTTTGATAAGCGAACAATGCAAAGATAAAATGATAAGTCTTTGTATACAAATACGTATTGGAATACCTAAACAAATAATTATTCTGAATCATAAATTGCTGGTAGCCCAAATCCCGAAATTCAGTTCGGTGCAGTACCAAATTACAACAAATATGTAGGTACCTATTAATTAATTATGATGTATTCATAAAAATTAAAATGTTTAATTAATGCGAATGGTTACAATATAATACTCGCTTCCGGGTGAAATTGAAAGTACCTAATACATGAATGAAGCGTTTCGGTGTACCTACTTTCCAAGAGATAGATCTTTAAATCCCCGTTGAAGATAACTTTCATTTTCTGAGTTTCATTAATTCTAACAGTTTTATTTGAGGGTTGTATTGACATCAAGGTGCATGTACACAAAGATCACGGAAATATTAATCACAAGGTTCATATAAAACTCACTTGAACGCACGCTTTTAGACCATAAATAGACTGTGTTTGTTCTTATTTTCTTGGCGTACTGCCGGCCTTTATTCCTTATATGTGTTGTAGTTTAAGGTGAACTTAAATTACACATTTTACATAAAGTTAACAGTGACCCTCACTATCGCTTAATCATCGGACTCACCTAGATTACTGTTTTCCTTTGCATCATTACACCTTCCGACAACCCTAGTCACAGCCCTTCCTGCTAAACTTGTACAGATTATCATCGAAATCATTCTTGGATCGGGCTCTTCGTCATTTTGATTTGTAATATCATTTCCAAATTGCGAGGGTGGTCGCATCTTGCGTTAATTAGAATATATACACTCAAACTAAACCCAACGAACAAAAACAATCGAATGCACCTTTGGTTTCAATTTTGAGCGCGCGAATATCAAATGATTATTTTAAAACATACAATCTTTTTATATCTGCGCTGATTGTTTACCTCCTACTATATACACACGGCGCGCAACTGCAACGCGCGCGGCGTGATCACTTTGAACAACAGCGGAAATTGAATTATTGTTAAGTGATTTACTTTGCAAAACGCATGCACGCGTGCACAAGTCATTAATCTTGTTATGCACAGAGACAGGAAAATTTATACATATTTTTTGAAAATCACTTCTTAAAAGTCTTAGACACATTTCTTCCGTTCGCAAGGTCAAACAAATGACACTCTTTGTTAGAGGTGTATCCCAGGTGAACGTAAGAGCAACGTCCAAACCATCTCAAAATAGGTACCGCAAAAGTTTCGAGAAAATATTGGCGCGGTTATTAGCCGTTTTTCTTTCTTAATATCTAAAAACAGCAGATTCGCTTTGTTCGTTTGGAACGGATAATAACAAATTTACGTATTCGGTTAGCGGTAAGGCCATGTGCAGACGTAAAGTGGTATTTTTAGACCGAGTTTGGATTTTAGCCAAAGTATTCTACGAAAAAGTTTCATTAGGGTCAACTAAACTCTTTCCACCTTTAGACTTAATGCGCATTTTGCAAATGGAATTTCCCTTGATTCGCAAAATACTTTTCTTTGTCCCGTGCTAAAAATGACCGCTTATGATTTTTTGCGAGCGTAATTTGTAAAAATATTTTTACACGTGGTATTAGCATAAACAAACGGTAAATTGTTATAGTAAGTGGACCCATTTAGTTTTCGGAACTGACGACGCATGACAAATTTGTAGTCTCCATTGCGGGTACAATGAGACTCTATGGAATCAGAAGTAAGTAATTTATTTAAAGCAAGGTATTGACCTTTTTTCTAATTTCTTTAAATATCTACCTATTAGGTAATACCCATACGTACGCAGTTCAGCAAATATACAAAAACACGTGTTCTTTTTCTCAAAATTTGTAAACAGTAAAAATTGGTCACAAATGTAGCGGGTACTCTGCAAGTTGGTAGCACTACTAGAAATTGTAAACAAGTTAAAAAGTAATCGTAAACGATTTACATAAAGCGCATTTCCACTTGCATTCATTTCCCATTTGTAAGATGCAACTTCTGTTAAAATCGTAGAAATCCGGCCACAAATATGAAAGATAGCATTGCACATGGGCAATCCATTGTCGACGTGCTACTTCAATTTCAGTTTATGAGAAGAATTTCATTTCAATGCTTTTCTAAATAAGAAAGTTGGAACTGCGCATGCGCAAACCTCAATTTTAAAACTAATGTTAGATTTTCCTTTCTTCCAAGCGCCTAAGTACCAAATTTCACTTAAATAGTTCCATAGATAAAAAAGTTGGCACGGCGCATGCGCAAAATAAAATTTTGAAACTGGCGCTAGATTTTCCTTTATTCCAAGTGCCTATGTATCACATTTCATTTAAATTCTTCCATAAATAAAAAGTTGGCACTGCGCATGCGCAAAACCAAATTTTGAAATTGGCGTTTGATTTTCCTTTATACCAAGTGCCTATGTATCAAATTTCGTTTAAATTCTTCCATAAATAAAAAAGTTGGCACTGCGCATAACCAAATTTTGAAATTGGCGTTTGATTTTCTTTTATCCCAAGTGCCTATGTATCAAATTTCGTTTAAATTCTTCCATAAATAAAAAAGTTGGCACTGCGGATGCGCAAAACCAAATTTTGAAATTGGCGTTTGATTTTCCTTTATTCGAAGTGCTTCTGTATCAAATTTCGTTTAAATTCTTCCATAAATAAAAAACTTGGCACTGCGCATGCGCAAAACCAAATTTTGAAATTGGCTTTTGATTTTCTTTTATCCCAAGTGCCTATGTATCAAATTTCGTTTAAATTCTTCCATAAATAAAAAAGTTGGCACTGCGCATGCGCAAAACCAAATTTTGAAATTGGCGTTTAATTTTCCTTTATTCCAAGTGCCTATGTATCAAATTTCATTCAAATACTTTTATAAGTAAAAAAGTTTGCAATTCGGTTTATAAATGGTCGAGATGCGAAAAAGGGCACTGTGAATTTTGAATCGATTCGATTCAACTTTTGGCATTGCGTATTATATGGTTAAAGCTATGCCCATATTGAATTTCATGCAATTCAGTTCATAACTAACGGAGATGTAAAAGCGATCGAACATTTCTAAACAAAGTTATCGTTCACACGGACAGATAGATGGACAGACAGACAAGGGAACAGACGGACAGACCAACAGGCAGACGACAGATAGCAATGCAAAATTATAAACGATCTCTAGGATCGTTAATAAACGGCAAAAGTGTAAAATTATGGAACATGTAAAAAACGGTTTTTTGTTTTTTTTACAATAACTTTTTTTGTAAGCGGTACAGAAAAAATTCCTTCCTTGGTACAAGACTCGACACCATAACGAACCAAATAGCGAAAAAAGTAGAACAATAGCTCTTAAGATAAAAAAACTAGTAGCGTCGCAAAGTTAGCGGACGGACGGACGGACGGACAAAGTGGCCACAATAGCGCATTTTTTTAAATTTTTGTGGAAATGCGCTAAAAATGTTTGAAAGTTGAAATAGCTACTTTCTTGTTTTGCTATGGATGTTACTGCCACCCAGTGGAAAGTCAGCTGTGGTATATGCTTCCACGCTGACAACATCCTCGTGTGGTAACTGTGGAAGTAAGGACGAAACCAATCTGTTCTTTTAGTCCAAAACGTAGTGAGATCAGACTCTGTTCAAAATTCAGGATTAAATATCTGTTTACATAAACTTTCATTTGCCCGCATGAGGGGTAGTGATACCAGCAAGTGCTTAGTGTGTTGAGAAGTCACCCTCGGTCTATACTGGCCAGGACCAAGCCAAACATGTGTTCAAAGCAAAATGAAACGAATCCATCCCGAAAGGGCGGCAAATTAAACTTTTACAATTTAATGTCGATAGTTCAGTTTTCTATGCAAAATGGTTACGAATTCACTCAATTTTTAGAAATTTTGTATATTCAGTTCTAAATTACAGCCGAGAACAATTTTTCTTCAGTTTTTTTAATGAGGTGATCATTTTTAAAATGAACATGTACAGAATCACAAGATCATAGGAGAAAAATGGCATTTCCAATTCAGCTGGACAAAAATGAGTCGGAAACGCTCCTGTTTGCGCATACAACAAGGTTGGCTAGTCCAGTCATTCTATGCCAAAAAACGGCACATAGAACTCGTGTAGTTGCAATTCTTTCTAGAATATGGGTGGTTCAAGGTCCTATGATAATTGTGTAATAATGTCCCGAGCAATTTCGATGCCGCCGAGGAGAGGGGAGGGGGTTGAAGCTACAGTTTTGCGATTTTTCGGCTATATCTCGAAAATTATGGGTCGTAGGGAAAACATTTCTTATCAAAATCGAAAGTTCATAACATTTTCTACAACTTCGTTTCTATACATCTTTTCCAAAACACGCATCTTTTTTCAGCTCTCGAAGGTGAGCAATTTAAAAAATCTCTGATTTTAACGTACAAGTGGATGGTTTTAGGGAATTACGTTACCTTCAAGAATCATTGACGGCGACCATCATTGACAAGGACAGGAATTTTTCTTTCATTTTTTCTCGGGAACGATATATTATAGCATTTGAAGTTGTGATTCGACAGATACATACCCTCAAGATCTTTTAATCTCCTTTTGATATGAGTATCATCTCCCACCAACGAATCCATCGCGTCCCTTCCCTCCATGTCCATCTACGAAATATTTGAACACTGGTCCCATTTCCCTTGACTTTTGTCATTGCGCTCGGACAAAAAAGATTTAACAGTTGCCGACCAAAATGTAGGTATATAAACAATTATACCTCCATGTGTCACATATGTTTCCACTTTTTTTAATGTTTATTTTAAAAGTACGGATGCCTAAGTTTAAGATTTTTCTTTATTTCTCTACAAGTGTTCTTTATTAAAATTTTAGAGGTTGTTTACAGTCTCGTTGGTTGAAATCACAAATCATTCAAAAATAGGAAGTTAATAATGTGTGCAGGTATTGACTAAACCTTTGTATTAAACAAAGCTAATAGCCATGGTCCGCGCTAATTTTTACGTTTCCTAGACCGTGAACGCTACTGGTTGCGCTCACGAGCTAGGAAATTTTCTTAGTGGCAAACACTCCGTTTCGATTTCCTAGCTAGACAGTGAGCGCAACGCACTTGCTTTATTATTACGCATGTTTTTGTTACAGCCCAAAAACTGCTCAAACCTCCAAAAAAGGATTTCTTTTATAATTCTTGTTAGAAAGAACATATAAATGTCCGGTTTTCTGTGTTAGTAAAAAGACAACTATGAATTTAAAAAAATTGCGTATACGCAACCCAACCTTTTACCTTTGCGCAATGCAATTTTCTTATTTGTTAAGGTATTTAAATGAAATTTTGTATGTAGGCACCTCGAATAAAAGGAAAACTAATACCGAATCAACAAATGTGTTTTACAAACTGTGATCTGGTGGGACAGAATCAACCCCTTAAGTGTGTTGTGTAAAAATGATGTATGTGTGAACATCTCTAGGATCGTTCGATATTCAGTTGTATCGGATTCTTAGGCTCGATGCACACTTGCGTGTTTTCAAGTCGCGTGCAAGCTGCGAGCAAGCCGCGTTGCGCTTAGTTTGTTTCTGTCATTACACATTGGAGCGGTTTAAATCGCCGACCGCCGCTAATATATAAAGACGCATTCCCTAAGTTCTTTCCAAGCAAAATGGATGACTATCAACGCGTTACGTTTGCTTTCTCAGTGTATGAATATTTATATGACAATAAAGAACAACATGGGTTCACCACATGGTTAGTGCTCCTTCGTTTCCCTATTTCAAGATCTTCTCAGAGACGAAACGAAATTCTTGTCTTTATTCTATCATGGAACGGTCCTGATCTTGTGTCCCATATTGTTGGTTGGTTCAGCAAAGAGTTTATGGTTACTCTTTGGCATCAGGTAATAACTCTGTATCAACGTTGACTTCCATCGTGTGTACCTACTCGTTGATTGCCTAGCACAGTCACAGACTGCGCGGCGTGTTGTGGAAGCCGCGTGTATGCGGCGGCGTAGTAGAAACTGGCGTCCTCCAAAAACAAGTCTAGTGCACGCTACTTGCAAGCAGCTTGCCCGCCGCGGTTCTGCTCGAGTGTGTACTGCGCAACTAGAGCCCATGCACTGCTAAACCGCCGGCGTTCGCACGCAACTTGAAAACCCGCAAATGTGCATCGAGCCTCACTGTTACTAATGATCTACTGTCAGGCGTTTTGAATATAATAACTCACGTACTATTGCGCTCACTGTATAGGGAACGTAAAAATGCATACCGTTGAGTGAATGCTAATATAGGTACTTAATGCATAGCGCAGCTCAGCTGTTCTGCATTTACCTATACTCGTATTAAAACGTTGGGAATAATACAGAACTCGTATATATATTTAATGTTGGCCGCAATAATGTGCCTAATTTGCGTTGTTTTTGATATTTATAGGAACCCTGAAATATTTAGTTTATAAAGTTATTTCTAGTCAAGGTTACAAGAAATTTGTAAATCTGTTGTTTTACAAGTAGATGTAGGTACCTAGATATGCGTATTCTACTTATACAGGGTAACATCTACAAGGATCCACCCTTACTATAACGTTTGAATATAAATTTTATATTCAAAATATTGATTGAATAATATTCAGATTTATTATTCAACGCTATAACTGAGAAACGAGATGATATAGTTGCGCAGTTATTTCCGCTAAACATATATGATCACTGAGGGGATTAAATGAACGATTTTCATTTGTTTTCCTATCCCTATGCCAATTCCTTCAGTGCTCAACTCAGACTTAAAATCTTAAAAAAGCATCACTGATCAAAGGACCGCATAGCCCATGTGATTAATGAAATCTTTTGAAAATTCATCTGTGTAAGTAAATTACTTTTTTTGTGTAAACGCACATTATATTTACTTATTATTTTTTTAAATATAATGATTAAAACTAAAGGTAATGTAATTGCGCCTTTGTAAGGGGAGCTCTTCTGCAGACGGTGAAGCTCTAGAAAAGGGTGCCGGATTCGCATTTACCGTTTGAAAAACAACAATTATCAATAAATCTAAGCAGAAAACATGAAAAAGAATCGGAAAAAAACAATTTTTTTTATTTATACAAAATGGTTATACAGTGATATTCATTCAGCAGGTTTTTATCATTTAAAAGTAGACATAGGAAATGCCTGTCTACTTTTACATGATAAAAAGTCTCCTGAAAGAAATCCCTATGTCTACTTCTAGGTACATGAATATCACTGCATACATAACTAGTAGGAGTTCCCTTAGTTTGCGCGCACGTCATCGGTGTATTATGACCTTACCTGACGTACCCAATGAATAAGGTATTCTTTATTCATTGGACGTACCTATACGTATGTAGGCAATCATACACAGTGCTGCATTGTGGGTAGGATGCCCATCGCATGAACAGTAGTTATTTACAACAGGTTGTTTATGACGCAATCTTTTACTAACAAGGTGACATTATTATTTGGACGTAAAGGAAAAAAAACATTTTGATCAACGCCCGCAGTACTTGGCAGCAGAAGTCAGGAAGCGCCTGCAATCTTGACTACTATAGAGGAAATACAATTCCTCTATTTCCATACTCGCTTTCATGTCAAAACCACGGCCGTTTCGCGCCATTTTCGAATCTGGGCAGCAGTCGGTGTTACAACTGGCGGTTCTTTTATACACAAATAGGAAAGGACATCGAATACAAACTCATTTTTTTGTGCGTAAGAAAAAACGAAAACATATAAAATATGTTATGCACACAACCATGCGATGCCAGCAGGGCCGGCCCATGCATATGCGGCGCCGTATCGGGGGGGCTCGAGCAGTACATGTAGGAGCCAGATTTTCCTTATTGAAGTTAGGAGTTTCATCGTCTTCAACTTTTAACCAGAACTTTCATGCACTATCGTCTCCATTACTGGACCATGGTTTGTGCATCCAATTAAAATTCTGCGGATGTTCCTTCATACCTCCACAGATCCGGTCAAAGCTGCTGCGATGGGTGTTGCAGATCATGGAGTGAGATATTTTTGCAAATTCGTTTTTTTGGTTGGTTTTTAGTGCACTTTCACTTAAAAAAAATGCACATTTACGCTCTCGATATGTCTGCCTAAGACACAAAAGCTCCGAAACTACACCACTTACAGACATATTGCTGTCATTCGATCATAAATTACAAATTATTTTATGTTTGTATTCCCGTTAAGGCATGAAAGTTCCAGGAGGGCTATTAAAATCGAAAAAACAAATTCGAAAGTACACTCTTCGCCTCTTGCTCACAAGCGGCATAATGAATTTTGTTCGTCTTTCATTGCCACCCGTTTCTGATTTTCCCAACTGAATGGTGAACTGCTTATATTATCTATAACACAAATATTCATTTAATATAATCTTTGCACAGTTGACATAAAAGTCTATTTATATTCAACCATTCAACTTGCGTTTTAAAACTGACTGTGTTGGGTCAGGTCGTAGATACAGTTGCACCAACATCGCTAACAGGTTTCTGACATTGTCTTTTTTTTAGTCTTTCTAGAGGTTTGCCCGATTTAGAAATTTCTGAAATAGAAGTCACTGTTCGCAGGCTAATATTTATTCGTTTAAATCCTTATAAATATGACCTTTACTGGAATTTGATGCCTGAGACTCTTTCATTTCCATACATATCTACACTCAAATCATTCACCTTGGACAGGCTATGAAGAACGATAATCAATCAATTCACTCTAGCTCTACTTAGCTCAAACAGCTTATCAACCTCCGTAGCACACATCTTGCAGTGACTTGAACCATGACATAGTAAATGGTCCTAATAGTTTTGTAACGTTTATATGGTTGTTGTGTTCATAAAAGTATTGCATACTAAAAAATCATCTGTTGTATTCTGTGATATTCTTAGATGATTCGCTCATTTGTATTTTCTAATTTGATGCACAAACTGTACAGGTTTTTGGAGGGACTTCAAGTTCCACTGAAACGTCAATAGCCACAAAGTAGAGCCATTTACACAGTCTCATCCTTTTCAGTTTGGATACATTTCTGGGAGATACAAACGCCAACTGCGGTGATAAAACAGTATTTTACCATTAGCCCCAAAGATCAGTTAGTGGCATCTTACGAAGCTTAAGTGGTTAGTGCATTACACTTATTTCATATTCATATTCCTGCATTATCATCCAGCGCACACATTGGCCCAAATGGGACTCAAATTAATTAAGATTGCTTTCTTCACTAAACACGGGATGATAATATGTTAACCGTATATCATACAGCTTTGAAGCAATGGGACAAAGCAAAGACAAGAACAAAAAATGTTCTAAAAAAGCATTATTCTGTTGGTCGCTAAATGTCTTTGTGCTATATAACTATAGTAATCTCTTACCAGCTTTATAGAATCAGGTTGTGATTGATTTACACTTTGTAAAACACAGTTATCATAAATTTGATAAAATTCCTTCATACACTTACAGTCATAATTCTACAAACATAAAAAATGAATACTTAAAACTAAAGCAAAACTAATTAGGAAGAAAAGTTCTTGCTCATAGATCTCCTACCACTAATAATCAATACTTACATATGATAAATAAATTGGTTAAAATCGTTCTAAACATAATTAATTTAGCAAAAATCAAATTAAATTACCATATGTGCATTACACATATTACAAGAAAAGCTTGTACAATTTTCACATTTAGTACCTTTACAATATCAACCTAAAAATACTACAGCTACATTTTCCAACCTTAATCGTCATCGTCTTCATCATCGTCAGAGATATATTTTTTGGCAGATCTTCTTCGGCGACTAGACGGTGGCCTTCTACTCTTAATTTTTATTTTCATTTTAACTGTTGAATCTGTGTCAGATTTATTTCCATCATCTTTATCATCTGAATCTCCATCCACCTCGATCCTTTGCCTTGCATTTGTGAATACTGATTGCAGAACAATGCTGTCCTCATGAATTACAGAAGCTTCTTCGTTATACGTTTGTGCATTTTGACATAAAAGCATAAAATCACGTTCCAAATCTTGTAAATCGCCATACTGTAAAATACGAAATTTCAAAATTGTTAAAAAAAAAAAATATATTAAAAAAAAACAGTGATTCAGATATAACAATTTTTTTTTAACTTCAAAATATGTGATATGATTTCAAATGGAATAATAAACTGAGTAAGTGTAAGTGAAAGAACGATACTTGAGTGCATCGATATTTTATATCACAGTGATTAACGTAAATAATTTTTCATTTCTGTGTGCTATAAATTTAAATTTAATTATTATATATCTTTTGCGTGTATTCATGTTTAATGACCGTTTGCACCAACAAATTTGCTTGAAATGTATGGCAACGATTATCGCGACAATGGTTGGCATGGATTTTAAGATATTGTAACGTGATTTATAAATTCGGGTTCGATTTATATCAATATTTATTAAACAAAACTAAAACACTATAAAAACCGTACAATTTATATCGATTATTTATATCACACACACTTCGCAATTTATATTTCCGCGCTCGATCTCGTTCGGTAGTAGACTGTCGCGATGTTCTGTCCGCAACCATTTATACACGCAAGCAATGTAAATCCAGCACATTCGCGTACATTCTCGAATAGTCCTACACAATCCCACTATCGCGCGCGTAGAAAATTCCAGAGCGCCAAAGGCGACGTCATGTCTGGAGCATTTCCGTTACACTGCCCCCTTCTTAATTCTGGACGTCTCGTTCAGAAACTGCGTTAGTATTACTTTTTAATGCCTCGTGTCGGAATCTGCAGTCAGAGCCTGCTCGACAAACACCTTTCTTGAAAAAGTAACAGTCCACAGTTTTGCAGAGGGTCGTCCCCTGTGGGTTGAAGCAGCATACTGTAATTCGAACGCTAGTATTTCTAAAAATCACTTCGATCATGGTTCGCACTATCTTCCAGTCCAACCCATCTAAACCACATCCAATCTTCGGGATCGCCAAGCTATTTATGTCATAGTATGCCATGAGTTTCTTTAAGCTTTTTAAAGCAGACCAGAGGTTTTCATAGGTGGGTTTGCCTTCTGACGTTTTCTTTGAAACCAAGTAGAACAAAGAGCGTTGACTATCTTCCAAGCGCAGTACTTTACCCACTCGTGGTCTTTGCTTTAACAACTCGTCTATTCTTTCAAATCTTTTCCGATATACGGAAGCTATACCTCTACCCATGCGAAGGTCTTCGGCGACACAATGGGCGATGGAAACGTTAACCGGAAGCTCAAAAATATTTTGACAAATTTCCTGAGTAACGCCAAATCGAGCTTTCTTCCGCTGGGCGTAATTTGACATAAAATCGTTAAAGTTTGGCTCGATCCCAAAGCTGCGTTCCTCTTCTCGAATACCTCTAACTTCTTCGTTGTTGTTGGATCCGGCATATCGTGCGAGTCGATTAATGTGGACAACTTTCGGTTTCCGGTGGTTCATTCTGATACGATATATCACGTCATTTATTTTCTTGATCACCTCATACGGACCTTCCCATTGTCTTTGTAGCTTGGGAGAAAGACCCCTTCGTCTCTGTGGATTGTGCAGCCATACCAGATCTCCAGCTTCAAAAGTTTCATTGGCCGAGCGGAGGTTGTATTGATTTTTCATGCGATCGCTGGCAATCTGAATATGACTTCTAGCCAAGTCGTGAATATCGTTCATCTTCGCCTTTAGTTGGTCAACATAATTTTCACCTGCGACATATTCTTCATGGGGTTTACGCCCAAACTCGAGGTCACATGGAAGGCGTAGTTCACGACCCAACATAAGGCAGGCAGGAGTCTGACCCGTGGTCTCGTTGACGGCTGATCGATATGCCATAAGGAACAGGTGGAGGTACTGGTCCCAATTTTTCTGATGTTCTGCCACGACTTTTGAAAGATATTTACCCATCGTTCGATTCATTCTCTCCACCATTCCATCTGACTGAGGATGCAAAGGTGTTGTTCTGGTTTTATTGGCTCCTACCAATCGACAAACATCTTGGAACAAAGCCGATTCAAAGTTCCTTCCTTGGTCTGAATGGATTTCTATAGGAACACCAAAACGTGTAAAGAACTCCTTTACCAACACTTCTGCAACTGTTGCTGCCTCTTGGTTTGGAATGGCGTAAGCTTCAGTCCACTTTGTGAAATAATCCATAGCGACTAGGATATATTTATTTCCGCCATCTGTCTCGGGAAACGGTCCTGCGATATCGATAGCAACTCGTTCCATCGGACTACCAACGTTATACTGCCTCATGGGTGCCTTCTTCTTGGAAACTGGTCCGTTTCCAGTAGCACATAACTCACATTTTTGACACCATCGCCGGACATCTTCTTTACGGTTGACCCAATAGAATCGCTCACGTACCCTTTGCAACGTTTTCGTAATACCAAAGTGTCCTCCGGAAGCGCCGTCATGCAATTTTCGCAATACTTCCGACACTTTGCTTCTAGGTACTACTAATTGCAGCGTCGATTCGGTGCCATCTTCACTTTCAAGGGTCCTATACAACAGGTTGTCTTTCAGAGTCAGGCTATTCCATTGGCCCCAATAACTCTTTACTTCAGGACTTGTGGCACTAATGTCTTGCCAGTCTGGTCTTTGTCCGTGGCGCATCCAATTCAGAACAGTTTTTATACTTGGGTCGTTTTCTTGGGCCGTTTTGATTTCCCTTGGCTTCCATTCCTCACTCTCTACAGTTGTTCGTTGCAGATGGCCAATCTTGTCTTCTATTTTAGAACAATGTGTGCAGTTGTCCTTGCACGGTCTTCTTGACAAAGCGTCTGCATTATTGTGAACTTTTCCAGCCCTGTGTTCAATGTCGTAGTCATATTCCTGAAGACGTTCTAACCATCTTGCCACCTGTCCTTCTGGGTTTCGGAACTGCAAGAGCCACTTTAGCGCTGCATGATCTGTCCTTATCAGGAACTTGCGGCCGTAAAGGTACTTATGGAAATGTTCGCATGCCTTTACCACACCCAGGAGCTCTCGCCTAGTCACACAATAATTCCTCTCGGGTTTCGACAGTACTTTGCTGAAATAGGCAATGACTCTTTCCTGTCCGTCTTGCAATTGAGAGAGAACAGCTCCAATGGCGGTGTTACTGGCATCGGTATCTAGCACAAACTTTCCCTCATTTCTGGGGTAGCCAAGGATAGGTGCGCTAGTAAGAGCTTGCCGGAGATGTTCGAAAGCTCTTTGACAGTCTTCACTCCATTCGTACTCATTGCCCTCTTCTGTCAACTTTATTAATGGTTTGGCAATGTTGGCAAATCCTTTCACGAATCGTCTATAATAGGTGCACAAACCGAGGAAACTTCGAATCTCGTGCTTGTTCTCAGGAATCGGCCACTCTTGAATCGCTATAATCTTCTCTGGGTCAGCTGTAACACCATCACGAGATACGATGTGCCCCAAATATTTAACTTCTTTTTGGAACATAAAGCATTTCTTGGGACTTAGTTTTAAATTGGCCTCTCGTAATCGTCCAACACCTCTCTCAGGTTCTTTAGGTGTTCTTCAAAAGTTTTTCCTACGACAATTACATCATCCAAATATACCAGACATGTCTGCCACGTTAGTCCCCTTAGAACTGCTTCCATAAGTCTCTCAAACGTCGCGGGGGCATTACACAATCCGAAAGGCATTACTGTGAATTGCCAAAGTCCAGAGCCTATAGAAAACGCGGTCTTCTCTCGGTCTGTCGATTCCATCCCCACTTGCCAATAACCACTCTTTAGATCGAGTGTGGAAAACCATTGGGCTCCAGATAGAGTGTCCAAGGTGTCGTCTATTCTTGGCAGTGGATAGCTATCTTTCTTGGTGACCGAATTTAACAGACGGTAGTCAACGCAAAATCTGGTGGAGTCATCCTTCTTCTTTACAAGCACTATCGGTGACGACCAAGGACTATTCGATGGCTCAATGACACCTTGTTTTCTCATGTCTCTAATAATCTCCTCCGCTTCGTCTCGTTTAGCCAATGGGAGTCGCCTTGGCTGTTGTCTAATCGGTTGGGAATTGCCAGTATTTATTTTATGGGTGACTATGCTTGTCTTGCCCTTGTCCTGGTCGTTTACCGCGAATACATCTCGGAATTCCACAAGCATATTTTTCACCTTTTGTCGTTGTCTATTGTCCAAATCAGGGGTGTTTTTAATGACCATATCTATCAGCTCTCTTGGATACTTTCCTTTAGATAGATTTTCCGATCTCACAGAGCAAATAACCGAGATGGGCACACACTGTCCAACTACAGTTCGTTTGCTTAGCTTAACAGGACTATCTTTCAAATTCATAATTCGAATCGGAACGCCATTTTGAACTTTTACCAGAGCCCTAGCCACTAGAAATTCCTTTTCGTTTAGTGCTTCGACTATCCGTAGGCTTCCCTGGCGACAATATCCATCTAAAGTGGTCATTATAATTTTTTCACTAAGTCCGGGTATAATGACGTCATGAGTGGTTAACAGGCGGATGCATCTTCTTTGTCTTCATGGAAAGGGAGTTCTTCATCGCCGACCTTTAACACGCCCTTTTTCACGTCTAACCTCGCGTCTAACACAGCTCCGAGTTTCTTAAGAAGATCCATCCCCAAGATGAATTGATCAGAAATATCAGCAATTAGCACCTGGTGATTGATGGTGGTCTTTCCGATGGTGACAGACATTTGTATTTCTCCGTGCGTTCTTATTCTTTCACCAGTTGCTGTTTTTAACTGCACGGTCGAAGATGAGATCCGAGAATGATTCTTCAATAACTCTGGTCTTGCAATAGTTCTTGTTGCACCTGTGTCTACTAGTAAGGATCTGTCTTCTCCATTAACTCGGCCGTCGATGTACAAACTCAGAACTTTTCCAGACGACGAAATGTTTACAGTGAAGATCGGGGCTTTGTTTCTGCAGGTCGACGATAGCCCCTTCCTGTCGACCTTTCTTAGTTTTCCGACTGCTGGAATGGTCTTTGGCAGTTGCGGCGAACGTGTCCAATCTCGCCGCAATTCCAACATCGTGGTTCACGTTTCTTTGCCAGTGACTGTATTGCTTTATTGACCTTTTCTTCCATTACTTTACTGACCTTTTTTCCCACTACTTTACTGACCTTTTCTTCCACTACTTTACTGACCTTTTCTTCAAAACTTTCAGAGCCACCTTCCTCTTCGATGGTTCTTACCCGGCTCTCACTGCGAGGTTCCACCATACGTACTCGCGCACTTCCATGACTAGCTTTCTTGGCGGCTTCGAATTCTAACGCATGGGCCAAAGCTTTCTCAATTTTGTCGTGCCTAGCCAGTCTCAAAGCCTGCTGGGCATCTCCATCACGAACGGCATCGATAAATGTTTGTACAGCCAGTTGATCAAGAAAGCTCTCCGGTGCCGTAGGGTATGCCATTCGAATCAGTCTAGCGATGTCCGCTTCAAGTTCCTGCAAACTTTCTCCAGGTTTCTGCATTCGGTTCTTGACTTGGGCATAGTAAAGTTGCTGAAGGTGTTTATCGAGTCGCGCTACTATTTGTTGGAAGTTCTGTTGATCCTGGGGATGGTCCGCAACACATCCAGAGCATCTCCTCTCAGAGCAAGAATCAGGGCTGTAGTTTTGTCTTGAAGAGTCCATTTATTTGCCGCAGCCGCTGCTTCAAACTGTCGAACGTACGTGGTCCAAGGAATCTTACCATCAAAAGTAGGTGGCTTTACTCGGGCTTGCTGAACGTCGCCTTCTACTCTTGTATTTGTTTCTGGGTCGACCTTCTTGTAATGAGTAGACTGTGGCACCTCAAGAAGACGGTCCATCAGTAATTCATCTGGGGCACTACTAGTACGCTCTTCCGTAGTCAGTCGCAAGAATTGCTCGCGCAGCTCTTCATACTTGTGCTCAATCTCAACGAATGTTGCTTTAAATGTTTTGGAAACTTCCGTAATTCTATCTTCAACTTTTTCTTCAATTGATTTATAGACTTCTTCGATAATCTTTCTAGAATTTTCTTCCATTTTCTCGAACTCTTCAAAATTTCTAGAATTTTCTTCCATCTTCTCTTGGTTGCTTTTCATTTCTTGTTGCAACACCTGTTGGCCATTTTGGATTTGCTGGAGCAAATTGAGCATCGTTTCTTCCATTTTAGCGGCAGCAGATCTTGTTACAGGCATACACAAGCAGAAGCACTTAATTTAATCTTACTTTTAATTAATTTAATTAATCCCACCGCTGTCACCAATGTAACGTGATTTATAAATTCGGGTTCGATTTATATCAATATTTATTAAACAAAACTAAAACACTATAAAAACCGTACAATTTATATCGATTATTTTATTACACACTTCGCAATTTATATTTCCGCGTTCGATCTCGTTCGGTAGTAGACTGTCGCGATGTTCGGTCCGCATACACGCAAGCAATGTAAGTCCAGCACATTCGCGTACATTCTCGAATAGTCCTACACAATCCCACTATCGCGCGCGTAGAAAATTCCAGAGCGCCAAAGGCGACGTCATGTCTGGAGCATTTCCGTTACAATATGCTTAAGCTAAGCTCAGCTCAACTTTGTCAGTGCGAACGGGCTTAAGTCCAAGATAACAACATAATAAGCACCAAATTCTGGATGCAGTAATTTGGTAGCTGTTATGCAAGTTCCCTCAAATTTGATCTAAAATTCACCTGCACTTAAAATTGTATGGACATGCTTGAAGAATGACAAGCCAATGACCAGAAAAAACATGGACCAATCAGACGATCATTGCAGAATTTTTAAAGCATTTATGTTTACTTACTTTTCCTTCATCTATCCGATTTACAATTTTGTTGATATCCATTGGTCGTTTTATGATTTCATAATAATCTGGATAATCTTTTCGAGATGGTTGTTTCATAAATTGTTCACTTAACAGTCGTCCATCGCTAAAAAAATTCAGGTATAAAGTAGAACACAAATTGCAAATGACTTACCTGTCGGTATATTTGATTACTATATGCATCAACTTATGCATTTGTCTTCTAGTTTTGTTATCAAAACTTGATTGCCCTCTTCTTCGTTTACTACTAGTACCAGCATCGTTGTCAGAGTCATCACCTCGTCTTCTCCGTTTACGTCCACGTCTCTTCTTGAATTTCTCCTCTTCTTCATCCTCATCGTCATAATCACCACCTTCATCTATTGCCTGTTAACAGTAGTGATATGAGTAAAGAAAAACTATAAAAAAGCAAACGGACCTTGAGCCACTCTTTCTCAGTCAAGCTGTCTGAATAATCAACCTCCTTTCTTTGTCGTGTTCCACGACCAAGTAAACTTTCTTCTGGTTCATCATAATTCCATCGTTCCACTTCATCATCTTCTTTCACCAACCAATCTGGTAACTCGCTTTCTTCTAGTAGCCTCGATTTTCTAGCTGGGCCCAATTTAGCTTCTTCCCGCCGTCGCTCTAGATCCATCTTTTGAAACAATTCGAACTCATCTTCAGAGCGTGCTATCATTTGATTAATAGTTTCGTCATCAGGAACCTCATTTTCTTCCTCCTCATCATCTCCATCTTGATGCAATATGCTTTGCAAAAATTGTTGCCGCTCCGTACCTGTCGATTTTTGATCAAACATACCAGCTTGAATAACCTTTTCGTCCATGTTCAATTTATATCTTGCCGCTGCCAAAATTCTCTCTTCCACCGAATTTACGGTCATGAGACGCAATACACGTACTTCATTTACCTGTCCAATACGATGTGCACGATCTTGTGCTTGCAAATCCTGGTGTGGATTCCAATCCGAATCAAAAATTACGACAGTATCTGCACTTTGCAAATTCAAACCTAAACCTCCTGCTCTTGTGGATAACAAAAATATGAAGTATTCGCTATTTTTACAATTGAACTTTCTAAGCAATTCACCACGATCTTCCGATTTAGTTGTACCATCTAATCTTAAGTAACCGAAACTTCGCCATCCTAAGTAGTCTTCCATTATAGTCATAAGCTGTGTCATTTGGCAAAAGAGAAGCACTCGATGATTAGTTGCCTTTAGTTTTGGTAATATTCTGTCTAGCAACTCAAATTTACCAGATGCTCGATAAATGTCCGGCCTAAAAAATCCTAACTATAAAGACTATATAAAAGAATTGAAATAGTAATGCTAATGACAATGCAAATAATAATTATATTAACGTTTCACGTTTTGATACCAAGTTTCAAAAAAAAGCCAGTTCCCACACTAGACTCGGTTCGTTTATTGTTAATCAGATTTGCTCTCTTGAATAACAGGAATGTCATAGTATAAAGAATAAGATAGTGAGACGACTTGATGGAATTTTTGGAAAACCGAAAATTTGTTACGAACACCAGTATTAATGAACACCCAGTATCTAGAGGCGCTTTGTTATGAAAAGTGTTGTTCCGCAACTATTTATTTCATTAGGAAATTGGAAACAGAAGGTAGAAGCACCTGCTTTAATTTCTAGCGCGGTCTTAGCGGCCGATAAGGAATCCATTTGCCGTATATAATTAATCATTTTTTTAATGTTAATGTGTTAATTAATTTAGTTGTAGGCAGCAAACCTTGACTGTTTGGATTGGGACTTGTGGCATTAGAAGCGCACTTAATTAATATACTTTGAAACATGTCCCAGATTTTTGGGACGTTAGGGAGCCGCACAATCAAATAAAGAAGCTTTAATTTTTGAATGTAAATAGCCGCCCGGGAAATCCGATTTCCATTTCCCCATCTTTTGGGAAGTTTATATAAGGTAACAACACGATTTAGATGGATCTTTTGTTTTTTTTCTTCTGTTCTGTTTAATTTGAAAGGTAAACGTTTGATACTTTCCCTTCTGTTAATTATAAGGGGGATATTGCTGTGCTTTTCCTGCGTTTGCCAGAAGCAAGGCTTTGATGTTCTGGTGGCGCTCGAGTCCGTCCGTTTGGCCGACATCCAGGTGGCCGCCGATAGCCACCACTTTTGCCCGCTGGTGAGATTTAATTCAAATCATTTGTAAATTTAGTTAATTTTCTTTTAATTAAATTTTAATTCCGTTAATTATATTGTTTAATTTTCATGCCACTTTTCCAAACAACACTGATTTGCACAAAAATTTGGATTTAGACACTACGTACTTACTTCAAATTGCGCTGATGATTGCTTTTTATTTTTTAGGAGTGAAAACTAACCCCATTCGAAATTAGAATTATTGTAGATTTGAACATATCATTGATTGAAACCATCTCTAGGTAAATTGAATGAATGGCACATACTTCATGATTTATTAAATAGTTCGGATCCTGGCCTGCTTGGTCTGAAAAGAATTTCAAGCACATGTTTATTTTTTTAAATCCAAGGTGGCTGTGACAATTGAAAAAAAAATAATTTTTTTTGGTTGAACAAGTTACTACCTATGCATTTACGAACATATGAAAGCTTTAAATAACCATATCTTACTCAAAAAACAGAAAATGTTCAGAAACGCAATGCCTAAAATTGTGTACCGGTTATTATTTGTGAAAAACCGTCTGAAAAGGGAGGTTTTCAGAAACTTTATAGAACAAAAGTTGCTTAGAATTAGTCACTCTATCCATCCCTGGACTTTTTTCAATCAAACATTTTCATCCCCGAAAAGGGGTGGCATCCATTCCAAGGGTAAACAAAGTAACCCCCGGTACAAGATCAAATTTGAAGAGAGTAGAGTTAGAACTGTAAATCCAAATTCCGAAAATCAGTGCTGCTGATCTGCTTTCTCCAAAATTTTTAGTACTTTCTCTGAATTGTTTACATATACAGGGTGTCACATATAACTATGTAAAAAAAATTGAGTGGTAGAGGGCATCAAAACAAGCACTTCTTCCAAATAAACCGAGGGTCCAACGTGTTTCGTTTGGGAACCACCCTCACAGAAGTGGTGAAATTTGCATTTCTTCTTTAATTTTTTTCTCAGCAACCATAAGAGTTACAAAGCCAAGTGCCACGTCTTTGAATAGGTTTTCGGGTATGCCCTTTCCGAATTGCAAAATTTTTTCAAAATTCCTACCACGAAATGGCGCACTCCTAAATGGGGGTGCGAAAAATATTTTGATTTTGACGAAATTGGTATCTGAGGGTTTTTGAATATGAAAATCACGAATTTGAAATTAGTTTTTGAAAATTCGAAAAAAAAATATTCCACTGCAGTTCTTGGGCGGGAAACGAAAATGGAGAGACTTCCACGAAATTTGTTGAGTTAAGGAACAAAATTGTCAAGCCGTTTTTAGCGCATTTTTGAAAAAAAATACGCTATTATATTCGTTATTGCTGGCAGGCCGGCTGTCCGCGTTAGATCTCCACAACTACAATAGCTAGAGACTTCAAATTTTCACTAAAAGCTTCCTGCTATAGTGTAGATGTGCAGGCACTAGTCTATTTTGAGTTAGATTACTTGTGAGATCGATAATTGAAGAAAATAATTTCGATATGGTTTTCGGAGGTGCTATAATTTTACCGTTAGATAGCGCTACCAGTATAAAAACTTATTATTTACTTTGTGATTTGTTTTACAAAATGAAGACGTACCGTCAATTGAAATTAAATAATAGTATATTAAGATACAAGTGTATAATCAAGTCTTTAAAGCACGCGCAACGAGTTTAAGGGCACGACGCAAAGCGGAGTGCCTTTAACGTTGCAAGTGCTTTAAAGACCAATTATACAAGTGTATCTTATAGTATTTTTTATTATACCTGCAGTATAATTTAAAAATAGGAAATACAATGAAGTCATATTGACGTTATACTCAAATATACATGTCTAATTAAGTGGGCTGGGTGTTCGTAATTTCACGATTGCCATGGAAATGTCACTTGACGTTTGCTTATAAAAATCATCGTCTTTGTGAATTAAAAGATTTCCGTTGAAAAAGATAATACACCGTCCATTAAATCGATTGTTGTAAAATCTAAACAAACGTTGGTAGGTGTAAAATCCAACTCCAGTAAAGCCTATTATAAAGAATATGAAAAGTTGTTTTCCATGGATGAATAGGAAGTTACTTACGAATACAGTCTTAAATGCATCCATAATGCTGGCATATATGAAGGAAATGTCAAAGGTATTTAAATCTTCTATATTTTGGTGCATTCATTCAAAACTTTAAAGCAATGCTGCGATTAAAAAGTGTAACAGATTTGGAAGCATACCCTAAATTACGCGCGTTTGTGAAAGCTTCAACGAAAGGATAGGTACAAAAGCCAAAGAAATGTTCTGCATTTACAGAAAGCGACCTAAGAGGATTTTTTATTTCATCCAGATGACAGTTTCAAAAGTCATACTTGAAGTATCGTTACTTAGCAACTTTAAAGCATGTGTGTTTTAAAGGCCCTTTTTCGCACGCATTTGAGTGTTTAAAACGGAGATTGTGATTCAGGTATAATAAAATAGTATATTGAAAGACAAGTGTTACAATGCGACCTATTGTAATACGACTATCTTGTGGCACGAGTGGCGACGCCAAGCGTAGCCACGAGTGTCCGCAAGATAGGAGTATTACAATAAAGCATTGTAACACGCGTTTTTCATACTATTTTTTCTATTTCGGTGCTTTAATTTAAAAAAAAATCATTATCAGAAACTATAGGGAACATTAGAACTAACATGTTTTATGTTGGGAACACTTGCCGTTAAGTTTTAGGTTGGCAGCGTAGTAAGACTGACATTTTGAAGTTCAAACATGGAAGTACCCAACGAAGTACCTACTTGTACTAACTAGTAACTGCCAACTTAAGAGATGAGTTACCAAAAAAAACGACTATAATCACTGTCTTTGTACAACTGTTTTCGGCCGAAAACAGTTTTACAAAATCATCATTGTGACACCGAAATAGAAAAAATTAATTATTTAACGCAGCCAAAATTACTCGTGAGATCGATAATTTTAAACTTCGCTAATGTAGTTAATTGAAACTGTCGCAAATAACAAAAAAAAACGATTTAAGTCGATATTATTATACATCGAATAATGCTTTTTGATTATAATGGAACTCTACTTAATAACATTTTTCTGAAACCACTTACTTTAGAAACGGCCCTTTCGTCTCTAAAAAGAGTGAAGAAAATGTGATTTGCCTCTCTAGTGAGGAAAGTAAAAAACAATTGCTGTGTTAATCTCAATCATGACATTTAAAATTGGAACATACTAGTATCTGGATTAGGGCTGGGCGATTACGGGTTTGAATAATCGATTATGAAAAATAATCGTTTACACTGATTAATCGATTAATCAAATAATCGATTAATCAAATAATCGATTAACCAAATAATCGTTTAATCAAATAATCGATTAATCAAATAATCGATTAATCACCTAATCGTTTAATCAAAAGTCGATTGTCACATACAAGGAGTGATAAATATCTGTTTGTATGCATTAATATGTTAATTATTTAATAATAAAAATAAAAAATAATTCCATTACTCTTTTCATCAAATCGTTCATTACTAGGCAGATCGATTAATCAATAATCAACAAAGTGCCCTGGTTCGAATCCGGGTTCGGGCATGGATATTTGCAAATGCATAGTGGGTTGGTTGGTAGAACAGCCTTGGCTGAAACCCTGGCCATTTGAAAATGAAGGTCAAAAATAAAAATAAATAAATAAAAATAAATGATTAGGCAGCTTACTCTCCGATGAGGTGTGCTTTAGTTTTGATGATACAATCTTAATTCATTTTAGCTGCTTAAAGTGACGTTTTAACATCCGCTATAAAATAAAATAATACTTGTGAGCTGTGAGTGCTCCTTTTTGCTTAAACTGATGATCCAGCTAATAATAATCAATTAAAATTTACTTAATAATTGATTAATCAAACAATCGATTAATCAAATAATCGATTAATCAAACAATCGATTAATCAAATAACCGATTAATCAAATAATCGATTAATCAAATAATAGATTAATCGATTAATTTAATAGAATAATCAAACCCGATTATCGATTGATTATAATCGATTAATCGATTTGTTTGCCCAACGCTAATCTGGATTGCTATGTATCAAACTTCATTATTGCATATGATAATTTTTCACTTTTGATTGTAGTTTTATTAAAAATTATGTGTAAAACTTGAGAAGAAGTGTTTTTCAACTCTCGTTCAATGAGACACTTGCTATTTTTATGTGTCAAACTTCGAATTCGAGTTGAATTTTGTTTGAAAAGTGATTTAAAAAACAATTTTGTTCCTTAACTCATCAAGTATGTACCTACACAACAAATTTCATTAGTCGAGTAAAATTAGAGTAATATTTGCTCAAACCTAGAACAAATTCGGGACAAGTAACCGATGTCCGAAACTAGTAGTACCAATAATGCTCTTCAATGTACTAAAAGTCCCCATATGTCCGAGGTGCGGAACATCCTGAAAATTGAGCCGCCATCTTGGATTTTCATGTTTTTTGCTAATAACTTTGTTATTATTTTTTTCGGAAAAAGTGAGGAAAGGGAATTTGTGAAGCTTTAAAATACGAATCCAATGCTTCTTTATTTCTCGAAATCGATTGGAAACTAAGGGCGTTATGATTTTTTTATTGTATCAATAATCGCACTATACACGAATAACTTCGCGAATAATTCGATTTATCCGATAAGCGAAATTCATTGAATGTTACTTTTACAATCATCATCAATAAAGTGGACCAAGAAAGCGACAAGCAGAACTTGAGTCAAACTGATCAAAAGGCTGCAGATCTCGTGGTCTGGGATACATAATTTATATAAATTTGAAGCAGGGATTACCGTAACATCTGCAAAATCTGATGCAGACTATTTAATAGTTCGAACCACAGTAGATTTCTCAATCACGATACTGATTTAATGGCGCTGCTGATTTTCCACAATACCGAGGGAAACGTTGCCATGCTGAGGCCAGGTACAGCGGGGAAGTCCGATAAATTGACAAATATAAGAAAACTGCAGACTGCGCTGGGTGACAAAGTGTGTCACAATATTCTATTTGCACATGCGGTATCAGGGTGCGACACAACTTCGGCTTTCTACAAAGGAGGCAAGACTAGTGTTTTAACTACTTTACTTATGGATGAGCTTCTCAAAGAAGGAGAAGCGTTTATATTGAAGTGGTACAGTGCCAAAAAATGCAAAACGCTCGATGACTACCGGTACATCAAGTACAACCAAGTCGTGGCAAGGCAGAATCTCTTTACCAATTTCGAGCTAGCAACATTACCTCCTACATCGCACGCTGCTAGATTACATTTGAGATGGGTGTATCTACAGGTCCAGAATTGGATGGGTGAGGAATTGAACCCTAAAGACCTTGGCTGGTTTACGAATCATAACAATGTCTTGGAGCCCGTAAGAATGGAAAAACCTTGTGGACCGGATCTCATTTTGAAAATGCTGTTTTGCGGTTGCAAAGAAACGTGTTCTAATTCTTGTAGCTGTAGGAAGTCGGGGCTCAAATGCACTGCATGTTGCAGGAATTGTACTGGCAATTTTTGCGGCAACAGCTTAGACCCAGAAAGTGATGATGCTGAACCTTTACCCTAAATTGTCCATTGCAAATAAATATACGTTAATCATGTTTAGTTTTTTAATTAGTTTAGATCATACCAGAAAAGGGGGATCAAGCGAGGGCAGATGGGCGGAGAGGGGTGAGGGCAGGAGGGGGAGTGAGGGTAGGAGGGGGTATCACACATATCTCTGCTCATGTCTGGCGGAAGGGGGAGTGTTGCACTGTCCTATAGTATACACGGCGAATGCTGTATAGTGTGATTATTGATACAATAAAAAAATCATAACTCCCTTAGTTTTCAATCGATTTCAAGAAATGAAGAAGCATTTGATTTGTATTTTAAAGCTCCACAAATTCCCTTTCCTGACTTTTTCCGAAAAAAATAATAATAACAAAGTTATTAGCAAAAAACATGAAAATCCAAGATGGCAGCTCAATTTTCAGGATGTTCCGCATCTCGGAGATATGGGGACTTTTAGTATGTTAAAGAGCATTATTGGTACTACTCATTTCGGGCATCGCTTGCTTATCCCGAATTTGTTCTAGGTTGAACTCTAATGTTACTCGACTACATGGAATTCTCTTCATCTCTCTCAATTCGTTATCCGACCAAGAATTGCAGTGGAATTTTTTTTTCCAATTTTCAAGAACTAATTTCAGATTCTTGATTTAAACGTTCAAAAATCCCCAGATACCAAATTTCGTCTAAATCAGAATTTTTTTCGCACCCCCATTTAGGGGTGCGCCCGTTCGTGGTAGGAATTAAAAAAATTTTTTGCACAATCGGAGAGGGCATACCCGAAAACTCATTTAAAGACGAAATGCAAATTTCACTTCTTTGGGGGTGGCTCGCAAATGAAACACATTGGATCCTCGGTTTATTTGGAAAAAGTGCTTGTTTTGATTCCATCTACCACCCAAATTTTTTTTCATACTTATATGTAACACCCTGTATAGTCTAAGATCGTACATAAGGTCAATCTTCGCCCATCTGTTTACCAAGTGAAATACAATTTTAGCAATCTTGGTAGGTATGTAAATAAACACACTGCAAATGGTAGCTTAAAAAAATTAAGTCAAGAGTAGGTTTATTTAAAATTGATGTAATTAATACTTCTGTCTGCTTCTATCACATGGAGAGAGCACATGCGCACTCTCTTAAATCGAGGTGTAGACCATGACAGCTTTTACGCAGCGTTTTTCTCTTTCACGTGGAACACTATGGTTGTCGCAATTCTAAGTAGCGAGAGAAACATGAGGATTGATCCATATGAACGAGAAGGATGTAACGTAACAGCTGATCGTGGTGTACGCATCGATGTAAGAGAGTGCGCATGCGCTCTGTCCATGTATTAGAAGCTGGCGGAAATATTAATTACATTGATTTTAATTGAAGGTACTAATTTAAAAACCAAAAACTTACAAAAATGGTCTGAAAATTTCCTTTGGCGCTTTGCATGGTAGTCTCCCTAATTTTTTTTATAATAAGATTTAATACTAAACTACATAATTATCTATTCACAATTGAGTTGTCCAAATGATTATTCAAACTCCAAAGTTTTTGAAATGTGACGCATGCAGTCAGTTGGGCTTTACAAGAATTTAAAAATGTTTCACTACATTAATGATATCGCTAAAAAAAATTCAAGGGGAAAAAATGTGTAGATATGTATTATGGGAGGTAGTAATAGAAAAACCACTGTTAGCAATGTGAGTAATAATAATAAAAAAGAAATGTTCAAACTTAAAAAAAAAAGGTGGATTACTCAAAAACTATTTGATGGTAAGATTATGTAAAGGAGGGCACTAGATATGTAACCTTCAGGTCATGTTTAGTTGCAGAATGTGATGACTCAAATTCACACAAATATGTACACACCAGTAGTATGCAATTAACAAACACAGAGGCATATTGTTGAAACTAATTATGCATTTGCGGTTTGTTTATCCGTAAATGTTTCCTGCAAAAAGTGCCATCTAAGGTTGCAAACATGTTAAAAGGTTTGTAACATGGGCCACTTCTAAATGTGAGATGAGCGAGTCCCTTTTGATTTGAGAATGTGGGATTTGGAACTATATCTCTTTTTTGTTTAGAAGGTGGCTCACTATTTTATTCTTTACACTATTCAAATAAAGAACATTCCCAATTCTATTTGAATAATCTATAAAGAATTGTTGAGATTACCCTGATATAACTCCACCAGCCATTCCAACGTGATCACAATATTTTTCTTCAATATTCTGGAACATAAATGGATGATTGCAGAGTTTGCGCAGTTGCACAATTGTATTCATTAAAGCTTTGGCGCCACCTTTTCCCTTATTACCCTTTTCAGAACCATCTGTTAATAATACACCCTTGCTCTGCATATGCCTATTAAAAAAAATTAAATACAGAGTTGCCGACAATTAGTTTAAATTACTTGTAAAGAACCCTTTGAAGACCAGACATATCGCATTTAATAATGTACTCCACCTTATCTGGCAACTGAGATTCTACTTCCTTTTTCAGACGTCTTAGCAAAAATGGTCGCAATACTTTATGTAAACGACGAATGATAAGTATGGTTTCTTCCTCGTTCAGTTCAACCTGTAAATCTGTTAATGAGTTCCAAAACTATTTATAGACGTCATACTTTTTCTCCAGTTGTGGCAAAGGGTGCATTAAACCATTGCTCAAAAGTAGAGCAACTTTTGAAGATAGACGGTAACAAGAAATTTAAAAGCGCCCACAGTTCCGGTAATTTATTTTGTAGTGGAGTACCAGTTAACAGCAGACGATGAGGAGCAATGTAATGAGTATTCAAAACTTGAGTGAGCTTGCAGTGATGATTTTTCATTCTATGACCTTCATCAATGATCATATACTTCCATTGTAGCTGAAATGACAGGAGTCTTAGATCTTGGATCCATTAATCTCAATTTTACCTTTGCAAGTACACCCTTGTCCTTAATAATGTATTCGTAAGTAGTAAGCAACACATTAAACTTTGTTGATCTCATTTGACTCTGAATAGCTCTTCGTCCTGCAGGTGAACCTTTGTATGATACTACCACAACAGATGGCGCCCATTTTTCAAATTCCAAAACCCAATTGGAAAGAGTTCTTTGGAAAAATAATAAAAACACATGTAACTGAACGATGATTACTTACGAAAGCGGAACAATAATTAAATAAGGTCCATTAACTTTCTTCTTTTCCATTAAATAAGTAATTAATCCAATTGTTTGAATAGTTTTACCGAGACCCATCTCATCTGCTAATATACCATTGAGGTTGTTATTGAAAAGAGACACCAACCATTCCAATCCCTTTGTCTGGTATTCTTTTAATTGACCATTAACCATTATCGACGCTTGTTCAGTTACCATTTCGTGTACTGTGTGTGCAATACTGCAAGTAACCATTTCAATGAAATGCAATGAAATCTCCTTTTTTTTATATTACAACTGCTAATCAATCATTAATAGCTACCTATAATATGTTTGCTCTTCTTTTCCATTTTTATATTCGTCATCTTCACATTTTGCCTTTTTAATTACCTCCTTGGCCTTTTCTTCTTCAGTTTTTTGATTTCCGCCGCTACTCCTTAAATCTGTATAACAAAAAAAATCCATATAGGTAACATGGCATACAGGTGATGACCAAAGCTAACAGGGTAAAGAATAGATGAACTGTATTTTTATGAAAAGTTCAATATGTTGACATCTATGTCTATACAGTATGTGTATCAAAAATCATACTCAAGAAAAGTGTGGTATAGTTTAAAAGCGTTGTCTATGTGACACAATCGAATCCCATGAACCGACAGCATTATATCGCATAAGTCCCGTGTGGCGCAGTTCAGTTAAAACTGGACTGTGGTGATAAGGGTACCTGGTTCGGACATGGATATTTGTAAATGTATAGTGGGTTAGGTTCATAGAGCAACCTTGGTTGAAACCCCGCCCAGTCAAAAATAAAGGCAAAATAAAATAAATAAAATAAAAAATAAAGTCCTAGATATTGAAAGTTCAGGAAGCACATACACACGATTTTTGAGTATATTCTATCGAAAAGTCTTGTATTAAACTTTTTATTATAAATTTTATAACTAAAAACATTTAATTTTTTTGATAGTTTAATTTAAAAGAAAAAACAAAATTATCCCCGTGATCTGGGAAATATGATCCAGTTTATGGACTGGTTGCATACAGTGCAGTATGGTATGGTATAGTTCCAAAGAAAATAATCGAAGGGTGTCAACTTGCAAAACCGCACAATGCAATCTCCACCCATCACTTAAGAGCATGTGTTACGTCGCGGAAACATTAAAAACCGGCGTTGAAATGGTCAAATGCCCGTCGCTGTAGACAGGGTATTTTTCAAGATACGTAGCTCAAATTTGGAATAGAGTACCTTCAAATCTTGAGGTACAATATGTCTGAATTAGAATATTAAAAATCGCGAGCGTTTTTGCTAAAACTACCCTTGAAGTATGACGTTAATGCGAAATATAGTCAATGTTTGACATATTTTTTAGAGGGTTAGAATAATAAAAGTGGAAAAACAATTCAGTCATAATGGAGTTTAAACACCTTTAAAAAAAATTGCGAGTAATTACAGTTGATAATAAAATAGTTCTGGGATCGGGTAAAAAGTATGTTTTCGTCATAATTTTTCCGTGATCCAGAATTAGTTTCTCCCACCTTACATTCGCTACAAATCATTCGGTTATAACCGCGATCTTACGGTTATTATGGGCGTTTATAATAATAAAAGCGACAATCCAAAAAGGTAGGAAATATCACGAAGAATTAGAAGTGTACTATTGTACTGTAATTATTATTCTTCTTATTATTACATTTTTGCGTTACGAGGTACGTACGGGGCGGTGACGACGAACGCACCATAGGAATTTCAATTTTTTAATTTCCGAATTGGCTTTCCTAATTATTTTAGAAATAGTCTATTTAGGTTTTTTGTAGAGAAAAAAATTACTAATCCGTACATACTATTGTTTCCTATTTTATAAATTCAGAATCAGTAAAAATTTAAAAATTAGAAACCCTCGCGTTTATAAAGAATTTTTTTACATAAAGTACACTTGGTTTCGGTGAGTAAAATGACCACATCCAGCCCAAACGGTAATTTGAGTGGACTACTTGATTATACCTACATTTTATTTTAATAAGCGTTGAGTTGTCTGCTTTTCTCTAATTACATACTTACAAAGAGAAAAGAGAAATATTGTCCTTACGGTCAGCGGTATAGAAGATTATTGCAACATGAATGCATATTGTGTACCGAGGTACATCAGGATCAGTATACGCAACACGAGTGCATGATCCCCTTCCCAAATTTTACTTTCCTCTAAAAATGCGGCGGGAGAACGTACTGGAATTTCCCCTCTCGAGTCTTGCCAGCCGACTTCGACGCTAACGTTACAAATGCTCTTAACCAATTCATCTTAGCATCAACTGTATGGTGAATGCTTGTGGTATACCACATATCATCACTATCATGTGCTGGTCACAGACTTTACGTAACAAGGCTTTATAGTGATAGTCATTAGATAATGGTTGTGGCTCTTGAATTTAAATTTTGGTAATATTTATCATTATTTATCAGTTTGTATATACACTTTTGGACTGCAAAACATTGTTCACAATTTCCCCAAATAAAGAAGAAACAAAACACCAATGAGATTATTTGAAGATAAATATATACGACTTGCTGCGATATACCTGATTATCATTCTTATTTGCGCATGTAACATTAAAGGTGTACAACTCAACTATTCAATTTCAAAACTAATTACAACTATGTCAATGCCAAACTCATTGAAGGCAAAAAGTAAGCTTTTTATTGTCTATTTGTTTTAGTTTCAATTTTATGGTATCCAGACTCACAGAATACATACCCTCTTGATCATCCTCGGAATCCTCATCATCAGTATCAGCAACTTCCCAACCAGGGTGAGCCTCTAACCATTGATGAAGTTGACTAAGCATAGGGGCTTCATCTCCACTTAATACCTTTCCACTGCTTGTTTCAATCACTGTGACAGGTTTGTCAGATCCTTGAGAACCATCATCGTCCGCATCCATATTACCTTCTGCACTTTGTTTCTTCTTTCGTCTCTAAAATAACGATTATTACAAAAAAATTCTTAAATAATTACAAATACTTACACGTTTGCGTTTTTCCTCCTCTTGTTGCTTGCGCCTTTGCTCCAACTTGTGCTGTTTCACCATCTCAGTCAAATTACTAATATACTCGTCAGTCTGTGAGAGAAGGAATGCAAGACGTTTGTCTTTCTTTTGATCGATAAGTTTACGATAACCCTCTTCATCTTCCGCCATTAGTCTGCGCATACGTTCCTTTTCAATCCTTTCTTGCTCTTTCTTTTGTTCTCGTTCAGCGTTCGCGTGATGATTCATAACTGCCTTATTAATTCGCGCCAATTTCGCTTGGTTATTGCGGTGGAACTCCTTAAAATCTTTGCCATGTTGTAAAACGCAAGTTAAAAACTCCTGATGTTTCTGCCGACGTTTACGTTCGGCGTCTAATTTTTGCTGTTTTTCCAACTTTTCGGTCGCTCTTGCTTCACGAAGACCTTGCCTCTTTGTCCGCTTGTACGCTTTAACGTTAACCGCAGTTTCCAAGGTCGTATCGCGACGGGTACATGCTACAATTTCACTGCGAAGTTGTCGTTGAAAATTCAAACACCTCAAAGCGCGTAATTCGATTTGAGCCTTTATACGTAAGTCATCTGGCATGTTTGTCGGTAAATTGGCTAACTGTTCCATTCTGGCAGCGATTCGTGCAGCAACTCTAAAACGTTTGAAAGTTAACACACACTGGTTAACAAATGGTGAAGTTGAAACCTATTTTCACGTTCTTGAAGAACAATGAGAGGATCAATTCCAACAGGTTTTGGTATAGATGTTACTCGGTTCTGTTTGGGAGCCGGATGCTGCCCTTGTCCCTGCTGAGCCGGAGGCGTGGCGCCAGGTCGAATGCCTTGCGGTATTGGTGGGGTATTATTTTGTTGTCCTGGTTTTAAACCCACTGGCTATATAAATAAACATTTAATAGATTCATAATGTGATAAAGATGATGTGTAACAATGTAGTGTAGAGTGAGTACTCCAATGTAGAGTAAATTTAATTAATTGTGTTTTTGCGTATATTTAATGTTTTTTACTTGGCCAACAGTGGGCTGTACCGCTTTAGTGGGGGCATCACGAATTGACTGAAAATATTGAGTAGGCAAAGGTGCGCTCTGTTGCATCCAACAAATTTCATTATTTTGATTCAGTTTATTAAACAGAATCAAAATCAGTATTTTACTGGTATTTTCACAATGTAGCCTGCAATTTGTTACCATTAAACATTTTGAAGGAGTTTATGGTGCGCGAGGAATAAGAGTACTGAGGTTAGCTCGTAGCTTTTCATTCTTGAAATGGTTTAGGACATTTCATCATCATATTATACATTCACGGTACTGATCACTGACACCGAAACACTGTATACACTATACATATGGGCAGGCCTGACGAGAAGGGGGGGTAAACGGGGGGATTCCCCCTGGGCCCGGATTTTGAAAAGTGCCCATTGCATGGTTTTTTGGGAATAAATTCCCGAACATGTATCGCTTTACGCATTTTTTGCACATTATCAGTATCTGTAGCCAGTGCTGAACGTTCATTTAGCGTCTTATCGAGGATAAAAAATTTTCATCGTTCTTCCTCAACGCAAATGCGAACTTCGGGATTAGCAACTTTTTGTCTGGAATCAGATTTGGCAAGAAAGTTGAATTTTGACACTTTAATCAAAGCATTTGCCACTGCCAAAGCGAGGAAAGCATATTTAAAATAGGTCCGTAGGCGTTCGCCGCGTATAGGTCGTATTGTAGTAATTAGTTGAGATCACGAACTTATAAATTAAGATGGACTGCTGATCAAACAGTTGCATAGAGGTAGAAATGGCCCTAACATGGGCGCCGCCATGATGTGCACATTCTAGTTATTTTCTAGGGGAATTTTCCTAGTGCTCAAGTTTTGAGACTATTGCAGCTTGGAAAATGACATGTGTCACAGTAATTTATTTAGAAAACGTGAGGTTAATGTTGGGTTAATGCTTGTTTATTAGTTGATTTGAATTTCGCGCCATGTGAGTGCACATCATGGCGGCCCCCATGTAGGTGCACATCATGGCGGCCTCCATGTAGGTGTCATTTGTTAATTCAGCATTAGCAGTCCATCTTAATTTATAAGTTCGTGGTTGAGATATTCATATATTGTATGTGCACGTAAGTATATGTTTCACTAAAATAAAATATTTCATATTATGAGTCCTTGATTAGTATTTTGGGTGCCAGTTTGATATGCGGTCTACCTCGGGGTATCTGGTTCGATATGCGGTCTACCATGCATAATGCGGTCTACGAGAGAGTACTGGTCCAATATGCAGACTATTATGTAGGTACATATTCCGCTTTGGGACTTTTTTTAGATCTCTAGATTCCATAAGCGATCTACACCAAAAATTGTTTATTATTTTTATTATAGTTAATTATTCATAATAGTTCAATTCGAGGTTTAATTACAAGCTATTACACATGCAACGCCCTCCCTAAAGAAAGCAATAAAGTAAGTAATTGAAAAACGGGTAATTGAGTACTTTCACTAAGGGATGAGTATTATGATACTCATTAATTAATAATTAATTAATTAAAATTATGTCCACCCACAAAGAGGTGCACATACTCAGGAATTGAAAGATCCTGGTTAGACGCCAAAGTGAAAATTTTGAAGAAAATGAGAGGTGTTCCAGTGCACACTTTGCAATCTCAGTTAGATAATGTCGCATGGAAAGTGCTGCGAAAAAACGCAGAGGATAAGTTTATTGCATTTCTGAACGACGTTAGAGATGTATATGTATAAATTGACAATGTAATCATCTTTACTGTATGTACATACACCGTTAATTAAACATAAGTTTCTTTCTTTTCTGAACATGTAGATTGTAGGTATAATCCAGTTAAATTGTAAAGGGTTTACCAATAGGGACGATAGGATTTTAAACGTTTAAGGCGGCTATGTTGGATGCCAAACATTTGACATATGCTGTCAGTTGTCATCAGTAAGGCTTACCATTTCATCATGAACAAGTTCACGTTGCCTCAACGCTTGGAAATTATCCAACAACATGCCACACAGCGAACGCTACAATGGACTTATTGCGTCAACAGTTTGGTGAATCGTTGATTTCTCAAAATGGCCCCCACAATTGGCCGCCAAGATCATGCGATTTAACACCATTGGACTTCTTTTTGTGGGGCTATGTGAAGTCAAAGGTTTATGCGAATAAACCCAAGACTCTTGACGAGCTCGAGGCCAACATTCGAGCGACCATAGCTGCCATTCCACCCGATATGATCCACCGAGTCATCGAAAATTGGTCCGATCGGATGAGCCAGTGCAAAAAGAGCCGCGGTGGCCATTTGAACGATATTTTGTTTAAATCATAAATGGCATGAAATACAGCATCTAATAAAACCAATCAAACCTAAATTTGACCAAATTGACTGTGTTTTATTTCAATTTAAAATCCTATCGCTCTTATTGGTAAACCCGTTATTTTTACCAGGAAAGTTGTGGGGTAGTTTTGATTTCTTTGATTCTATATGTTTTTTGGGGTGCTGAATCCGAATCTGAGGTTTGCTAACAAAATTTCATGACGCAACATTGAAAAAAATACAAAAGAAGTTGAAAAAGATATTTTTTTGGCAGTGTTGTGCTTACAACTTGAAAACTATCAACTTTTCGAAAATAACCTTCCTATTCAAAATTAAAGTACATAAAATTTCCTACAGACCCCACTATTTAGTTTTTTTCCTCGATAAACCGTTCGGGCTCAAGCGCCAGTTGAAACTTGGCGTATTTCGGCTATCTCCACAAAACATAGTTTTTTCGCACTAAAACCCTAAATTAATATTAAGCGTTGTCAATAAGTGAATTCCTTGCATTTACCGACTATTATTTGAATTTCATATGTAAGGGTGGTTTTTTCTCATTTTTATAACATTCAAGGTGTTTATTGTAATCCAGAATTGTATGAGAAGTTAATTTCTAACGAACAACACTATATCATATTATTATATTATTTATAATATATAATACTTATACTGTGCCATCTAAAACTATTCCCGCTCTCTTCCGAACCAGATAAAGAACTCACAAAACCCTACCTTAGCATGTTTGGATAATTATTGTTGAATTTGGGAAATTGGCGCTGTGGTCATTATTAATTCAAAAATTCAAATGGCAAAAGGGGGTATATTGATTTCCTATTCAACGGCATTATCCCTCTTGCTCCGGTGTTCTGAAGAATCATGTATTCCTCGGAGTGGGGTAACGCAATTACCCCAGCTTAAATTTGTCTGCTAACAACTGAACCCGATGTATTTCTTTTCTGTTTACATGTTAACCAGCGACAAAAAGCGAGTTCATGATTTTGGACTGTCCGTCCGTCCATCTGTGTAACTTTGTGAGGGTGTGTATGTATGTGAATGGGAGGAGGGTCTCCAGATTGCAAACGCAGGTACACGGTGACGTAATGGGCCTTGGCTCATCTGTGAAGGAGTGGGAGAGTTTTATACCAGACGGAACAGTTATAAAATCTTTTGAGGAGACCGGTAGACAATGAAAAGTACGGATTTATATTTGCACAGAATAATAATAAAATAATAATAAAAGATGAGTATTTGCGGATACAGCTGAAATACCCCAATTTTCAACTGGCGCTCGAGCCCGAACGGTTCATCGAGGAAAAAAACTAAATAGTGGGGTCTGTAGCAAATTTTAAGTACTCTCATTTTGAATAGGAAGGTTATTTTCTAAAAGTTGATAGTTTTCAAGTTGTAAGCACAAAACTGCCAAAAAAATATCTTTTTCAACTTCTTTTGTGTTTTTTTCAATGTTGCGTCAAGAAATGTTGTTGGCAAACCTCAGATTCGGATTCAGCACCCCAAAAAACATATAGAATCAAAGAAATCAAAACAACCCCACAACTTTCCCGCTAGATGCCCGTTTAAGAACAAATGGCCTGTATTAGTAGGTATATATGTATAAATTGACAATGTAACCATCTTTACTGTATGTGCATAGTTAAACATAATAAATCTTATAGACACTAGTTCGCTTATTGATCCGTAATACCACAGATTTAAATATACTATTTAAATCTGTGGTAATACTTATGTTGGTCTGCATATTACCATAATTCAATGATATTACGTAGACCGCATATTCAACCAGCTATTCTCTATGGTAGACCACATATCGAACTGGCACCGAATAAAGAAATGTGGAATAGGTAAGTTTAAGCACAAAAAAAGGGCCCGTGCTTAACAACCCCCGGGCCCCAAGCTTCTCTCCATGGCCCTGCATATGGGGTGTAAAATTGATATACGCATATATCAATTACATGTAAAACACAGAATAAAATTTTCTGCAGTGTTTGGGTAGTCACGGGTCTGTGATCATCCAAATATGCATCAAGAATGTTGAAGTCAAGAATCTACTATTCAATAAAATTTTGATACTATGCTTTGCAAAAGTGTGTTTCCTTTAATTTTAAGTTTAATTATAAAAATTACCTGCTGTGCTGGTGTAGAATTTGTAGTTGGAGCTTGTGAATTAGGTGGACCTGGCGGTCGCATGGCTTGAGGCGGCTGACTCTCGGATGGCGCATTTTCATTTCCATCACTAGGCGGGGTTGTACCCTAAAATAACTTCTAGTAGTGAAGTCACTCATTGTCATACATTACAACTTAGATATGTTATAATTTCTATAAAAAGTTGCTTTTTGCTTACAACTTAAGAGATACGCTGGCATCTGAACTTAAAGGCAAATCTGTACTAATTACATTTTTACTGAAGATGCAATTCGGTAAAACTAAAAAAGTTTATTGTAATACACATGACTACTACATTCACATAGTGGAACTTCTATTTAGTGGTCATTTCTAGAAAATCAACCAGAGGAGGAATTTTCTCTCCATTACATCATGTCAAAAAATGTTTGATAAGGCGTTTATTACTTATTATTATTACTAGATGTCGTCTAGTACAAAAATAGTCACGTGAATCGCGCAGGTAGCCGCCCACTGGAAAACTTATGTCTTTTTCTTCGCATGCGCTAGATAAAGATGAAAATTTATTAGCATAATTTGTGTACACCTCACAGCCGACCAGTTTTCCATCTATACTATAGGAAGTCTAGTAGACCCGGCTAACTTCGCATCGCCCTAACAGTCATTGTTCCGCTCCCGGATGGGACATAAGCTCAGTTTCGGCGGCGCATCGCCTCACCTCGCCCAAATGTCCCACTCCCAGATACGACATATGCTCGGTGCCCCACCTCGCGCATTTTTACTAAATCAGAGACACCCGTCCAACCATTCCCCAAAGTTTCATTGGTTTCAACAGTTTAGGCAGGCATAAAACACATACATACATCAATAAGGGAACATATAATCGAAATTTAATCGTAATGTTTAAAGTTTAATAAATTTCCAATTTTACATTACAGGGAAGGTTGAGTGGCTTACTTCTACCCAGCGATTTATGCTACTCCATTTAGAGAACAACCTAAACAACTTCAACTCGTTCTCAACAATTTGAGATAATCAAGTGTGCGTTGCCATTTCTTGAGAAAATCGTCCATGTAAAGGCATACAACAAAAGAGTTAAAAGAAATCTCATTATCTATTATTATTGAATACACAAAGAAAGAAACGTAACCTTCTACATCAAATCGATTTACAATGGCCCGTCTTCCTGATCCCTATCAAAAGAGGAGCCGGAGGGAGGGGGGGGGCACTAGTTCTATCCTTCATGATAAATCGAATATAACAGATTATTATCAGAGGGCGATTGGTACGTCTGGGAAGAAATAAATTAATTGGTGGTGTATCTCAAATATCTTGCAAACGAAGTGTCGGAAGAGGGTCCTCATAAAGGGCAAGTGGAACGTAAGGGACCAGACTAATGATAGAAATAATTGAGATATTTCAATAATCGATTATTAGTAATCGACATATTTTGATAATCGACTAATATTAGTAATTCAAAAACAAAAATCTAGCGAAAAATGATCTATACATTATATAACCCAACCATACTAAGCTTTACTTCGATCATATACTACCTTTGATCGAAGAAGCATTTGCACAATTTACACTTGTTGTTGGCTTCCAACTTTGGATGTTATGTTTTACAATTTACAGAATTCAAAAATGAAATTTTACTTCAATATATTTTCCCCAAGAGGTAATTAAACAAGCACTACTGCATCTACTGCAAGTTCTAACAAAAATCAACAAGCTACTTACTTGAGCAGAAGTAGGAGCTCCTTGAGATGGATATGGGCTTGTTGGTGGTGGTGTAGGGCATTGGGGAGCTCCGTCTGGTCGCTTACCCTGAACTGCTAAAGTCATTTGTTGAGTTAATGGTTGATTTCGAGCCAACATACGATATGCCATTATTTGAACCCTATCAGTAACAAAAGTTATCAAAATGTGAACCAAAAACTGTAGCAACATTGATTCAGAAATACCAGTAAGATAACAAGCCACCCTGCACTAAAGGACTTACCGTAATTGTTGCATTTGCACCTGTGTGAAAGCAGAAGTTCCGTTGGTTCGTGCTCGTAGCGATAATAACTGAGAATACCTTGGATCTTCTTGCATCCCCTTTTCTTCCATGGAGTCTATAGCTCGTTGTAACGCGTTAAGATTTTCTTGCCCCTGAGGTCCAGCCTGTCCCGTTTGTACACTCATTGGAGGGCCTGACGACGGACCTTGGGGGCCAGGTGAGGAGGAAGGATTCTAGCACAGAGATATGTATCGGCAAAAAATTACAATTCACTGCAAGTACCTGCCCTTGTTGAGGATGAGGCATTGGCATTGGATGACCAGGATATGGCTGACCCGGCGGTATATTGTGGCCTTGTGGAAGACCGTGCGGTGGTCCACCTGGATGTCCTTGCGAGTTGAGGTGACTTTGAGGAGGCGGACCATGTGGCTGGTGAGGGTGGCCGGGATGGCCCTGCGGTGGCGGAGGACCAGCCTGCATGCTAGGATGACCTTGCGGTGGTAAGTTTCCAGGGTGTCCTTGGGGTGGACCTTGAGGAACACCAGGATGCCCTTGAGGCGCTCCCGGGTGGGGCTGCTGGATAGGCGGCCCACCGAGATGACCAGGGTGTCCTTGATGAGGAGCCGAACCTTGATGCGGACCCCCGGGATGACCTTGCGGCGGCGGACCAGGATGCCCAGGAGGTGCACCTATTACGTGTGGTGGCATGCCTGGGTGCTGCTGAGGGTGCGGATGACCGTTTGGAGGTATGTTGCTGAGAGATTGAGGTGGTATATGAGCTCCAGGTGGATTGGGACCCAACTGATGTGGTGCTGATGGCATGGCCCCCATTCCAGGATGTCCTGATCCAGGACCAGGTGGCATACCATGTGACGGCGGCCCATTAATATGGCTTTGATATGGACTATGCGGGCTTGGCGGCGGCGCTGGACTTTGTGATGGTGGCCCCATGGGACTTGGGGCTTGTGGAGGAGGCATTGGACTACTTTGGGGTGATGGGCTTGCCATTATCACTGAGAAATATATGAGATTGAACAGTAGTATTAAAATGTAAGATGCTACCTACCACAAAACAAAAAAGGTCTAATGGAACAGTTTCTAGGTATGTGTTTAATACAGGGTGTACCATCTAAGATGCCTCAGATCATAATTCCTTTACCATAAAAGATACCGAAAAACGTCTTAGAGCAAAATTATACACAATTAGGTACCGTCGCCATGAGGCGTGCTGTGTTCCAGTAGCGTATCAAACTTGCTTTTTTGGAACACCCCATATTTTATTGCAGATTTGGAAAGAACTGGAAAAGTACTTATTTTTTTATGTCATGTTACACCCTTAACTTTAACGATTTGGCTGTGATAACCTTTTTTCCTCAAAATTTGGGATTTTTTAATTTTTTTTTAGTTTTGAATGGAGTTAAGACCACTTCCACTGTCACATAATTTTTTTGTGTATGTTAACGAAAAAATAACATTTTTGATTGACCATCGCTAAATGTCATATTTTTTAAAATTTCAATTGACACCCCCCTAAACTAATTGTAGCTGTAGATAGTCCAAACTACCACATTTGCACTGATAAAAACAAAACCACCTATTTCATAAGAAAATTTCACACAAATGACGTCAAATGTCAATTTGTAAAAAAAAAGTTCTTTCCAGAACTCGAGGCTGCCACGATGAAACAAAAGATGTTCCATTGCCACAATTAACAATAAATTGTCAGCAGTGTATGATTGTTTTTTAATCAGTGTTGCGAAAATGTTTCCAAACTTAAGCAGAGATGGTTGATATGGTGGCGATTCTTGGAGAATGTTACCAAGAATTGTTTGTTGGCGTCACAAGTGTACGCTGGGAGATATTCTGGCACAACACATCCAGATCCACACGCGTTTCAAAAGGTGTTGCAAGATGAAACAAATCTTTTATAACACGAGGGGTAAACCGCTGAAGTAATTTTGTGTACACGGTTTGAGTAATACGAGTAATACCGAGTAACAGCTGAGTAATTCCGAGTAATAGATAGTGGAGTAATACCAAGTAATGGTTGAGTAATACTGAGTAATAGTGGGTAATACTTTGTGGTAAAATACAACATTATGTATGAGTAATGGTGTACACGTTTTAAACCAGCAGTTTACCCCTCGATATAACACCATCGATAACACCTTTGTAAGACTTCGAGGAAGGTTTCTAATGGGTTTGAAGGAAATCCTTAAGAATATCTCTAAGAAGATTACTAAAAGATATAACGTCATGGTAAAGCGCTATCTAACCTACGATAAGTATCAAGTTTTTAAAAATTAACGAAGCAAAAAAAATATAGAAATGTTTTACGACCCTCCGTCCTTCCATCATCTCAAAAGAGAATTTCTGACCATTTTTATATCATTATATGATTGCCGGCCCCTGTGGCGAAGTTCAGTTGCAGCTGGACTGTGGTACTAAGGGTTCCTGGTTCAGGACAAGTATATATTTGTAAATGTAGGTATAGTGGCTTAGTTCATACAGCAGCCTTGGCAAAACCCCGCCCACTTAAAAATAAAGTCAAAAAATAAATAAAATAAAAATGTATATGAAATTTTATAGAAAAATCAGTTTTTTGTTTTAGACTGCATGTCTCGCTCCCTCACCAATATCGTAGAAAACTAAAAATAATTTCCAAAATTTTCTTTTCACTACTTTTTCATGAAAAAAAATTCAACCCGAAATCTTTTAGTTTTTTAAAATTTGAAAAAAAATTATGACTGAAATTCTTGCCCACATCACAACAATTGTCAGAATTCCACTAAATTTGGTGGGTATATCTTTTTTGTGTATTTAACAACAAAACTGTGGAGCAATGTTTTTATGTAATTTTGGATCTTCGGTTTATATGGAAAACATAGATACTTCCGATTATACCCACTATATTCCGACGCAACCGTTCGACTCCTATTCCAACTTGCACAGCTACAAAAATGCTTAAATGTGAAACGATTTCTTTCAACAGAATTTGTGGAAAACCATTAGACCAAGTTACTGTCATTATAAAATCAAAAACCAGGGAAATATAAGGAAATTATTATCAATGTTCACTGAATTGTATTGATTATTACTAACAGCTTTAGGGTGAACGTTCCCGTAGATTTTGCCACATGTAAACTAAGCTTTAGGAGTATTAATTTTTTGTATGCTTTATTCCACGAATTCATTTTTCATATAATGTACAAAACGAAGGTCAAGGCTAATATGAACCAGAAATCCAACACAAGGGTGTATAACTAAATTATTTAGGTGTAGATTCTCTGTGTGAACCTGCACCAAGAAAAATTATGGCGGTGACACACTCAAGTGTGGCAATCTGGTTTGATAATACGTGAAGGTTAGAGAAAAGTTTTACCGGGTGGCGACGATAAATACTAGAATTGCGTACTGGTAAGTACACTTTGACAGTAAATACGCTATTTTGAAAATACAATTTCTTATTTATCTAAATATTTGAATAAGTATACAGTTATGACATACACTTTTCCAGAAACCTTCTGCGTTGCCTATTTATAATATTACTAAATAATAGAGACGCATACTTACCATCGGTGTGTAAAAAACGAGAATCCGTAATCCCCCGACCTAATCACACAATTACAGAATCATTTAAACTTGATAAACAAGGATTATTTGTTAACAATCAAAACTCAGCAATTTTACAAGTGATCGTTCTGTACACTGCTTACATTACAGCATAAAGCGTTACCTTCTAGCGCTATCTATCTCTCGTTTGCTTAAGCGGGAATGTTAAAAGGAAATAGAAATATAAGCTAACGTGTATAGAAATGGCGGTTATTGTAGTAATATCGTATCCAATCGATAATTTCCACCACCAGCCAATAAATTAAGGAAAATATACCTCTGGACGAGTACGTAAAGGTGCTAGGTTTTGTGCACGATGTAAATTTTTGAATTAGCATACCTACGGCTACCCTTTCATATCCATTGTTTTTAGGAAATATTCATTCTTTTTATAGGCTATGGCCTATGGTTATTGATATACAAAGTAGTGGTAGGCTTGGGCTTGGACAGGTAGTTATCAAGCTTTGTCACTCAAAGTAGTGAAGTCGAGGCATGATTTATAGGTCTGCGAAACATACTAAATGGTTGAATGGTTAGAAGTCCATAGAATACTTTACTTGCCAAGATTAACCGACCATCGTATTTATTAATCATCATAACAAATAATGTGGGTGACCGAATAGAAACATTTCTCCGCATAACACGGTACTCCTCCCAACTAAGATAAATAACTAACTACAAATCTAATCGTTTGGGAGCTCAATTTAGACAACCACTGATACGAATTAAGGAAATGCTTGATGAAACCAGGTGAATCCACCTGTTGCTGCCTCTGCACTGCGCTGGATAGATGGGACCAGGAGGCGCAGATGGCACTGTATTGTTTGATGTATTCAGTGGTTCTACAATAATGTCTTCGACAAATGTTAATTGAAAGCGTTTGATACAGGAGGTTAGTTTGCAGTGGGAGTTCGGGGCAACTGTGTCGTGTATTGTTTTTCTACCTTATGTAAGTGTACAGGGTGGTTCAAATTTAAGGCTCATCATTGGGATCTCAGTAACGGTGACCAATACAGTGGGGGGGTTTTGTGACTAAAAAGATGCATTTTTAGAAAAATGTTTGAATATAGGAGATATCACGGAAAAACTGAAAACATCAAATTTAGTTTTTATTTTCCCTAGCTTAAACCGTCGGAAATTGATGGTTCCCGTTTGCAGCATCTATGGGCACTTTTTTTGGAAAATCTAAATCTGTTATAAGAATTTTCATAACACGCTAGATGTACTATGCGATCAAAAAAGGGTTGCTGTCGAGTCACTTTTGGCATGTTTGTTTACATGGGAAATCATTCAATTTGAACTTCCAAAGGCGACTCAACGTCAAACCTTTTTTGATCGCCCTTTAGGAGCTACAGCAGGCTACTATACAGTGTGTCCCAGATCGGGTGGGATTGCATTGGTAACTTTCTTATTATTAAAGATAGAGAATTGGTTAAATGGACAATGTTTTGCAGTTTTAGATACTTATGGAAATTCAAAATGTCGAATAGGTTCGACGTAAATTCAAAAAACTAAAATTGGTCATTTCCTTGAATGTCTTATATCATCCAAAGCATAAGAGATTGTTACTGTCTTTGATACGCCTAATTTAGAATTGATGTCAAAAAAAATTCAAGGTGGCTAACCTTGAGGAACATTTACCAACTTCCTAAAGTTAAATAGGCGCCATATTGGATTTTTAGATTATTTGATAGATTTTTTAATTCTCTTTTCAACGAGCTATCAGCGCATAAGATTGAAATTAAGATACCAGATACGGTTTTTATAGTTTAATCAAGTAGGCTATGATGAATTAAAAAAAAATAAAACAAAATCCATTCGAGGCAATAAAATGATGAAAGTAATTACATCAGATGTTTAAAATATCAGGGGCGCACTGATGGGAGGGGAGTGACTTTTATGACGTTACTTACTTATTGACTATCATATTATCCATACTTACATACCTACAAAATGCTGGTATAACTACAAACTATCCCCTCGAAAAAAATGCCATGCCATTATCCAGTTAAGGACATTTCAAGACATTTCGCTTTACTTTACACAATAGCTGTATTCGTTTCAAGTGATTTAACTAAGTTAAATCAGTTTAAGTGATTGCACTTTGTTTTTTTCGTTTACAATCTTAGACCATATAGCCATGTACTACATGGTCTAAGATTGTAAACGAAAAAAACAAAGTGCAATCACTTGAAACGAATACAGCTAATGTATTACCATTCATGCATTGTCTCAGGTCACATTTTCTAGGTGGTTTATCCGTAAGAATAAGAATATCGAAACTAACTGCAGTTTTACCAGTCCGAGTATATGGACAGATGAGTCTTATTTTTCTAACTGCGGTATGTTCAAATCGAAATAATGAACAGTACTCGTCACAGGAAAACCTACATGTTGTAGTTTGACGCCTAAATCAAGTAAGGTTTTAAATTAATGTATTTTATGACATAATGGGCAGTCATGTAATTGGACCGGTAATCTTTGATGGAACTTGAACTGATCACCATTATTTACAAATTCTCCAATAACTTCCTTAAAGGATTTTCTGGACAACGTATGTTTTGCAGAAAGGGTTGGTTTATAATACCCACCAACAATTAAGCTGGCTGCCCAGGTCACAATTCACGAATTGTGTATCCTAAAGTAAACTGCCTAGAAGTGTGTTTCACTAATAATGGCCAGTATTTTAAACATGTGATGTAATTATTTTCATTGTTGTGTTGCCTCGAATAGATTGTTTTGTTTTTTTTTTAATTCATCATAGCCTACTTGATTAAAATATAAAAACCGTTGATATAACTGGTATCTTAATTTCAATCTTATGCTATGATAGCTCGTTGAAAAGAGAATTAAAAAATCTATCAAATAATCTAAAAATCCAATATGGCGCCTATTTAACTTTAGGAAGTTGGTAAATGTTCCTCAAAGGTAGCCATTTTGAATTTTTTTTACATCAATTCTAAATTAGGCGTATCAAAGACACTTTTATATAAAACTTTTTTTATATCTCTTATGCTTTCGATAATACAGGGTGACAATTTGAAAACTTACCACCCCCCATATCTTAGTAAATAAACGAGATATTAAAAAAAATCAAAATCCGTTTCGGTAATTCGGAGGGGGAATCACAATGACATAGTTGGCGACGCACCCCCTCCAACCCTCTGCGCCCCAGCCACCCCAATTTTTAAATCTTAAATAGTGACCCCCCATGTGTGATACGTCGTTGGAAAGCTCTGAAAAAATGCTTTCCAACCATACCAAATAGCATTACATTTAGGTTAGTAATTCTCGTGCAAATCAAAAAATAAACATGGAAAATCGTATTTAACTTGAACTTCCAAAGCCGACTCGACAGCAACTCATTTTTGATCGCCAGTTATAATCGATTCTCAAACTCTTGTCGAACCTTTTCAAATGTTGGTTTTGCAATATTTCGACATTCTTGAATTATTCTCTGTCTTAGTTCGTCTATGATCGCCGGTTGCGTTTTAAATACGACAGATTTCAAATGTATCATATTAGTTTATTTTTTGATTTGCACGATAATTACTAACCTAAATGTAATGCTATTTGGTATGGTTGGAAAGCATTTTTTCAGAGCTTTCGAACGGCGTATCACACATGGGGGGTCACTATTTAAGATTGAAAAGTTGGGGCGCAGGGGGTTGGAGGGGGTGCGTCGCCAACTATGTCATTGTGATTCCCCCTCCGAATTACCGTAACGGATTTTGATTTTTTTAAATATCTCTTTTATTTACTAAGATATGGGGAGTGGTAAGTTTTCAAATTGTCACCCTGTATAAGACATTCAAGGAAATGACCAATTTTAGTTTTTTTGAATTTACGTCGAACCTATTCGACATTTTGAATTTCCACAAGGAAATTTTAAATAAGCATCTAAAACTGCAAAACATTGTCCATTTAACCAATTCTCTATCTTTAATAATAAGAAAGTTACCCATGCAATCCCACCCGATCTGGGACACACTGTATATGGACGCCAAATTTTTATGGAATGAGATAAGAGGACCAAAAAGAAAAATAGAAAAAAAAAATCATCTTGTTACAGTAAGATCTAGCGAAGCGTGGATGTTTTGTTGAGAAATGGATTTAAAACATTTGATTTTGAAAGTTTTCTTGTAGATTTATGTAAAAGTAGAGTGTCGCACGTCATTATTTTTCTTTTTTTGTCCTTTAATACCGTAAAAGTCAAATATAGCGCCCATAACTAAGAAATAAAAAAGTAGTACACATTCCAAAGTGCCGACAGAAGGAACTATAGGTATATTGGTCTGTGCTGATCCCTTTTCAATTTGCAAGATAATAGAATGCATAAAATATAGTTTTTGTAATTATATCTACTGTATAGGGTGTCCCAAATTTGAGGGTGACCATATTGGGATCTTGATGACCATCAGAGATAGGAAGTCAGTGGCAAAGTTGCTTATTCTGGAGTCGAATCGAACTTGTCTTAGAAAGTGAAGAAATTTTGAATACTTACTTTCGGAGATCCAGAAAAAAACGAATTCTTCTGTATTTTTTTCACTTTATTTGTTGAGATTTTTGCAAACAAATGAAAAAATTTTTGTAGTGCAACATCTTCTTCCCTTTAAATTTCACATTTCGATTTTTTGGGACATCATCAACTTCATTTTTTTTTAAATATGGACCTACATTTTTTTTTATATTTGCCGTTTTGAAAAAATACATGGTTCGTACTTGCACCTTAACCTTTAGAGCATACAATAAAGGATTTAAGGATTCGATAAAGGGTGTCCCGTTTTTAATACATAGGGTCCATACAGTGGCGTATCCAGAAATTTTGTTCGGGGGGGGGGGGCTCGAACTTTTAAATACATAAAACAATTTTTACAAGACGAAATTTAATTTCCTATTTTTTTTACATTCTACGAATTTATCAATTACCATGTCATCGGCAATCACAATATCTCTATGGATTGCGAAGGCGTGAAATGTGAAACCGCAGTACAACAGTGCAGTGCGCTGATTGCTTGTTATGGAAATGGAAACATAATACACTAGCGAGTAAAAAGCCTAAAAACAGTTCAGTAAGCTTAGGTACCTGACATTAGCCCGTTTTGTGCATTCCTATATTTTTCTCGGAAAATTAGGTAGGTAAGCGTAACCCAAACTGTTAAAATATGTCTTTTTAAATACCCACTCTTTTTTTCCCGTTCTTGCATATCCTTTCCTTATTGGCAGAAAATTAAGATGATTGGCAACTTTTCGGGGGGGGGGGGCTGCAGCCCCTTCAGCCCCCCCCTCTGAATGCGCGTCTGGGTCCATAAGATATCTGTAATTGTTATTTCAAAAAAGTAATATAGGCGTAATGTTCTTTTTGGGCCAAACTTACAAATAGTAAAATCAAAATTGGGGAATATTTGCTCTCTTAAGAGATGCGCGGAAAATCAAAAAATTGTTAATTTCAGAATGTGAGCCTACATTTTCTTAGTTAAAAGACATCAAGAAAATGTTTATTACTAAAGTTTCTTTACATAATGATGAACAGTTATCGGACCTAATCTCATTCTTTAAATGGAGCACTGTATATTTTAATCTAATAAGGTAGCATATTTCAAAAATTTACCATACATAGGATGATATTCAAAAAAAGTATATTGTCTCAATGCATGTGCGTTTCTTTGTATATTTTGAAACTACGTTGGTATGCAGATTAGATGAGCTATTGGAGTTAGTTTGCACAGCAGTGAGATCGATCATTATGGATTATTGTATGTAGGTAAATACAAATTTGATTTTATTTTTAGATATGGAAGCATTTAAAAAATACAAACTTTGTCTTAAAGAACTTGATTACCCAAACGTAAATGCCCTCGATGAAGAACAAATACCAAGTATATTTTCTTTAAATAACCAAAGGTTTCTTTTATCATGGATTATGACGAAACTGAATCCAGGAACACTAACTATAGATGAACCTTCTAAACTATCAGAAACAGCAATTGAGGACTATTTTCGTCAACAAGGCCTTTGTAAATCATCACAAAAATTATTTAGCTCAGAAAGTGTTGACGTACAGGTATTTTGTTCTTTTAAAATGCAGTCATAAGAGAAACTGTACTGTTTTTTTTTCAGATAATATTCTTTGACCGAATTTTTGAATATCTCAGACAACTTAAAAATAGCAGGGAAGTAGATGACGCAGACGAGATCCTACAATACGAAGATGTTGTTAATCTTTTATCGAAAAATGTTAATTTATTTCCCAGTTTTGGACCTGTAACAAAATACACTCCAGAGAAAAGGAAGAATACTCTCTCAACATGCAAACAACAGATAGACATTTTAAAAGGCAAAATCAATATGGATTTAGTAAATGTCACTGATAAAATAGATTTCAATGATCTGTTGTTTAATGAGAGTGACATTAAACGAAAAGAAAACTTAAAGAAATTTGTCAACAATTTGACTACTGCTGTATGTATGATTAAAGAAACGGATAGAGAAAGTGAAGATGATACATTTAATATTGGAAATGATGTTAAACAAGATTTGGAAACCTGTTGCATGGAAATGAAGACAATTTTACAGGTACACTTCACTTTTAGATACACGCATAGGCATAAAAACATTTTTTTAACGCTTTGTGTTGCTTTATTGTTATAATATTTTAAACACCAACAAAATGACATATTTAGTATTTTCTAAAAACAATTGAACTTTTTTTTTGAATAAAAAAGTGTGTTGTAACAATTTAAAAAGTAATCGTTAACGATTTACAAAAAGCGCATTTCCACTTGCATTCATTTCCGATTTGTAGATCTTCTGTTAAAATCGTAAAAATCTGGCCACATGAAAGATAGCGTTGCAAATGTGCAATCCATTTTTGACGTGCTACTTCAATTTCAGTTTATAAGAAGAATTTCATTTCAATGCTTTTCTAAATAAGAAAGTTGGAACTGCGCATGCGCAAATCTAAATTTTGAAACTAACGTTAGATTTTCCTTTGTTCCAAGCGCCTATGTATCAAATTTCGTTTAAATTCTTCCATAAATAAAAAAGTTGGCACTGCACATGCGCAAAACTAAATTTTGAAACTGGCGTTAGATTTTCATTTATTCCAAGTGCCTATGTAACAAATTTCATTTAAATACTTTTATAAATAAAAAAGTTTGCAATTCGGTTTATAAGTGGTCGAGATGCGAAAAGGGCACTGTGAATTTTGAATCGATTCGATTCAACTTTTGGCATTGCGTATTATATGGCTAAAGCTATGCCCATATGGAATTTCATGCAATTCAGTTCATAACTAACAGAGATGTTAAAGCGATCTGACATTTCTAACCAAAATTATGGCTCACACGGACAGATAGAAGAACAGACAGACGACAGACAGCAATACAAAATTATAAACGATATCTAGGATCGTTAATAAACGGCAAAAGTGGAAAATTATGGAACATGTAAAAAACGGTTTGTTGGTTTTTTTACAATAACTTTTTTAGCATAAACGCAGAATAAATTCCTTGGTGCAAGCCTCGACACCATAACGAACCAAATAGCGAAAAAATAGAACAGTAGCTCTTAAGATAAAGAACTAGTAGCGTCTCAACGAACGAGCGGACAGACGGACGGACGGACAAAGTGGCTACAATAGCGCATTTATTTTTTATTTTTGTGGAAATGCGCTAAAACAAGGCCGAACAATCACAAACTGATGTGACAAAACGATCTTAGGTTAACCAAAACTGAAACAATTTGCTAGCAAACACTGGGGAGCCCCATTTTGTATTAACGGGTGTTACTCACACGTGGTCGAATTAATGCCTGTATTCTCTTTGGGCATGCCTAATATCAAGTGGCGAATGTCCGCTTGGATTCCTTTCCGTGCTGGTGAGTGCAGTGAAAAGAAACTGAAATTATGTCTTTCTCTATTGAGTTTACGTCTTCTAAAACCAAAAGTTTTATTTGCACCAAAGCCAATGAAGAGCATAGCTCTTGGATTTTTGTAAAACCTTCTTTTCTTTTCTGTTATCTGTTCGATTCACCTCGAAACGAACTATGTTTCTGAGAGACAGCGTGCGCTTACAGGAACTACGTTTGTATAAATAAATAAACCCAACTGTGTCTCTTATTGCAAGGATTTTGAGCTAAATGAGATAGAAGCGTTGTAAATGTAAAAATATTACCTAATGCTAGTAACCTTCGAAGATGAAATAAACCGCGTGTAAAGCGGATCTAGAAAAGTCGCAGAGCAGTGTGACCGTACAGGGTCATTTCATTTGACCCATTTTCAATAGGCTTAGTTACATGTGGTATATTTAGGCATAGAGTAAATAACGTTTACTCTATGATTTAGGTCAACTGTCCAAAGTTTGAACCGAATCGGTGCAAGCATTTTCCAAATGTCATGATCATAGACAGACAGACATCATCAACTCCCCTATAAGCTTTCATCGCTTGGCTCTGCCGATTAATAATTGTCACCTTCTGATATTTATTGTGTATGAATTGACCAAACTTGTAAATTAAGCAATGAGTAAAAATGTAATACCAATCTCAACAGCTACTGCAAGTATTTAAAAAAATGGCAGCAATTGAGACAGCTGGAAAGTCACCATTCGCACCAATCAATGTATTACATGTCTATTATTTTGTCCACAGCTGTATAGCTGTCAAACTAATTAATATTAAACATGACCGAAAATTTCCACGACCTTCTCGCACCCAAAATTTTTTAAAATAAATTATATAGCATCCTTGGGTATTTTCCATTTTCCAATCCAGCCCCAGTAATTGTTCTATGTAACAAATAATGAACAATGAAGTTAACTGAATATATTTTTTTTTAGTATTTTAAAAGTATCAACTTGGGCCACGAGATCAGTAAACAAGCTACAGCCATCATATCCACTAAACCCGATGATGACTTTACTCCTGTTCTAAGGCAGTACGCAGAGGAATTTTCTACAACAGTGAAATTGCTACAAGATTAACGAAATATTATTTGTAAGGCTTATCTTTTAATAAGAATCTCAGCATTAATTTTTTACACTGCTTTATTTCAACTGTAAAAATGTTACATTACTATCTTTATATTAAAGTATTTTTTTCTATGGCATTGGTAATTAGCGTAAAAATCTTGCTGTTAGTGTCATTTAAATTTTCTACTATGGTAAAATGGTCAACGTCTTTTATTTCTACAAGCTCTGCATTGTAACCACTCTCAACTAACTTCTGATAAAATGACGTAGATTGTTCGTGAAAAGCAGGACTTTCATGCTGTCCAATTAATACAAGGAAATGTATAGTCTTGTTGGCTCTTATGCTTTGATGAAGTGGACTTAACTCTTTAGCCAACTCTTCGGTTAGACCTAATGCATCATTTACATACGTTCGCACAATAGGTACCAAATCATATACGCCGCTTATGCACACTACACCTTTTAAATAATGTTGATCAACCTCTGGCATTGAACAGAAGAATTCTTGAAATAAAGAAGCGGTTAAGTGACCACCAGCTGAATGACCACCTACATATATTCCTCTAAAACAGAAATAGGTTAAAAATGTTATTTTGAAAACTGAATTAGGTATACTTAGAGCCACATTTTTTGGCATACTCCAAACATTTCACGTAGGCGTTGCGGATTTCTTGAACTATCTCTTTAAGTGTGCAGTTTGGACATAATGTGTATCCGATAACAATCACTTTGATGTCCTTTCGATGGAAGCTTTCTACCAAATATGCAGAAATATCTTTATCTAGCTGTTGCCAATATCCACCATGTATGTATACAAATATAGGAGCATCTGAAATTGGACCACTGTAACAATTGGACAGATAGTGAAGATCTTATAAGGTTCATTAAAATCATTCATCAGAAACCACAAAGCAAGATGATAATTGAACCTTTGTTTATTCATTCAATGAATAAACAAAGGTTCATACTTACTTTGTTTATTCATTGAAATGAATAAACAATTATTGAACCTAGCGACTTTATATAGGTACAGGGTACACAGTCCATTATCTCTGTTATCTGCAAATCAATCTTTTTCAAATGTTCTGTAAAGAACAAAGAATTTATCAAATACATTGTCATTTTTAGCGCATTTTTGAAAAAAATACGCTATTATATTCGTCATTGCTGGCAGGCCGGCTGTCCGCGTTAGATCTCCACAACTACAATAGCTAGAGACTTCAAATTTTCACTAAAAGCTTTCTGCTATAGTGTAGATGTGCAGGCACTAGTCTATTTTGAGTTAGATTACTTGTGAGATCGATAATTGAAGAAAATAATTTCGATATGGGTTTCGGAGGTACTATAATTTTACCGTTAGATAGCGCTACCACTTATTATTTACTTTGCGATTTGTTTTACAAAATGAAGACGTACCGTCAATTGAAATTAAATAAAATTAATTATTTAACGCAGCCAAAATTACTCGTGAGATCGATAATTTTAAACTTCGCTAATAAAATACTGACCTGTATTACCAAAAATGCGCTTTAATCATGCATATGCTGATTTACAACTTGTTTTATTACTTCCGGGTTATCCGCAAATTGTACCAACTAAATTTATTTATGGAACATATCTTGTATACTCTATTTTATATTTTTGAATACGCAATAAAAAATTTAAATAACACTTCTCAATAAAATGTAAACTTATTCTTTTAATTTAAAAGATGTCAGATTACATAAATCCCATCACCGTCGCCGAATGTATGACAGCAATGACACGGTTTCACTTGTAGGTATTCCAGGCTTGCGTTGCGTATTGGATTAACAGATTAACTAATATCAATTTACCCAAGAAATTGACCAGTGAAGCGGTAACCAATATTTCCACAATATTCTGATATATGTGACCGTTGCAACAATAAGTAGGTAGGTATATTCACCTGGTGGAAGATCAGTTCCGTAAATGTCCAATTTTTCTTTTTCTGCATATCCATAAGCTACATTTAGTTCACAAGGAATATTTTTCCTTGCATATTTGCTTGCTAGGTGAAAAAAATTATCTGACTTTATTCAATTAATTATATGGAATAAAACATGTTACCTTGAGTAACAACGTCAATATGTAGCTTTATAACGTCAGGTACAGCTCTTTTTGTCCACTTACTAGGTGAAAACAAGAGATCTAACGACTCGTCAGTTACCATAGCTGTTTACACCTCTAGGCGTAGGTTATCACTAGATACTAATTTAATTTAAATTAAAGAAAAAGGATCACACTTATTCGCGATTCAACTGTGATGTTCCAAAGTTATCACAAAGTATGTTGATTGACCTTTACAATTTTGACTTATCATAGTATTAAATCTGACAAAAACAAAGGTCACTATACAAAGGGAACTTTATACAATATACTCCCTATAGGAACCTTTCTTTAAATAAATTAACCTTTTTACGAATTAAAAGTGCCCCTAAGACATCAGAGGTTACGAAATGGGCGCTGTAACTTTTTAAAAGTGACCGGTTGTGTTGAAATTTGGTGTACGGCTACTTTGGACATTAAGGACGGACGCTATCTCGTAAAATTTTCCCTACCATGTCGGTAGAGTTGTCAAACAGCATAAAAGGTAGTAAAATAAAAAATTCGTGTACCTATTGCCTAATTTACATTTGGCAAGTTTACTGGCGGAAAGTACTTTCTGCCAGTAAACTTGCCAAATGTAAATTAGGCTTATGGCACAACGGGCGATCGGTAATTTCTTCGGGTCATATTTTCTAACATTGCAAAAATTATACATGACAGCAGTCGATATATTCCGTTTTTCCATTGTGACAAAACTATTTAGTATCCTTTCTCCCAATTCAAATAATTAATGCAAAAAGTCGCATACATTTAATGAACGTATAGAAAAAAGAAAGCATACGCGCTCGAGTTTTTGAACCTGGGTTGTCACGATGTAAGCCAACGGTTATCATCTGCGCCAACGTGACGTATACTTTTTTTTCAATATATCAAAATATTATATTTAAGAATTTAACAAAAGGTTACAACATTAAAAATTTACAAAAAATTGTTTAAGAAACATTAAAAAAAAATTTACCGTATACTTAAAATATAAAAAATTTCATTAAATGCTATCTGTTGCGGTAAAGTGCCTAAATACAACCCGCATTCCCGCTTCCACATTCCCTGCTGAACAGCTAAACTAAATCTTTGTTTTAAAAATTTAAAACAACGTTTCTCTTGTGTTTTTTCAAAAATTTTTAGCGCATTTTTGAAAAAAATACGCTATTATATTCGTTATTGCTGGCAGGCCGGCTGTCCGCGTTAGATCTCCACAACTACAATAGCTAGAGACTTCAAATTTTCACTAAAAGCTTCCTGCTATAGTGTAGATGTGCAGGCACTAGTCTATTTTGAGTTAGATTACTTGTGAGATCGATAATTGAAGAAAATAATTTCGATATGGGTTTCGGAGGTGCTATAATTTTACCGTTAGATAGCGCTACCAGTATAAAAACTTATTATTTACTTTGTGATTTGTTTTACAAAATGAAGACGTACCGTCAATTGAAATTAAATATAATTAATTATTTAACGCAGCCAAAATTACTCGTGAGATCGATAATTTTAAACTTCGCTAATAAAATACTGACCTGCATTACCAAAAATGCGCTTTAATCATGCACATGCTGATTTACAACTTGTTTTACTAATTTCTGAAGTAATTTTTTTGCAGATGGACGCCAAGCGTTTCTATACCGAAAGGGTAGAAAATAAAACGGTCTAGTAGATTACTATATTTTAGCATCCTTTTTTTTTCTGCGGATTCTGCGGCGGATCCAGCAGCTGACGTCGATGAAACAATATTGCTTTGGCTAACGGTATCTACACATGTTATACGTCCCATATCAATTATTGTCGCCCGTTTTTCCATGGTCCGTATGTTATTCCATCTGGGCGTTTCCCGTCATTCCGTGAACAACTATAGGGGGTTCCAATAATGATGGAATTCCTGCACTTCTTAAAGCTAGTTGTAAAATATTGTTTAACGAAGTGTGTCGTCATTCATCTCCTTTAGTCCACAATGACCATAGTGAGGTTCACATAGTTTTGCGCTAAGTCGAAGTCCAATTGCAATTCGAAAAGTGTCGTTATCTAAGTGTTCCTAAATTGGTTACTGGTAGTGCATATACAAATGCTCCAGATTTCGCAGAACTTCCTGACAATACACGTGCTTTTTGTAGAGGATTTCCTTGAGATCGCGTTATCAAATCTTTATGACGTTTTTTTTACAATAAAGGATAGTCCCAGCTCTTTTGTAGTTTACGTTCAAGGAATATGATTCCATATTTCTAATTAATTCGTTAAGAAGATCGACCACAGAATGAACCGATGCCAAAAAGGCAGGAACAGCTAGTTCTTCGGCAGATCGAATTCCCAAACCTGAAAATGTTATTGGCAGCGTTGCAATTTCCCAATTTTCAGGGTTCATTTTACATTAGTGATCGTTTCAACAGAAATCATTAATTGGTGATCGAATGCTCGCAGTGAATCTATCTGGTGAAAGGATGGGTATGTTCGTAATATATAAAGCAGTTTTGGAATGCTGTCTGTACCAATGACGAAGTAGAATAAAGCTTGCTGAGAAGGGAGAACATTTAAACGAGACATTAGGGCAAGTTCATCAGTTTGCTTACCTATCAATAATTGAAGGTGCGGCTACATCCGTTAATGGACTACCAAGAAGTGACAGATTATCCTTTGTCATAAATTTTATATTTACTGAAAAGCCTTTTAATTTTTCTTCGATTCGGCGATGATCCAAAGAACAACCTCCGAAAATAAATGCTTCGCATTTTCTCCAATTTCTTTCCAAGCCATATTTGATATTTGATTCAATTATAGTTTGTAAATCTTGAAAAACGGTGTCTGGGGTTCCACCCAACGTAGCATCATCCAGATAATACTAGATCGGATCTTAAGTTTTGAGTTTAAAGGTGCGATAGAAATGCAGAAACCTAGTGGTGCAACTGGATCACCTTGTTGAACTCCCCAAGCGGAATGTATGATGTGTTCATATAGTATTTTAATTGTAAAGGATAACGATATTGTTGTACGAAAAAATGGTGATATTGAGGAATAAATTCCTTTACCATTTTTAGTAATTGAAGTCTCTTGATACAATTAAAAGCATTACGAAAATCTAACTTCAGAAAAATTTTGCATTCCTCGGTGTCTTTCTTGTTTAAAAAGGAACGTGCTGCATGAACCATAGCTTCAGCACCACCTTTGCTGCCATATCCTAATTGAAAAGGGCGAAGTTTAGCTCCAACTGGAACTTGAACAGATTGCTGACAATTTTACCAGCGATTCTTCGTAGAGTATTTCCAATTGCTCTTTGTCGAATTCCACCGTCTTTTTTTTTAAAGCGCAAAGCGAAGCACCGTATAGTCTACTGCAAACACTCACAAACTTTTCCACGGATCATTAAATCAATGATATCACCGATTGCTGATAAAAGACGACTAGATGATGTGTTGTTAACGATGGTAGTATAGTTATACCGGTATAAGCAGTTCCAAATAATCTTGACAATATTCCTAGATTCATACGTCAACTAGCAGCTATAAGCGAAGGAGTACGAGTTTGACGACACGTAAGAGCCTCATCTCAAATAAGTTTCTAGACGCAGACCTGTGTAGTGTATACGACCGTGCTTGTAATACATCGTCATCTTTACACTATGAATACATAACATACAGTGCCACGATCATCATGGCCGCCGTGCTTCACATGTTGCACACATAGTACAAGCGTAATACACTGAAACGGATAGCTAGCCACATCTTTTGGTGGTTAGTCGGGTCACTTAGCTGGCTGTCTAGACATTATAAGGATTTCACTATTTTCCTTTTAAAGGTTACTTTTGCACTTTTTTGCGTTATACACTTCTTTTGAAATATTAACAATTTTTTATATTTTTACATAATTTTTATTAATTGCAATGGGTGATAGTAGCAGTGATGACGAAAATGCTTGGGTTTTTTATAAGGATAGACCAGAATGGAAAGATGTAGACCCTGTACCACAAGATGATGGCAATGCCGATATTGCAGCTATACGATACACTGCAAAGTGTAATACATTAGTTTCTATATCCTATTGTCTGCCAATTTGCTACATGCTTTGTTTTTTAGTTAAAGATGTTTACGACTATTTTCGAGCGGTGTTAACAAAACAAGAAAAATCTGAAAGAGCCTTACAGTTAACAAAGGATGCTGCAGAACTAAATCCTGCAAATTACACAGTATGGCAATTTAGGTGAGTACATTTTTTCAGTATTTCTTAATCATTCTTGTGCCTATTTTAGACGAGATATTCTCAAAGCGTTAAATAAAGATTTATACGAAGAATTAGAATATAGTCAACACATAATTGACGAACACCCAAAGAACTATCAAGTGTGGCACCATAGACGTGTATTAGTTGAATGGCTTAAAGATGCTTCGAAAGAGTTGCACTTGACAGAACTAATTTTAAATGATGACGCAAAGAACTACCATGCTTGGCAACACAGGCAGTGGGCGATTAAAACTTTTAAGTAAGTTCAATTTTTATTGTGAGTTGGTATCTATTTTATGAGCGGATGGTGGCTTTCAATGTGTCTATTAATGGATAACTGCATACTCTTTTGTTGCATTTTTGTGATTTCTATTGTTGAGTCAAGGATCTGTTTTAACCAATGTTTCTATTACGTGATCAAAAATGAGTTGCTGTGGAGTCACCTTTGGAATTTTTGTTTCCATGGGACATCGTCTTAGACCATATAGTACATGGACTGCTATTCGCTCTATGCTTTCAATACAAAATAGGTGGTCACGGATAGGGGGCGCTGTAGTCGTGGGTATGTGAATCTCAGGGTAAACTAAAGTCGTGTAAACACCACTCGTATCACAAAAACAGCAGCTTCTGTAGCAATCAAGTCGTACGAGATGTTTTAAATGCTATTCTTTATCTTCTATACTTCCACAAATAAGAATAGGTTTAATTTTTTGGCATTTCTATGCGATTAATTATTTGACATTTGTTAATTTAAAGGTTGACAGTTCAAATCGTGTCGTGAACAACTTCGGATAGATTCGTTTACCCTGAAACTTATATACCCAGGCGATGTCCTTGACCAAATTTTAGTTGCAATTAGCAGTCCATGTACTATATGGTCTAAGGACATCGTACTTAACTTGAACTTCCAAAGGCAACTCGACAGCAACTCATTTTTGATCGCCCGTTATTTAGATCTGAACTGTTTTCGTTCGTGGAGCAGAATCAATTATATGTACAGACTTAAAAATGAAATTCCTGCAAATGTAAATATCTTTTTTGCTGTTTGTACTTTTACAATTTTGTTTCTTTTCAAAATTGCGAATTATATATAGGGAGATCACTTTAAAATGAAAGCTTTATGTACTATACTGAATTCATTATAAGAAGGTAGTAGATGGCGCTGTGTTTGAAGATAAGCACACACAGCAAAAATATAAAACGGCACCAAATTATTGTAAAGTAGAAATATCCAGCACTGTGAAAAGAAATTTAAAACTTTTGCATAGAAATTGAAATTTATAATGCTCGCCAGGAGAGAATGCCGGTCACGGAATACCTGATCCCGGTCTACAATCGTATGTTTATCATATTTAATCATACAACTGTAGACCTGCATCAAGTGTTCTGTGACTGGCATTCTTTCCTGGCGAGCCTAATAGCTAATGTAATGTGGACGATTTTGAAAATTATTTGTGTTGTATAGGTTCGGGTACCTGAAATTTTATCTTGGATAAATGAACGACAGATCCCATCCCATACTATAAAACCATTTTATAGGGAACCCATCATACAAGTGATCCATGGCTGCAGTTTATTCTCTGCAACACATCGTAGACGTCTAAGGTTTCTTCCTTTCCTTAAAAAAACAATTAGAAATGGACTACAATTTTTAGTGTTACACATACACCCGAATATTACAAATACAACGTTTTTTTAATAAAACGTGTTTCGTTTTTCATGCCAAACTGAGAGAGTGTAGGTATTTGTTTCATTTAATTAAATGTATTATAGGCTGTTTTTCTTTTTTTGCGTTCTGTAATTCAAAAATTGCTTTTTGATTAGTTTTTTGTATCGTGTTTAGCTTTGGCGGAATTATAAGGTTCTGTAGGATTATTTCCGTACTGCACAGTAAACTAGAGGCGTGATCTGCATTATTGTCATTTGAACCTCTGTAAAAGAGGTCTTTGCTATGTACAGGGTGTCCCAAATTTGAGGGTGAATATAGACTCTATTAGTGCCTACGTCACAGTCACGCAGAATATTTGATTTAATAGACTCGTCGACTACACAGTCGAATATTTTGACACAATTAGCCATATGGATTAAGGCTTACTAATTAAGTTCTTTTGGCAAGCTTATACTGATATTATACAAATTAAATAAGCATTTTGTCCTTCGGATTTCATAATAAACTTTAAAACAGTAAGTAAAATAGTAAGTAAAAGTGATTAATTGCTCTACAATTCAAAATTAAAGAATGGGCTTACAATGTAAATGAAGACAATGGTACGTGACGGTGCAATGGCCAAAACGGAATCAATGTTAAACATATCCTGGTGTGTACATTTTCACCCGTTGATTTTTCCTTATATTGCTCGACTTCTTACCTTGATAGAGTATTTTTTTAAGTGCGTATGTGGTGTTATTTTCTGTTGGTAGTTGATACTACTACTACAGTTGATACTGGTGTGACAACGGTCAGCTTTTGTAAATACGAGTACAATGATGGCAGTGATAGTATGTTTTTCTGTTTCAGTTTATTTGAGAATGAGCTTGCATATGTTGACCAACTTATTCAAGATGATATTCGTAATAATTCTGCTTGGAATCAAAGATATTTTGTGATTAATAATACCTCAGGGTTTACTTGTGAGGTACTAAAAAGTGAGATAAAATACACTTTAGAGAAAATTAAGATTGCTAAAGAAAATGAAAGCGCCTGGAATTATTTGCGAGGGTAAGTACCTATGTGTTTGACAAAGCTGAAACCTTTTTTTACAGTCTTTTACTGCATGATAAAGAAGGTTTGAGTAAAAATGAAACAGTTACGAACTACTGTGAGGAGTTGTATTCCTCTGGAAATCGTTCACCATTCCTTTTGGCATTCCTTGTGGATATGTGTGATGAACAAGTTTCTCAAGGAGGAGGTGACATGAGGTACACGTTAGAGAGAGCTGAAGAGTTATGTAATAGTCTAGCAAATCAATATGATAAAATTCGCACAAAGTATTGGCAGTACATGGCTGAGAAAATCAAAAATAAAGCGGAGGGTAAATCAGAACCCAGTCCACCTAGTGATGACAGTTAAAATTATGAACGTCAATTAATGTTGGATATTTGCTTAATTTGTATCTGTGTTTTGATGTTGGTGAAATTATAACTGGTAATACATCAAATATACTGCTTAATGTGATGTGTCTAAAATAAAGAGTAATGGTGCATTGTTAATTACATGTCATATTGCATTCCCATATGTTTTGAGCTTTGCATGTACATACTTAGATAATTGTGAAGCATTTTTAAAATCAAATAAAAATGTGGTTGACTTCATAATTTTGTTTTATATTGTACTTCTATCATGTGTGAGAGAATTACCGTTTACAGCTATTCCATTCGAACACAAACTTAACTTATGTCATCAAAATGTCATTTTGCTATTGTTATCCAACAACATAAAATTACAGTACGTACTTGTATATGTAAACAAAGTATACCTTTATAAAATGTATTTTTTTATTTACTTAACATTGTCCCATTTCATATGCAAGGTGTTTTTTTAAGATGGGCTATACGACAATGTAAAGGCGATGAGTTATTTAAAATGGGCGATAGGGAAATTTACATTGCATCAATTGTTTCAGTAATAGCTTCCTCGTGAATCACCTGCCACAGTACTGTAGAAATTGTTTCTAAATCAACAAATTTATCAAATCAGTAATAAACGTATTAGATAACAATCGATGCTAGAATTGTTTTCCACCGGCAACCAAACAATACCCGACACTTGGCACTGAATAGCTCTCATACCACTCAGCTACTGTGCCCACTCTTGTACAAATTTTACTACACAAACACCTTTTCGAGCAGCGGAATACATATTGCTGCTTCGTTGATGCAGTTTGAAGGATCAGATTGAGAACTGTCAGTGAAATAACTAAGCACAAGGCCAAGATTTGAGAATTGGCGCCATGTAAATTTCTTTATGGCCCATTTTAAATAACGCAACGCCGTTACATTGTCGTATGGCCCATCTTTAAAAAAAACGCCCTGTATAAAATGTGGTAATAATATCGTACTTACCTCAGACCATACGCTATAACAACTAGTACTAGCGGTATAACGGAAATTCTTGAAAGATACTGCATTTTTTTATACCAAGGTGCCACTTGGTACAGTTGTTCCTTAGAGCCATTTAAACGATTTGACCCGAAGAACACGTGACATTTTCCGTGTGGGTAGATTTTAAAGGGGGTGAGGGTGATTTATTGTAACATTTTTTTAAAAACTAAATATGGCCTAGAGACGAGATCTGGGTGTCGATTTCATATGATTTTAACCCGAGGAATCCAATGGTAGCGCCATAAATGTAATCCGGATACCGGAAGTCCGTGAAAAGCCGCCATTTTTAGAAAATGACAGACTTTTGATCGAATTATATTTTTAAGGCACACCGGGTCGTGTAAGGTGTCTAGACTTATGTTTTTGGGGTCAGGGCATTCATTTTTGATAACAAATATAATCTACTGGCATCGGAACTGCATGAGAGGCTTCCCTACTGCACTTTTTGAAGACGTCGCACGCGGTGAAACCCAAGATATTCCAAAGTTTTAATATATAAACTTATATTATTTTATTTAATAAAAATACACATTAACAAAACATAAGAGATATTAAAACATGGGGTAAAAAATGTATAAGCCTATGAAGAATCACCAAGTGCATCGCTGACCTCCTCTGAGATTGCCTTATCACCACTGAAAAGAAATTTTACATATAAATATTAAAGGTTCGGTAGTAAATTATATCGAAAGTATACAATATTCTTACCCTTTGTTTGAGCAATCTCCCATACATTTTTGGCATGCAGGGGACCATGGTAATCCGTGTCGCCGCAGCACGAGTTGGAGGAGCACATAAGGAGGGCGGCGTATGTTGCTGGCCATATCTGGGGATGTGCAAACCAGGTCATGAGAAGCTCTACAAGTCCAGAAGGATGGGGATGGACTCTTGAAGCCAAAGGCAGGAAGGTTCTGTAGTCCAAGCTGCCACAAGTGTGGAAGGCAGTCGGTGCTCTGAACAGGTGTGTGGCTACGCGACAGGCTGCGAGACCCTTCGGTGCAGCTGCCGGCGACACGGATTGCCATGTTCCCCTGCATGCCAAAAATGTATGGGAGATTGCTCAAACAAAGGGTAAGAATATTGTAAACTTTCGGATATACCTAATTTACTACCGAACCTTTAATATTTATACCGAGTGAATATTCCCAAAACGAACATAGGGAATTAACATGGGAAAAGGGTTTTTTGTAGATAGTTGCTCCCCATGTTAACTTAGAGGGTTGATCATGACACCAATCGAAAGAAGATTTTTGCCTCGTCTAATGATATAGGTACGAATTAGTTCATTTTCAGGTGTATTTCTCACTCTATTATCAAAAACTCGAGAAATCCACTTACCAAAATCATGTTTAGCCATGACTAAGACAAAAAGTAGATTCAAACGTCGAAATCAATATCAGTTTATGACGCCTGGCATTAATTTTTTTGTAAAATGCGGTTCACTGAGGAAAAAGTATTTATAATAAACGTTTACAGCGGAAATATTTACTCTAGTACGCGATATTTGTTTTCCGTGCATGTGAAAACCTATTTCAATTCGTTAGGAAATTTCCATGGCTTAACATGATTATGCTAATTGGATTTATTGCCGAATTTTTGATAAAATAATGAGAAATACACCTGAAAATAAGCTAATTCGTATATCATTAGATGAGAAAAAAATCTTCTTTTGATAGGTGCATTTACAAACCCTCTAAGTTAACATGGGGAGCAACGATCGGCAAAAAACGTTTTTCGCATGTTAATTTCCTACGTTCGGTTTTAAAATATTCACCCGGTATGTGAAATTCCTTTTCAGTGGTGATAACGCAATCTCAGAGGAGGTCAGCGATGTACTTGGTGATCCTTCATAGGCTTATAAATTTTTTACCCCATGTTTGAATATATTTTATGTTTTGTTAATGTGTATTTTTATTAAATAAAATATTACAAATTTATATAGGTATTAAAACTTTGGAATATCTTGGGTTTCACCGCGTGCGACGTCTTCAAAAAGTGCAGTAGGGAAGCCTCTCATGCAGATCCGATGCCAGTAGGTTATTTTTGTTATCATAAATGAATTCCCTGACCCCAAAAACATAACTCTAGACACCTTTCACGACCCGGTGTGCCTTAGATATATAATTCGATCAGCGCAGTCTGTCATTTTCTAAAAATGGCGGCTTTTCACGGACTTCCTGTATCGGGATTACATTTCTGGCGCTACCATTGGATTCCTCGGGTTAAAATCATACGAAATCGACACCCAGATCTCGTCTCTAGGCCATATTTAGTTTTTAAAAAAATGTTACAATAAATCACCCTCACCCCCTCTAAAATCTACCCACACGGAAAATGTCACGTGTTCTTCGGGCCAAATCGTCTAAATGGATCTAAGTAACAGCTGTACCAAATGGCACCTTGGTATAAGAAAATGCAGTACCTATCTTTTGGTATACCGCTAGTACTAAACGTGAACGTTTGTTTTGATCCAATCGGCAATCTCAGTCAATTTGACCGTTGAGAGGTAGGAAGTAAACATTAGTCAGTGGCGTAAGGTTTATTTATTTTTATGGGCAACAAAGTTTATGTTTTGTTTACATGAGCAAACGTAATAACATATCACTAAATATTTATGACCAAAAGCTGTATGTATTTGAAAGGTCCCTATTGATGTATGATAAGGTATGGTGATACTTCTAAGTGGAAACTTAGAAGGAAATCTAAACACATTAAAATGCGAAAATTCCCGTATGCACGTCTATGACTTCAAAACACATACGGATGAAAGGTTATGTTAGGTAATTCAATAATTCCACAAATAATACAGCTTTTCCCCATTTCAAAGGGCTCCCATAAATTAATACACCACAATCGAATAAGTCCTCCACTATAAAAACGCCTAAAAATTAAGGAATCACGTTTTAACGAAATAAACAAAATACCTATAAGTTCGTTTTTAAAGAGGAGCGATTTAATAGCGCCCGCGAAAAATCTGAATTGTGATTGGCTTATACGGCGCCGTTTTTACACAGACGCAATTTCAGGATCTTGACAATTCAGTTGACATCTTTATTCGCTGTGTCATTTGCATTGTGTTGTACGTATTTTATTTAATTTTGCCTTTTTCGTGTGTTTTAAGTCTTGTTCAAATTTCAATTATACAAATCAGTTCTTATTAGAACTAAACCGGGTACCTGTACTTGATTTTGTTGGTGCAAATACTTCGAAATATGGATTCCACGCCAAGTACAAGTAAAGCGAACATTTCACCTGTAAAAAGGCGTACGCGTCTTAATTTGGGGCATTTATCGATCTCAGAAAAGCAGTGCATACTCAACTTATATAAACAGATATTAACTGATGACCCTGGCACAAAGATGGTTACCATTGTTGCAAAAATTGCTGATGCCGCAGGTAAGAAACGAAATACACATTAAATGTTAATTTAACACACACACTTTTTTATATAGGAATTGCAAAATCCACGGTTTACCGAACAATAAAGGAGTATAAGAAAACGGGAGCTGTAACTCCTTCTAAACGTTCGGGGGGTCGCCCACCTTTGGTATCGCAATTTGAGGAAAGCACAAAAACATCAGTTCGTCAAATTATTCACAACTTTTTCTACCACAGTGAACTTCCCACTTTGGACAAAATCTTAAAAGAAATTAATAGTCGTGAGGATTTACCACAAATGTGTCGTTCATCTTTATATAAATTAATGAAGCAAATTAATTTTAAGTAAGTTTTCTTTTATTTATTTTCGAATGTGGTATTAACACGTACATGCATTCTTTACAGATATTTAAAACGCAGTCGTAAAAGTGTTCTAATTGAACGAGACGACATAATAAGATGGAGACGAAAGTATTTAAAAGCTATTAAACAATATAGGAACGAAGGACGAGCCATATATTACTTAGATGAAACATGGTTAAATGAAGGCCATACAAAACAGAAAGTGTGGACTGATGATACCATTCGTACTCGACGACAAGCGTTTGTGGAAGGATTGTCTACCGGTTTAAAAAATCCTTCTGGAAAAGGGAAACGTCTCATTATTTTACATGTTGGCTCTGAGAACGGTTTTGTAAACGAGGGTCTACTACTTTTTGAAGGCAGAAAAACATCCGATTATCATGAAGAAATGAATGCGGAAGTGTTTGAAGAATGGTTTGCATCTTTCTTAGTGAAAATTCCTGAAAATGCTGTAATTGTTATGGACAATGCACCATACCAGGAAGATAAAATGTGTAATTTAGATGGTATAATGGATAACATTATAGAAATTTCAGTTGATACCAATGAGGACAGCAGTTTTGGTGAAAGTTCTGATGAAGGTGGTAACTAAATTACCATGTTATGTATTAATCCATTAAAGGCTGTTATAAATTCATTGTTAATTAATTGTAAATAAATAAATCACGTAATTAAATTTACTTTACAATATATTGTAACTATCACCTTTTGATTTTATAAAATGATTGCATTTATGTCTACATAATAAATACAATTTCTTTTAAGTCAAATGTGTAGTGTATGAAATTTTCGAACTGCAGCCGCCAAGCTTTCACTATTTTTTAAATATTCTTTAATAATGAAGACACGTTGTTCTATCGTGTAACGCTCCATTTTTAATAACCCTATACTGTTAGCTGTCAAATTGCTTTTTTTTCAGGGTTGCCAACACTTCACCGCACAAATGGCGGCAAATTCAAATCTTGCGTTAATTTTGGGACACCCGTTAGAATAGTATATTGAAAGACAAGTGTTACAATGCGACCTATTGTAATACGACTATCTTGTGGCACGAGTGGCGACGCGAAGCGTAGCCACGAGTGTCCGCAAGATAGGAGTATTACAATAAAGCATTGTAACACGCGTTTTTCATACTATTTTTTCTATTTCGGTGCTTTAATTTAATTAAAAAAATCATTATCAGAAACTATAGTGAACATTAGAACTAACATGTTTTATGTTGGGAACACTTTTTATGCCGTTAAGATTTAGGTTGGCAGCGTAGTAAGACTGACATTTTGAAGTTCAAACATGGAAGTACCCAACGAAGTACCTACTTGTACCATAGATAATTATTATCTATGACTTGTACTAACTAGTAACTGCCAACTTAAGAGATTAGTTACCAAAAAAAAACGACTATAATCACTGTCTTTGTACAACTGTTTTCGGCCGAAAACAGTTGTACAAAATCATCATTGTGACACCGAAATAGAAAAAAAATATTGTATACAAAGTGCCACCATGCTCAGAAAAGCTTCCCTCGTCAAAATACCTTCAGACTCAATGCGCGAAATTCAACTTCGCGCTCTTGTTATATAAATAACTATTAAATATCCTGAACAGAAATACTGTTACACAACACGCTATTTTTCACTGTTTTCACGTTTTCGCGCACGAATTAACCGTTAAAAAATCTAGTACTTATCGTACTTCGAAATTTGTCAAAAAATGACAGGTTTGTTTGACAGTTGTACAAAAAATTTTATAGTCTAACAGAATCTAATTTTCTACAGAATACAGTTGATCCGGTACGATCATTTAGAAATGTTATTGTTTTTTGTTGAAAAAGATTTTAAAAAACTTAATTTCAAAAATTAACAATTTTTTACCCAAAATAGTCCTGCAACCTTCATTTTCATACCTAACTTTCTGTCCGGAAATTTTAGTTTCCATAACAGACGCATAGATATATGTCATATGTCCATGCACAGACGCAGAGCAGACTACGTTTCCTGTCGCTTGTCACGTTACTGGCCGCACCTGTCACTTTACCGAACGCACCGTCACTTTACCGGCCGCATCTGTGACATTGCTAAACGTCTATCATGCCTCCTGTCATCATTGACAAATTTACATCAATCAACAGTTCTATATGAAAATTGAAATTTTATAATAAAATACAATTTCGGGTAAAATTTAATACAAAACTCGTCAGTAAAATGACATTACTTAATTGGGAAATTAAAGTACTCGGCCAGGAAGGGGCCTCGGACTTCAATGTTTCCTCGACAGTAATGTGTTATTTTCCGGACTTTTATGTAATAGCAAAGAGTATACTCTTTGGTAATAGTTATTTACATAATAATTCATGAAAGTGGTCGTTTACATGACGCGGAGGCTTATCGAAAAGTACGAGGACGCGCAGCGTCCGAGTATCTTTTTAATGCCTCCAAGTCATGTGGACTCACTTTCATGACATATTATGTATAAAATTGTACCTGAAATCGCAACATGTAGATAACTTTTCCAAATGAAATTATTCGTATGTGTGAAATTTTGATACCTAATCACGCATGCTCAAATCACTTTATTTAATTGTTTCCATAGAGATTTCCAAACAATCAGTGTCATTTTTAATGCAGTTTGCAGTTTATGCTTCGTACTTTTCAACTATACAGTCTTTATAACTAGGTACAAAAGCAGGTATCAGTGAAGAAGAGTACCACGCGAGACGTTGCTATAATGTAGCCGAAGCTGCGGCCGCCGTAGTGCAAGATTCGCTCCCCACAAAGTCAAGAAAGAGGTACGAAAAGGCGTACAAACCTTTTAATGACTGATGGCGCAAACTAAATGAATAATTACTTCCACACATATCCCATTAATTGTTAGTAATTAAAAAAAACCATTATCCTTTGTGTAGGTATATTAATATTTAAAAATATCCACATAGTCTGCATTATAATTATCCTATCGTTGATTGAATAACTTATTCAATGAACAATCTAATTGTTATTTGCATGTACTAGACTGTAATGGGACTCAGGCAAAACTGTTACAGTACTAGTCAGGTAAAGATCAACTATTAATGTCAAAATAGCCCTGAAATTTAGATTTTCTTGACGGTTTCAAGTAAATACCTATTATTACTAAGTAAAATTCATTCGATCTTTTTGAAAATGCGTATTTGGTAAATTTTTTATAACAAGCAAATTATGTATATTTTGGTTTCTGCATCTTATTTGATAGTCATTACCTATACGGTCACCGGGAACAAAACATAGCGTATACAGGGTGTTCAGCGAGGAATGGGACAGCGCGATATCTCGGGAACGAATTATGCAGATTTTAAAATTCTTAAAATTTTGTTATAAATGTGCTATGAATGTATGCTAGGGCATATACAATTTTTTTTAATTCAATGTGTCACCGCCAGCGTCATTGGTAAAGGTCCCTTCTGGACAATTGCTTTGTCGTATGTTTTTATCTTAGAAAATAAAAACCATCTTCAGACATACGCAAAACATTTTTGAGTTACTTGGGATCTTCATCTTCTAACTGTTCATATCGTATACACGGAGTTCTACGCTAAATCCATGTTCCTATTCAACATTTTATCCGCCTTGCACAATTTGTCTTTTTTTCCTCGTCGAACTACCCCAGCAGTTATTTAACTGTTATTTAACCATTGTAGGTAGTCGTAATAGTTAGGAAACAAATTTTGTCAGTGGGAGGTTAGAAAAAGACGACTACCTAACCTAATGGTTGTGGAGAAATCCAATGTACCTACTCCGGATACTTCGTAAGACGTGGAGGTAAATTGGTTGTTACTTATATCTTGATAGGTATGTAAGTCTTTGATCGAAAATATTTATTCGTTACCACTTAGAACTTTTTTCTCAGTATATACGTCAGTGTTTTGTAAAATGTGGTAATAAAGTTACGTCAATGGTAGATAACCTCATAACAAAATGTAAGTACTTATATAGATTTATTTACCGTCTATATGATGGAGTGCAAGTAAGAATGTATAGGTATTCTATAATCTTTATATAATGGCTGAGTGAATTATGGGCTGTTAGTACTTATGTATCGATCAAAATTATGTGAATACTGTTAGAATACCAACACTCACTACAAACTTATTTGCAGCAAATGATCTCATATATGTAACTATAAAATCTGAAATATGTTTACACATTCCAAACCACCAAAAGTCTAACTTGCTGATCAAAAATGCCTTTGAAATTTATATTCCAAAGATCGTTGTCCAAATGCAAAATCCATCATGACAATTAAAATGTTTATCTGATATTTAATTTATTTAATAACTTAGAAAAACAAATTTGATTAATAAATATGTACCTACTCGAGATACTGATTTCAATGCTTCAAGTTGAGTAAAACCGTTCACGTGTAATAATATGTCAACGTTCATGTTCCAGAGTTCGATAAACATAATCGTCATGATTATTGTTATCTAAAGACAGTTTGTAAACGTTTCTTTTGTCAGTCATCGGACAATCGTTCGCATTTGAACATGTTTCGTTACAAAATTTTCGACAGTGGACGTTTGCTTGTGTATAATAAAATAGAAAAGTGTAGGCATTCAGGGCGCATATTTACTCTATCCGGATATTATAAAAGATGTACCTCCACTTCTGCAAGACTGTGGAGACCTGTATTAACTCAAGTAAGCTATATGCAACTGGATTCATCGAAGTTTGATTACCAAGTTGAGCAGAATCGTGTCAGTAGGCACTGGAAACTCAGAATCATTGAAATGCTTTGCTTCCGATCTAAGGAGCTTTTTTTTTCAAATTACCTATAAGGGATGAATGAAAGTTACTATTCCTATCATAATTACTTAAAACTAAGAGACCATGAGGTTCTGCTTCCACCAGAAGGCTATCTAACGATGTGTTTACGGAAGTTTTTATTAAAATCTGGGGTCAGCAGCAGATAAAAAAGGTTGCTTGTAGATACGCTAACATTACGTTTGTTTTATTTGTTCGCACCTCACTTTGCTAATTTCAGGCGAATTACGATTCAAAGCGAAATAATCAAATTGTTAATGAGAAGAAGCAGTCTACCTTCACCGAAAGGAGCCATCTAAAATATGCAAGAAGATTGGTAATTAAATTAGGCACTGCAGTACTTACAAGGGAAGATGAAGCTGGGATTGCCCTGGGACGCCTAGCATCTATTGTTGAGCAGGTATAAACACACCATTCTTTTAAATTTATTGTATGTAATTTCATGGCCGCGTTAATTACAAAAATAACAAACCACGTGTAAAGCGCATCTAGAAAAGCGGCAGGGCGACGTGACCCTACGGGAGTCATCTCTTTGTTTTGCCGCTTAGTAATTGTCATACTAATCTCAGGAACAAATCCAGATAATGTTCATGCACAACAAATATTTTTTTTATTTAGATACATTTTTAAAATTTCCATCTTCATCTTCATTGCCCCTCTCCGTTTGTTATTGCTTTAGCATATTCCGAGTAGATCTAGGTTGGTTCATTTAAATTCTTTTAAAACATTTTTCGTTAACGCAGTGTATGTTCTAAACCTCCATGTTCCACGTCTCTGATGCGCAGGTATTGCATTTTGATTTGTTTGTATGTTTCTTCTCATTTCTATGTTTCGTCTTCATTACCTATTCCGCGAACGTTTACCGAGCAGTGTTTGGCAGATGTTTCATGCTTGCTGCCAGCTTTGAAGTCTTCTCTTGAGGTGATCGTTGGTTTAGGTATTATTCTTTCTTTCTTTGTTGAGTCATACACGGTTCCCGTGGGTCTCGGTCCCATATTCTGCATCCATTCTGTATTTATCTTCGTTTATGATGTATTTCACATAAGCACAATGTCTTACTTCTCTTGCAATTTTGATATGACTAAGTAACATTTTTTGCTGTTCCATTACATGTTTGGGCAAATATAGTCCTTGGTCTCTTTGCTATTATAAGTTATCGAAATACAGGCTGCTTTGTACTTGCAATAATTCTTGTATTCCGTTTTTTACTAATCACAATCGAACATACAAGTTGACGCACCGGCGCCGGCGTCTGCTGTTATTAATCCGTCATATCTAGATACGCCTTGTAAATTCCTCCTCCCCGCCAACTACAAATAATAGAGTAACAGAAAAGTAGTACATTTTACACTCCTCTACGTGAATGTTACATTACTTCAGACGGCGGATAATGTGGTTGAATGTTCCAAAACTAAGGTAGAAAAACTGAAGCCTGTAATATTACTTTGGAAAGCAGTAGTAGGTACTACTTTCCCATGGAATTAATGTTTTAACGGTCAATAATTGCAACTCAAAAATATTAATGTTGATTGTTGTGTAATGTCATTTATAGTACCCATAACCACAGATTAAAAACAGTTTATTTTCCATAACAAACCAATCATTATCAGCTTGCATTAAGTACTTGATTTTTTATAGTACCTGATAATAACAGATGTTGACATTATTTAATGCATGTATGGTATAGGCAGGTTATTATTATATGTAATCAAAGATAATACATTTTTCTGACTAGCCATGGAGATCACAATATTCTCTCCCACTTTTAAGGAAAGAATAATATTCTAATAGTTTAGCAAACTTGTCAATGTCGACATTCCTTTCGATAAATGTCGAGCAAAGCAATCCTATATTCAGTGGTAGTAATTCATTTTTCGTGTTCCATTGAAACCAGGATGCTTTTAGACTTATTTGATTCTTTTAATCTAACAAATAAAAACAGTACTGCTACAAGAATTCATGTTAATATTAACAATGTAATCTCGAAATCGGCGATAGATTATTTGGTAACTTCGATCCCCACCAATTATTATGCCTATACAACAACTAATCTACACTTATCCGATCACTTTGCTAATGTGATCGTGATATCACAGCATTTTCTTGCGCAAAGTAATGACAAAAAAGAGACCAAAGTGTGTACATCTCGCGTAACCACTAATAACAATTTAGACAACTTCAAATCAACCCTTGCACTTGTGAACTGGGAGAATGTATGGGAGTGCGATGATGTAGACTCGGCTTTTCAATTATTTTTTGAGACAATTCTATGGTTATTCAATCTTATATGTCCCGTTATAACCAAAGTGGTAACAACCAGAAGTACTGGGCAAGGACCAAGGTGGTTTACATCCGAATTAGCAATTGCTAGGAACGATCTAAAACACCACTTCTCGCAACTAAAATCTTGTGATTCCCAGTGCGTGTTCAAACACTACAACTTAAAAAAGCGAAGATATAAGCAACAAGTTAAACATTAAGCTAAACGCACATACTATCAAAAGGTTATATCAGACTCACAGAATAAACCCAAAACCCTGTGGACAATGGTGAATCGTGAAACTGGGCGAAATCGTGAAAAAAGTAGAATTGCACTAAATCATGAAAATACACTAATAACTCACACACAGCAAATTTCTAACTTATTTGGAACATACTTTTCAACAATAGCTTTGGACCTGACCAATAAGCACTTTGACAAAAACACGACATGCTCTGTTACACTAGACAACAGAATTAGTCAATCAATCTACGTCTATCCAATAACACAACACGAACTAAATCGTACATTGGATTCCCTAAAAAACACCTCGTCATCAGGAGAAGACGGTATCTCTGTGAAAATCTTGCGACACATTTGGACGTCCATTGCACCTGTCATACTACATCTATATAACAAATCATTAGCCTGTGGAACTTTCCCCGGCTCACTAAAAACTGCTCGTGTAATTGTGTTATACAAGAAGGGGGATCCGACAAGTATTGAAAATTACAGACCAATATCATTGTTGAGTATTTTCTCCAAGCTCTTGGAAAAAATTATCTCCAATCGATTAACATCATTTATAAATAAATTTAAAATCTTGCCAGCCTGTCAGCATGGCTTTCGGTCAGGGATGTCTACTGAAAGCGCAGCGTTCGATCTACTAACACATCTGTACACAGAACTAGACAAAAGGAAACTGATCAACGTTCTACTGTTTGACATCAGTCGTGCCTTTGATACCATCCAAACAGAATGTATCTGTTATAAACTCGAACATCTGGGTGTTAGGGGACCGTTGCTCGCGTGGATAAGATCTTTCTTGACGGGAAGACAACTATACATGGACATAGAAAATGTGCCATCTAGATCTAGGACGTTTGAAGTATCTTTGGGTGTTCCTCAAGGATCAGTGCTTGGTCCTCTGCTATTTTTGTTATACTGTGCTGACCTTCCAAAGTTCGTAAAAATTAGTAAATTGGTAGGTTTCGCTGATGATACTACAATTGTGGTCTCGGCCGATACCTCAAATGATTTACTTACTTTAACCAATCTTGCCATGAAGGAATTTAAAAACTGGTGTTGTGTAAATAAACTTGTTTTAAATGTTGAAAAGACCGTATGTCTCCAGTTTGGGAAGATGAGGCCATCAAATGAAACCAATATAAGACTTAGTGCAAAGTTTTTGGGTATTTTTATTGACGATGAGTTATCGTGGCGCCAACAAATAGACCATGTTTGTAAAAAACTTAACAAGACTTTTTATGTGCTGTTAAACTTAAAATCGAGTTTAGATCAAAACGCTCTACTCACAATATACTATGCTCTGGCATACCCCATCTAGCATACGGTGTAATAGCATGGGGTGCAGCTGGGGAGTGTAGTAGAGTATTTACATTACAAAAAAGACTTGTTCGACTAATATTTAATATTAAGCCCCTAACTTCACATAAAAACAGTTTTATTGCCATCAAAATGCTTACATTTCCAAGCATTTATATTTATAAGTCAAGCATGTTTGTCCATAAAAATCCTAAATACTTTACCCAATTGAATGCTAATCATGACTATAAGACAAGAAACTCTGATATCCTCACTATTCCCGTTCACCGTACGACCAAATTCGAAAAAGGACCATTGTACAATTGCATAAAAATATATAATTCCCTTCCATCTACTATTAAAAATTTGAAAAGCGACATGGCATTTAAAACGGCACTAAAAAGTTTTTTAGTGCACAATTGTTTCTATAAAACAAGCGATTTGTATACACTGTGATTTATATTGACCAACTGTGATACGACATATTTTTAATGTGTTTTTTAATGTGTTTTTTAACGTGTTTTTAATGTGTTTTTGTTAATATTAGTGACTATGTATGTCAATGTATATTGATCACAGGCAATAAATATATTATTATTATTATTATTATATATTATCATTGTATAGTTTGGATAGCATTATGACACTTTAACAGTTTAGGTGGCAACAGAAACGACCAGCTTGCAAGATTCGCTACTCGTTTTATGTTTCAGCGTAATACTGACTTGTGTTTTAACCAATCACAGTGAAGATCAAAGCTTCCCTATGCTTTCTACCGCTACCTTCTTAAAATGAATACAGTATAGTGGTTTTTTCACTTAATTCATTTTCGAACCAATTATCGCATTATCCTTTCCCATATGACTACTTTGACGTCTGTCAATAATTGATTAGTTTGGTGACTGTCTTGTTCGTTAAATTGTCCTGCCGAATTACACTCGAGGTTTGTATTTAAATCGAGTAAATTTGGGTTGTGGCACTTCAAATCTGTTTCCTGCGGTGTCGCATTTTTATTAGTTGACAGTTTTTCTCGTCTAATTGCTAGGCAACCGATTTTCATTACCTAAACAACCCAAATTTACTCGGTAAAATACAAACCTCTTGTGCAATTATAAGTGACAAAAGTGAGCATTCCGCCCCTGCTAGCTATTTGAATTTACCTTACATCATCAGGTAGTGCCGCCAAGGACGAGATGTCCATGAACCTAGCAGAGCAAGGTCAGCACAACACAATCAAACATATTGCATAATTAGGTGCTAATTAGGTGCTAATTAAGTGCCCTATTCCCAAACTAAATGCACCTTTTTTTTAAATTATTACCAGCTGCATATGAACTCATCAGAGCACTACCTCAAAAAACCAAGAAAATGAAAAGTGAACTAACTATAATTAGTTGCTAATTAAGTGTCATATTCCCGAATTAAATGCACCTTTTTTTAAATTATGACATGTTCTGCCAGGTTCTTATAAACTGAACGTTATGAGGAAATTACTGCCTGCCAAATTCAAAAAGATGTTGTGTACTGTCACTTTTCGTCCCTCATTGCATTTTAATACTTCTGGGAGAAAAAGTGACACTTTAGACCCTTAAACGAATGGCAAAACACGTTCATTTAGTCCACGGAGTACAAAAAAGAAATTTTGAATTCGGTAATAGTTTTAATAGTTTTATTTTTATATTCCAAGTGCCTGCAGGTGTACTAAATTTCATTTAAATGCTTTCGTAAATAAGAAAGTTGGCATGCGCAAAACAATATTTTTAAAACGTTTCCAGTTTTACTTATACTCGTAGTGTCATAGTTTCATTTAAATATCTTTATGAATAAAAAAGTTAGCATCGCACATGCGTTAAACGAAATTTTTAACACTGCGCATGCGCAAAACCACAAAATTGTGTCGCACGGGATCCTTGGACCAAGCCCTTTCAAATGAGCCCCATACACAATTTATTTCGCAGTTACTAATTTTAATTTCATTTGATCTTAAGACAATATTCAAGAATTAAGTTTTTAGTATATTTTGCTTAAAGAGCTTTTTAATTCCCAGTCAATTTTCAATTTCAATTTAATTCGGGAATAGGGCACTTAATTAGCACCTAATTATAGTTAGTTCACTTTTCATTTTCTTGGTTTTTTGAGGTAGCGCTCTGATGAGTTCATATGCACCCGATAGAACATGCAATAATTTAAAAAAAAGGAGCATTTAATTCGGGGATAGAGCACTTAATTAGCACCTAATTATAGTTAGTTCACTTTTCATTGTCTTGGTTTTTTGAGGTAGCGTTCTGCTGAGTTCAATTATCAACCTGACAAAACTTGTAATAATTAAAAAAAAAGGAGCATTTAATTCGGGAATAGGGCACTTAATTAGCACCTAATTATGCAATATGTTTGATTGTGTTCTGCTTTCTTTGCTCTGCCAGGTTCATGGACATAAGGACGAGGTTAATTTTCCTCGATTTTTCGGTGGCCAATGAAGGATTTCGCCTATAACGTAGGTAGGTCACCCGATGACACTAAGCTAAGTATAGCCCTTTGCCCTCCTCCGACGGTCACCTGTAGCCAATTCCACTGGGACAAGACCTCGGGAAATAAATTGAACTAATGGCAAGTGTGTTATCGAAGTTTTTATGAGCAATGGTGCCCTAGGGCCTAGGGACATTAAACTTATTTGGTAGATAACATCATTTGTGAATTTATTTCCATGGAAAATAATTGCCAGATCACACAAATCGCAACAACTTTGATCGTCATCATAACCAACCTGAAGAGCGGTTACGTGAAATTTGCATTGGTACCTCTCCATTGTGAGAAAGCTGCGTTTATATTTGGGTCAAATTTATGTCAATATTGTTTTCAGGATTCATCAGTTTTTCTGCAACCCGTTGTAATGTGATGAGTTTCTCCACATTCTGAACACCTTGGTTTTCTTCTTCCCTGAGCAACTCTGGATTATTTGCGGTATTAATTTCGCCATCGTTTTCATCTTTAGTTTCAAGTAGTGTTCGTATGCGGTCGGGGAATTAAAAATAGCAAATGAGCGAACTACAAAACTTTCGAACAACTATCCCTCATATGTAATGCATAATTGCTCTTTAGAAATGCTTTTCAACGATACCGATTATAAGGGGTTATTGTGAAAAATATCCAAAAATTGCAATTAACACCAGCAATTTTGACCACCATATTGGTCCAAATCAATAATATTCACGCTTATTTTAGAAATGTTGAACCTGACTTATTTATTCACTTGTAGGTGGCTGAATGTCAAAACTCTGGACGAGAATGTCTTATGGTCACAAGCGGTGCTGTTGCTTTCGGGAAACAAAAGCTAACTCAAGAACTCCTTATGTCTTTGTCGATGAGAGAAACGTTGTCACCCAAAGATCATACAAGAGAAGTAAGTTTATTTTTACTTGTTCTTCATAACTAAATTATAGCATGTAATCAATGTTTTCGGCCGAAGTTTAAAACTGCAATTATTTCTTGTAAACCACTACAAAACACATATTACATTTTCTTCACAGGAAGCTCACACACTTCTTGAACCAAGAGCAGCCGCTGCCGTAGGTCAATCTGGATTAATGTCTCTGTACGATGCCATGTTTGCGCAATACGGTGTCAAAATTGCACAAGTTTTGGTAACCAAACATGACTTTTATAACGACTCGACTCGGACAAACTTGTACAGTACATTATCCGAATTGATTAGTTTAAATATCGTGCCAATTATCAACACCAACGACGCTGTGGAACCACCACCCCAATCCGATGAACCGGTTGATGGAAAAGGCGCAAAGCGTGGTTTGCGAATTAAAGATAATGATAGTTTAGCTGCTATGCTGGCAGCTGAGATAAATGCGGATTTGTTAATTCTTATGTCAGATGTAGATGGTATATACACAAAGCCACCTTGGGAGGAAGGTGCGCGGTTTATACATACTTTTACTTCTGATCTTCGAAACACAATCGTTTATGGAACTAAATCTAAGGTAGGAACTGGAGGTATGGATTCTAAAGTCAACGCGGCTACTTGGGCCATCGATCGCGGCGTAACCGTAGTTATATGTAATGGCATGTTGGAGAAAGGTATAGAAACAATTTTATCAGGACGGAAAGTAGGTACCTTTTTTACCGACTCGAGTTTGTCAGGAGCACCATCCGTAGACGTTATGGCTGAAAATGGTAAAATTAACGTAAATTTAAAGACAACTAATTTTCTCTTTCAGCACGCAATGGAGGACGAAAACTGCAAACTCTTACGCCGGATAGCAGGGCAGCGTGCGTACAGATGTTAGCGGACCTTTTGATTTCTAGACAAAAGGAAATATTAGAAGCTAATCAATTGGACATGGTAGAAGCCGAGAAAACAGGTCTTTCAAGTGCTTTGCTTAGCAGGCTGTCGTTAACTCCTGCAAAACTAAAAGACCTAGCAATTGGACTGAAGCAAATTGCGGATTCCAGCAGCAACATAGTAGGACGGGTATTGCGAAGAACAAAATTATCCGACGGATTACTCCTTAAGCAAATCACAGTTCCGATTGGAGTTCTACTGGTAATATTTGAATCACGACCCGACACACTACCACAGGTTGTTTCGCTTGCAATTGCGTCGGGTAATGGTTTGCTACTGAAAGGAGGAAAAGAAGCATGGCACAGCAACAGAGCACTGATGAACCTTGTTCGGGAAGCTCTTCGATTAGTGGACGCAGAAAACGCAATATCTTTGGTAACGCACTTTTAATTTTCGACTTCCCATCTGTATCAGTTTCATTATTAGGTTTCTACAAGGGAAGAGGTTAGTGATCTGCTCACTATGGAAAATTACATAGATCTTATTATACCTCGTGGATCTAGTGAATTGGTTCGCACTATAATGTCTCAAAGTCAAAACATTCCGGTTTTGGGACATGCAGATGGTATTTGCCATGTATACGTTGATAAAGATGCAGACTTGCAAAAATCTCTCAAGGTAATACGAGATTCAAAATGCAACTATCCTGCGGCTTGCAATGCGTTGGAAACCCTGTTAATACACGAGGACCTTATGAAAACGCCGTTCTTCAATGACGTTTGTAATATGTTAAAGAAAGAAAGTGTAAAAATATATTCGGGCCCACAACTATCGCAGTTGCTAACATTCGGTCCGCCACAAGCCAAAACATTGAAACACGAATATGGCTGCTTGGAGTGTTGTATAGAAGTAGTTAAGAATTTAGACGAGGCTATACATCATATACATACGTATGGAAGTTCGCACACAGACGTGATTTTAACTGAAAACGGTAATAAACCTGTTTTGTGGCACTGGATGTTTAATGAGTAATTTTGCAGAGGAAACGGCGGACAGCTTTTTAAAAAAAGTTGATAGTGCTTGCGTTTTTCACAATGTAAGTTCAAGATTTTCGGACGGGTATAGATTTGGCTTAGGTGCAGAAGTGGGTATCAGTACCTCAAGGATACACGCTCGTGGTCCTGTGGGCGTCGAAGGTCTGTTGACTACGAAGTGGGTTCTTACAGGAGATGGCCATGCCGTAGCCGATTTTGCAGAAGGTGGGGGATGTAAATGGCTACACGAACAACTGCCTGTTTAGGATATAATAAAGAACTTAACATTGTACATAATTTTTACAGAAAGGCGGCATTAAGTACCGTACAATAAAGCTATGACGAATTTTGTGATACTATAGGTGTAAATATCACTGAACAGTGAACAAGTTGCCTACCATTATTGGTATGCACTGAGAATGACTGTTGGTAGGTATATTCATTTTTTTTCATCAATTGTTCTGTACTACTCTTACATATGGTAATAACCTTTATTTTCCGAAACGGCGAAATCTTCTCTATTTGGTTTGAAACCTAGTCTTCTTCTTCATCTCATTAGTTTTATTCCTCCAAATGTTAAAGTACGTCTTAACAATGTACGTTGCTTGCTACTGTGTAACTACTATCATAACTTGTTCGAGTCGATCACCATACCCATGTCCGTTTTCCTTTCTGTTAGGGACCCGTCTGTAAACCACACGAGTCCTTCAGCTTTGAGGAACGGGAAACCCGAGTTCAGCCATTGCTCCCTATCCAGGAGAATGACTTTATAACACTTTGGTCTTAGGTAGGATAACCCGGATCACATCTTTTCTTGCGAGGAGGGGATCGGATCTGAGGGTTTCTTCGCTCAATGTGCCCTTTCAGGTCAGGCGGGAGTCAATCATGACTCCCAGATATTTAACTGACTTGGTTAGATTCAGTTGACGCCCTCGGAGAGTGAGCCCATCAAGGTCCGCTCTCCTATTCGTAAATGGAACAACCTATGTCTTTTCCGGGTTAACGGAAAGACCATGGCTACTGCACCACCTATTCACCTGTTCAAGAGCCCCCTGCATGAGCTCTTTCACGGTGTTTGGAAACTTCCCAGTTATGACGATCGCGTATCGCTGTGGATACGCTCCCCCCTCGTTCAGGGTGCGGAGGAGCCCGTCTAGTACCAGGCATCACAGCAGTGGAGACAACACCCCGCCCTGCCGACATCCTCTATTGACCGATGAGCTCATCTCCGTCATCTCAATTGAGGATATAATGACTCTGCTTCCGAGCATAGCCCGGATCCATCTTACAATTTATTGACCCATCAATACCAAAGCTTTCAGCAGCCTCACTAATTGAATGGAACGTGATGCACCCTCGATATCTAAAAATGCCTCCTCCATTTTTAGAAGAAACGATGATAGGCTGATGGGCCTGTAGCCTTTCGCGGTTTCGCCATGTCATATTTATCACGACTCGGCTTAGGTAGGTATCCAACTCTTGCTTTCCTCCAGTTTTCGGGGATATACCCTAAAGCTATTTACTTAATCTCAATACATCTACAAATAAGTTGATATTACGGGAAAAAATTCGTACGTATACGAGTAGTAGGAAGTACAAGTCAAACATATAAGGCACGTTTACCTTCCATTAAACGTTGACGCCAAGAAGTGAGCTCAGTTCTCGAATCTAAAAATCTGCAAACAAGAGCAACCCCAAACCACCCAAGCCGCAGAGCTCGGTACACAATTAATTGACCAATGCCTTGCTTTACTCGTAGTAAGCTTCTATCACAGGTACGGTACTTAATCGGACAACCTTTCCAGAAGGAAGTGACAGTCTACAATAACATTCGCATGTCTAACTCGATCAAAACTTAACCAAGATCACAACGATAATAAATAGGTGGTACTGAAGTTAACAAATTATTTGAATGTGATAGCAGATAACCCAGAAGGGGCATATTAATTAATACTCCAACGTGTTGCGGAAGTTGTCTGTTTGTTGAGGATCAAAATCCCGATATCAACTCTGAAGATTTCGTTCCTGACAGCCAATGGCCGCTCATTATCAGCAGGTGGAAAATATGTCAAACGTGTTTATAAGCGTCAGGAACCAAGAAAAGTGATGAGGGCGACACTAGTTGTCGGTGAACAATGCACCGGAACCAGATGTGGTACCAACAACACTAGTAAAGACGCAGAAACAAGAGCCGAGATATAGACGAAGATTATAAATGATTGTTTGAGTAGGGGAGAACACCCAGCCAGAGCTGGGTCGAGCGTTCTAAAAAACCGCTCCAGCGACGAGCGCTCTAATGACTAATTGTCTCAAAAATGCTCGCGAGCTGTTTTGTAAAGCCACAGAAGTGACAGAACGTATATCTGTGGTAAAGCGAAACCGCTTGCGAGCGGAGCGGTGTAAAAATAAAAAATCAAGCTCTTGTGTATTTACCCCCACAAATGCACTATTGGTTTTTTCACTTATTCGTTTTTTAACAAAGTATCGCATTATGCGTTTCCATATGACTACTTAATTTGATATTTGTCAATAATTGATTGATTTGGTGAATTTCTTGTTCGTTAAATTGTTCTGCTGAATGCACTCGAGGTTTATGTATTTAAACCGAGTAAATTTGTGTTGTTGCAATTTAAATCTGTTTCCTTTTAGCAATTGGACTCGAAAAACTGTTAACCTAAAAATGCTCCACCTACTAATTGCCAGGCAACAGATTTTCATGACTTAAACAACCCAAATTTACTCGGTAAAATACAAACCTCTTGTGCAATTATTATAAGTGAGTAATGAATTATGTATCTGCGAGACAGTGGTGCATAAAACTAAGAGGAGAGGGATCGTTATATTTCATTTCGATTGTGGAATGTTATGTTGAAGGTGTTTTTAAGAGTAAATACCTACCCAAACCAATCGGAGTGAAAATAATTGGATCTGCCGATGACCTAACAATGTGTTTATCAGTAATCACCTAGAAGGAGCAATCCAAACTTTACAGACACCAATGAGAACGATAAGGGAGTGGATGGGACAAAGAATGCCAGATCAAATCAAAAATCAAACTGACCATACTCATAGGAAAAAGGAGGTTAGGGAAAGTAGACATCGATCTATTTGTACAGAGAACCGTCGCGCAAAAATGTATCAAAATACTGGGGTTCTTAATAAATAGATTTTATTGAGCACGTCAGGATAGTATAGGCTGTGGTCATTGAATAAGCTTAATTTTTTATTTAATGCCACAACATTGAGCGCTTAAAAATATAAACAGAGAAAGGGGGCCTCAAAGAGGCGCTAGTGTGATTCAGTCAATTTATCTGCATGAGGCGGAAGTGTGAGGAGATGCAGTAAAGTGGAGAGTCACTGCTAAATAAAGTCCAAAGGCTGCTTGCGTTGAACTACAGGAAATATTAGTGGTGGTAGGCTACCGGCCCATATAATAGTAATGGCCAGATCCAAAGGACGGAATCAGAAGAAGGTGATGAAGAGGTGTCAGGAAGAATGGAAGCCACAAAAATCATGGACAAGGATACTGATCAAAGACGTAAAATTATTGTTAGGGAGAGACCACGGAGAAGTAAATTTTTATCTAGCCCAGTTCCTGACAGGTCATAACAACAACAGCAGCTGCTTGTACGGAATACAGAGGAACGCCAATGAAGATTGTGAGGATTGTGGGCTTAGGGATGGTAAAAACCATGCGGTGTTCGAATTTGTGAGGTAGAGATCTCAAAGAGAAACACTGAAGGTATAATTTGGACAAATGGACAAGCGATTACCCATGGTAACATCATCGAAAGTATGTACGGGTACGAGGAACGGACATGACTGCAAAAAATTCCAGTACGTTACAATGTAAGGAGTATGGAGGGACGGCAGCCTCCACCGGCAGTATGCCGTAGCAATTCTGGATGGAACGAACAGCGAAACTGGAGGGATGTTTTAGTGGGTAACCATAATACGGAAGTCCCACACCATTAATGAGTGGTGCTTATAAAACTTTTCACCTCCGACAGAAGAAAAATAAATAAATAATCATAGGGATTATTTATTTATTTTTATAAAATTAGACACCCACACTTTTTATAACAATTTATTAGATTCTAAACATAAATAATAATAATCGTTATACATATAGTATCAACAGTTAATATTATATACATATATGTAAAAGGTGGTTTTAAATGATTCGCACAAGTTTCATTTTTCAAAAGTGGTTTTCTTGTTATAGATGCAATACACATCTCCAAAACACCCTTAGTCGGTTGCAAAAATTATCTGTAATTATCATTTAAAATCACAGTAGTATAAAACGTAAGGAGGAATATATCGAGTTAAATCAACGAGTTCAAGATAGGTGGGGGTCGTTTTCGAAAAAGGTGATTCCAAGCACACATTTGAAATTCCATAAATGTAGGCTTAAATAACAATGTATTATCTTAAATTTGGAAACTTGTAACTGCACAAAATTTACTTGTAGGTTGTCTCGGTTTAATCAGTAGACGAAGCCTTAATTCTAACGTTGCGTAATGTGGTAATGTACGTCAGTAATGTTTAAAACATTCTCTTAGAAGCAATTGGAAGATATTAATTAAATTATACCTAACCTTTGAATATTCAAAGACCTAACTTAATTTATGGTTGGCGGGTTAAATATCTCTTCGGTATTGCACACTATTTTAATAGACGCGCTTTTCGTTTTACAAATATTTAATGGGATTGTCCTATGTATTTCTTTAGGCCACTTTTATAGAATGGCAAAAGACGACCTCACTACGGTTTTTATAAACGACGTATCAAAGAGATTAAATCGATAGTAACTTCATATGAGACATTTTTTCTAAATGGTATAGGTTTCTTTGTACGATGTGTCAAAGATTCTCATTTATCTATATTATATTAGGGAGAACAAAAATTGTGTATAAACGAAATAGGAAATTACAGGATTTTTCCAATTTGAGGAACTTGGGATATGAAAAATTGTATCGACTTGTTTCGTGAGTGACAAAATTAAATTATTGAAAATAAAGGTCATAATAGGTACTAATACAGCATCAAAGCCATAAATTCAATCTCTGATTTGCGGACCTACTACCTTAGTTATTTGAATACGTTTTTTAATACACATTTTTAAAACGAAAGTTTATAATGGAAAGTTTACAAAAAAAAGTTTCAAAGTTTGTAATTCGCTACGATTTCGATGGTATGGAACAAAAATAAACAAAGATTTTGTAATAAGTGCAGAGACTAACTAAAGTTTACAACCCTAACAGAGGTACGATTCCCAAATAGTTTACAAAAAATGCTCAAGCACTTATTATTGTTTTGAGTGGGGCCCAATTTAATTTCATTGTCAAGTAAATTTGAAGTATGAATGTTGTGTGTAACAGAAATACCCAATTACGTTTTAAACATTGATAATAAGGATTCTAAAGAACTTTGGTCACATATTACATTCACCTGTGAGTGTTTTTTAAAATCTTTTTCCAAAAAGATCATCCGATACTGTTTGGGTACCTACCTTCGATTATTATATATTTATCAATGGCACTGATTCCACATAAAAACGCTGTATTATGGTATAAGGAATGCCTGGTCAAGCCTTATTCAATCTATTATATTTGCGTACCTATATTGACAACATAATTTCGTTAAATAAATAAAGAAATAGAATTAAATACTATACAATTCTTAAAGAAATAAACACAACGTAAATAATTATAATACACACATCGCTGTCGGTTTGGTTACAATAAGTTTAGCATGGAAAGAGATGTGTATACTGTATAGCAGAAATTGTTTGCATTTGACAGACTGGATTAGGCACAAGTCACAACATACAGACAGAAATGAGTAAATAGGTAAACCATTCTTCCTGATGAACCACAATTGGAATGCGTTTCATCAACGAACATCAGCGAACAACTGAACAATAAAATAAGTACAAAGACAACCCTATTTATACTATTTACAAGTGAAAGTTTACGATAAAGCTCTGATTGCCCCAAAGTGCCTCTTATATCATTATTCATAATAAAGCTTTTGTTTGTACGAAACTCTAAACTTTCATAACAGTCTAAGTCACTTTTACTTAGACAAATATCATTAACTATATGACTGTTTTCAAACATATCTGTGGCAAGGCAAAATGAAACTATTAGAAACAATTTAGGTGGTGGTGTAATAACTAGAGATTCGATAAAACGATAATTCGAAATTAGGATGTCATTGTAGTAGGTATGAATATGCACTAGTGAGTTACCATGACTGTTAAAGTTTGGCCGCCCATCGAATATTGTTTATTGGGGTCCTCTGATCAAATTTGGAAGGGAGGCCGGTAGATCCACCGGTAACTTCCGGTTTGATGACGTCATAAAGTGCGCAATTTCGCTAATTCGGAAAAATGCTTCTATCTCAGTAACCACTTGTCTGATTTTCATGATTTTGGGCTCATTGGAAAGATATTAAAATAAGACAGAACTTTTATGAGAAATGCAAATCGCGTTTCGCGAACGGTTTTCGCGAAATTTGCTAAAATTGGAAAAATTCGCGAATTACTTTTTTTCTTTATGACACAGGTAAAACGTTATTAAAACTTATAACTTACAAATAAACATTTTTTATAACCTGTTTCACCTACGGTTTTTCGCAAAATTTGAAAAAAATTCCTTTTTTATTTGGATACTTGTAAATCACAAAAAACATTTTTGGAATTTGTTTCTTTCTCTTATAAACCTAATAATTCCGGCCAATAAAAATTGCTTCCATTATACTTCCGAGATGTAATCCGTTTTTATAGTACATCAGCCACCCTTATTTTATGTATATAATGTTTAAAAAGTGGACTGCTAATAAAATAATATGCAAGAAAATACAGTAATAAGGAAATATTAATGTAGATTAGAAATATTGAAACAATAAGTTCTGTCCAAATAGTAAATTGTATCTCATAGGTCCCTTATTCTCTTACCCTATTGCATCACAACAGTGTAATATTTTTTTCTCCAACCACCGGAATAAGACGCTATTTTGTCACACTTCTTGGTACAAAAAATGGGCGATTTTGAGAGTCGTCGGTATCACCATGGAAACTGTCCAAAAAGTAGGTACTTTTCGGACTAGTTCAAAAAATAAAAATTTGATTGCTTGGTGGTTTGTTGTCCATATGGGAAGAAGCCTTCGATCTTTCTTTTGCCAGCCATATTCAAGTGCACCTGGATCTGGCGCGCTAATTTCTGCTTTGAAAGCCAATACCCAAATGCTTGCCTATTAGATTGCTCGTCTGCAGTGTAGAAGTAGTGCATTTTTGGTCGGAGGAATCATTTCTGATTTCTGGTTTCGATGGTAAAATAGGCATTAATTTATGTAGTTTCTCCCTCGGTCAATGCATGTAGGTATCAGATGCAAGACGATTTTCGTATCAGCCTCCTCGTGGTCAATCGTATCTAGCATCTCTTTCCCAGGTCCGACCTACTTGACAAATTCGCCATGTGTGATGTATAGACCACCATTCGGAAGATGAAAGCTTGAAATCGCTATTTCGTTTAAATACTTAAACAACTCAATTTTGAAGGCATAGACATGTAGACCAACACTTCGGAATTCGAACATTTGGGCCAATCTTTAGTCGAACACCGCTGCCATGGTCGTTTCTTGTCTCTTCTTTAATAGAATATTCCTAGTATGAGTCCCACACTATGTGTAGTCTGCTTGCTTTCCTCAGCTCATTGTCAATGTATTTTAAAAAACATCTGTTACCGTATTCCTCAAAAGTTGAAGCACCCCGAGAAAGCAGAGCAGAGTGAATGAGAGCACCACCATCTACAATAACTGCATCGTACAGAGAAGGAAGATCTGTCACATCATCGAGAGGCTGTATAGCAATAACCTCTTTATGTGGGCAATCTAGAATATCTGACTTCTTTAGGGGTACATTTTTTCAGAAGAACTAGGGAAGGGATAAATTCTTGCACTTCATGTGCGAAAAACTCATCGATGTATCCTTTCTTTGACTGTGTGGCTACGTACATCTTGCCTAGAACAGACGCAGTTTCTCTTAACATTCCAATTTTTTGTGGTTGTGTTCTCTTCCGCTTTGGTGCTTGGAACAGATGGAAGATATTTTTCTTTATAGAAACATCAATTACTTCAGCCCCATCGATATGACCTCCTTTACGTAAGTTTTGTATTGAATCATCCCATAAATTGAGAAAGAAGGGATGTTGGTAATGTTTTTAAATCCCAAACGTGAATGGGAATTGGTTTAAAAGAGAAAGAAGCAGGTTATAATAATGTTTTGCGTAAGTTAAAAATAAGTATTAATAACGTTTTACCTCTGAAAAGAATAATTCGTGAATTTTTCAAATTTTAGCAAATTTCGCGAAAACCGTTCGCGGAACGCGATTTGCACTTCTCATAAAAGTTCTGTCTTATTTTAGTATCTTTCCAATGAGCCCAAGATCATGAAAATCCTACAAGTGGTTACTGAGATAGAAGCGTTTTTCCGAATTAGCCAAATTGCGAACTTTATGACGTCATCAAACCGGAAGTTACCGGTGCATCCACCGGCCTCCCTTCCAAATTTGGTTAGAGGACCCCAATAAACAATATTCGATGGGCGGCCAAACTTTAACAGCCCTGGTAACTCACTTGGGTTTTTAACATTGTATTCATACCTACTATTGGGGTCAGTGACAAAAGGAATGTAAAGAAATTTGTGCTAAATGCATTTTACTACTGTTCAGGTGATTCTCAATTTGAATTCTACATCAAATGTTTTGCTAAATTTACAGAAACCAAACCATTTTGTATTTAATATTGTCTCATAAGTACAAACCGAAAATTGCGAACTACAACATTAAATAGCACAGTCTTACATTGATTAATAATATACAGATATGTCTAAATTATACTTCTCAACATACCAACTATTTATATCAAAACTACTTAGTGTACATAGCTATCTGATCGAGATCTTTCATACTATAGCTTACGGTGTAATGTGCAACCATTACGAAATTACGATTCACAGCAAATATAGGCTAGATTTAATCTAACTTCTACATCAAAAATTGGCTATCTCTGTAGTTATATTTACGTAACCCGGACGCTTATTTAGGATATAACTTGTATAACTATCTACTTATAGGATTCATAAAAAATCTAAATATTTTATTTATATATCTCTTGATTTATTTTGCAATGAGCATTTTTAAAGCTTTAAATATGCACATTATTCTTTATAATAGTTCTGGGTCGCCTTTTGAAATGGTTGTCTATACAAGCATGCTTCAAATGAAGTATCTTTTAATCATCGCAGTTGCGAAGTGAAATGGTAGAGAAACATTTATACTAACAAAACTAATTGTCAGGTAAACTCCACACTCGACTTTCCGACTATGTTTACCCCTGGAGCCTTTATTTTGAATCCGACGCAAAAAGTCTATGAAACGTTTTTGTAGAGCTCATCAAGACACATTTTTTGTATTTAACATTTTCTGCTATGGTACTTAAGTACTTAGAGAAAAATGCAAATTGAAAAATATAAAAAAAGAAATAGCAAGTAGGACTGTGAAGCAGCTATAATGATGCGGTATAAGTCGCAACCTAATAAATTGTTTTAACGGAGGCTCAGTAGGAACTGCAAATTGAGGAAAGTGCATTCCACTAGCGGCAGTGAGTGAAATAATACGATTACACCCCAATTCAACAGAACTTGGTGGGTAGTGGCAGACGATTGGTCAATCCACGCCCATATTCGTAGAGTTTAGCGCAGACTGATTGATTTCAGTGAGGGGCTAAAATATGGAACAAATTCGTTTAAAAATCAGGTGTTCGGTTAAAAAAAAATCTCGCGCACGTCTTTCATAATTTTTTCTTGCGAATTTTTTGCACTAAAGAGAAAATATACAGGGTGCAAAGTAAATTTTGATACCAAAGTTCATTTTTTAAATGGAACAGTATTTTCTAAAATCCATTTTCGAATTATGTCAATTTCTACGCATAATAAAAATAATTAGAAAATGGAAAATGGATTTTAAAAATACTGCTTCATTTAAACTTTGGTATGATACTTTTTTACGCACCCTGTATATTTTCTCTATAGTGCAAAAAAAGATGACAGACGTGTGTGAGCATTTTTTTAAACCCAACACCTGATTTTTAAATGAATTTGTTCCATATTTTAGCCGCTCACTATTTTCATGGAGAATGTTATGCTCCTATATTTTGGAAGGAGTTGCAACTGTGATTTTTAAAAAAATTTTTAAGTTGGTAACGATGCAGTAATACAAAACGATCGGGTTTCCATCTCCTTAGTTTAATTGCAAGTTTATAGCAGAAGTCGATTTCATTCTTGGACGGACAATTTAACAAGCGATCTTATTTCACGAATTAATGTATGTTAATACCAACGTAAGAGAATTAATTTAGAATAATGCCAAAAATGGGTGGCGAATTACAACAGGGTACCCAGAAATATTGTAACCTTATTTAAAGCAGCTTTTGAGCGTATTGTCAATTTAGACAACGAGATGTGTAAGTATATCGTAACAATATAATTAAATTAAACCTATGATTAGAATGCTGCAGTCAAAAGCTATGGTAGATTCAAAGGCAATTGAAAACGTCCAAACAAAAATTGTTTACCATAATGTTGCTCAGCTGCCCTTTTAGTTCATAAGTTTAATATCACTAACATTATTTAAAATACATTTATCTAATTGATTAACAACAATTTTTATAAAAATCTTGGTACAAATATAAAACAATCGGTGTAGAACAAATAGATCTAGACTACAGTCTATCAATAATAAACATACCCAGGGCGGTATTTTAGAAGTGAGTATTAATACCACTTAATTTTTTAAGTTTATTAATAGTAGATACGTTAACATTTCCTTTTTGTACAATTCCAAAATAGTGGTACCTATTAACAAAAAACGAGGTGATATGCAAACCGCATCCTTAAGAAATCGCATTCGTTCCACACCGTAGTTTCACCTCTAATAAATATATTCTTAGAAAGTTATCACTTCATTTTTTTTGAGAACTCGATACTTTATATAAGTATATTATATAAGAAGTCATTGGTCGATGAAAAAAGTGTCTTTGGCGCCGGCGGCCGTTCAACTCCAAGAGGCTGGTGGACGAACGCCGACGGGCGATCGTCAGATAGATGAATCGAATACATTCATTGAAGAAGATATATCCTCGTCCTTTTGACAGCATTCCAAAAATTCGTCCAGTGTTACCACCCCGTCTCTATTTTTATCCATTTTCTAAAATAAAGAAAATTTCAGTGAACTTATCGTGTTTTCTATTAGAGAACAGTTCAGATTTTTTAAGCAACGTAACCGACAACTTGGAAGTAGTGGAGTGGGTGCTCTACTATGTCGCTGACGGTCCCTAGGACAGGTTCCGACATTGATGGTTGCAAGTGTGTAGTGACTTGTTGGAGTAGGCTTGGATAAATAAAATATAAAAAAATGTTAAAAGAAATAGAAATTTTGAATTCGGTCGAGCAGCTTTTCCAAAATTCTCATTTTTCATGTTCTAATTTCGGATCATATCGAAAGATATTTTGTCATCACGAGTTTAATGGTGGCAAAAGGGTTATGGGTCTTAGAAGTAGATGTGGCCACGATTATACTAAAAGTTTGAACAACTGTCCCGAGCGACATCCCACTCATAGACGTGAAAATAGTGCAGCTTCCTTTACGACCGCGCTTGCGAAGGGGTTTAATGGGCGTTGTATAGGAGTGGTTGGTTTTCTCGACGAAAGGAGTTAGTGCTGAGATGTGATACGGGCCCAATGGTATACCGGTGTCTTGATTGATGTTATTTGGAACGTGTAAGGGAATACATGATCCACAATCACGCAAGACCCGTCTCGTTTGGGGGCAAACTTGGCGATGTACGCGTTTTTTTTGCGTTACTGAGAATATGTGTTTTTACAAGTACTTTATATCCGATCTGGTAATTTGGACCAGGCCCGAGATCCGCATTCCTGGTCTGCAGTAGCGATGACTGATCTTCTGTAGCGTTTTTTCTACCCCATAATGATGAGCGAGAGAAGAGTGGTGGTACTCATGAAGGATTTTTCGAACCTGTGACGTCCGAACGATTTGTTGAGTCTCTTCGTTTTCACTATCGGGAGAAGAACGGAAAAAATGTCACTAATCATTACATATCCGCGTTCTGAGCAATTAGCAGCCTTGACAGGGTCACCAGTAGCCCATAAGGCCTTTGCAATGTTTACCAAATCTGAATCTTCTAATTTTAATTCCCTAATTCTGCCACCATCTGCCACTGGAAGATCCACCATCGTGGTACACATATTATATCGGTAACTCAATTTTCTGCACGCGGAGCGCGGGATAATGTATCAGCGATCGCGTTGTACTTTCCGGGGGTGTACTCTATGCCAAGATCGTAGGTCTGCAGCGACAAAAATCAACGTGCCAATCGGCCAGTTAGCAACGTGGTGGTCGTTTACAATCTTGATTTTTCAAGTATCCGCGAAACTTCTCACACGCCCATACCATCACACATTCCGCATACTCGATAGGTTTTTTATTTGGTGACTTCCCCTGGAGTAAATCAACCTCGACAGCAAAGAAACTTGCATCGGTTCTTACTATAAAAGGCGTTTAGTGGTTTGCCTGTCTCAATATGGAAGTGCCTCAACCCAAACAGCATTCGCTTAAAACGAAAATTTCCGAAAGGTGACGTGAAAGCCGTCTTATCGCGGTCTTCTTTCAAAATCCAAAACCATGGGTACAGCAAATGGAGATTCGCATGATTCGATGTGCCTGCTGCTTCTAAAATCATCATTTTCCAGGTAACTGTATGCCGGGTGGTAGAGCAATCGTCGTCTCCTCGGTTAGTTTACCAGCATGCTCTGCATATGGGGTGATCTCGAGTCTTTCCGCAAAGACATCCGCAAATTCATAAATGATGCGACCACGTTCGATAGTGTTCAGCGTCTCACCTCTGGTGTTCCGAGTGACAGATCAGATTTTTGTACCGCGTCCACACAGATAGAATGCGAAGCTTCCTCCGAAAAAAACCCGCACTGGTTTCCTGGGCCATCTCAAAAGTACCAGTTGTTTTGTGAAGGGTCTAATATTATGCTCGCATTTCGAATGAAATCTACACCCGACAACGCGCAACTGTTCGTGAGGTCGAGGATTGCGAGAAGGACGTTAATATCTTCCGTGACTGAAGTTCAGTCGTTACGCGGAACTGCTTTGCGTTGACATTTCACATTACGTTCATTCCCATCAGCAAGTTTGATTGTCAAATGTTCATCCTCATAGAGCCCCGCAAGGGACATTAAAAGTTTGTACCTGATTTGATTTGGCTGATGCAAACGGATTTTGATTGAAAAATGAAGCGCGTGGTGTCATGGTGTCTAATACTCGTATACGAAAGTTAACAGCAATCATTACCGAAATGATGATTTCGTCAGTACAAATTTTTATGTAAGCCAACAATTGTACCTACTTACCTACGGCTATCCGCATTTCGGTGTTGTTGTAGTTTTTTTAGTTTTTCACTTAGTACCTTTGAGGTTCATCATTCATTTAACATTAGTTATCTGTTAATGTGAAAGCACTATAATTGGGCCCCAATTATAACCGATGCGTTTTTAATAATGTTTATTTTCTACACATTGAATTATTTGATATGAAAAATCATGCATCACAACAGAATAAACAAAAAACAAAACTTATGTAGCTTATTAGTTGTCTGTGGAGTTACAGAGAAACATTACAGCACGCTAAAAAACGTCTTGATATTCTTGATATGAAAGGCATTGGTAATTATTTTAGGTGGCGAGAAATCACGAGCGTCGAGGAAAATATCAATTCTATAGTGAAAATCATCTGAAAAGGTTTATAACTAACTCCACATGAAATAGTATGGACGAAACGTAATAGTAGTAGGACGTTGTCATTGCACTCAACACAAATGGCCAAATGGCGTAGGGCTAAAATTGATTTGCGCCTGCTCACAACTTTTCGGAAAGGCAGTGTATATTCGAAAATACTCGCGATTTCCATCATAAAATCTTTTTTCTCCAACCACCTGAATAAGACGCTATTTTGTCACACTTTTTGGTACAAAAAATGGGCGATTTCGGGAGTCATCGGTATCACCATAATAACTGTCCAAAAAGTAGATACTTTTCGGACTAGTCCATAAAGTAATTTGACCTTGAAGACGAATGTTAACCAATCACAAAATTACAAATAGTTGTCATGTACTTGTCATTCACAACATGACTTGGGATGTCTCTTTAACAAAAACTGTAAACATGTCTATTTTTATATTAATCCACTCGTCGTCCACCAACACCCCTCGTCGTCCCGAAAATGCGCATTTTTCGTACTTATGAAACAAATAACTATTTTATTCTCCGCCAATTTTACGAAATACAAATTTTGGGACCTTTGGAAACGTAGTTCCCAAACTAAACAATTTGGATCTTTGGCTTATTAAAAAAATGTAAACATTCGCTAATTTTCTGTAACGTGTCATCTACGTTGTCTTGACAGAGCTATTTCGGTGGTACGAGTGTTCTATTGCAAAAATTTATTGCGCTAAGAGAAAAGTAACATCTCAAAGAAGCGGATGATGTTACAGGACTCGCGATACATAAATGAGACATGAAATAACATTTGTTAAAATATAGAACACTAAATGGAGAAAAAATATTGTGGTAATGTGTGTGAATACTTACGCTAAATAACATGTCTACTTTTTCTTTAACGGTATCGTCTTCTATACAGGGTTCGGAAACCTTGCCCATAAGATCATACACGGCGGTCACGATGTCGGTCATTTCGTCTCTAGTAATACAACCATCCCTATTGATATCATATAAGTTGAAGGCCCATCTGATTTTCTCGTCCAAAGATCCTCTTGATAAAACGGAAAGACTTTGTACAAAATTCTGAAAAAAAAACGGAGATTAGGCAGTGACTTTTCTTCATGAAATATGAACAATTGGGGGGATTATTTGTGCAGCGGGATATGCATATCAATGCGGCGATTCGCATGCGTTATACTTGCATATCCCGTGTCCGTCCCGCTCCCGTTCGCGCATTCCCGCGTTGGTTTGAGTGGATCTTTATCGAGTTCTCCCGCTTGCGTTTTACAAGCAACACAGCCAAGTTCTATGATAAATCCTTTTGTTTCACAACGATAACCAGTAGCAATGTTGTGTCAGGGCATTTCGAAGTCACATGTCCTAATTTTGGGCAATTCCAGCATGAAAACGTCGTAAATTCCCTTGGCAAAGTACATACAGAAATAATGACGATAAGACCTATTTTACCCAAATAAAATGTAAGTAATTTTTCTTTAGTTATGGTGACGGGTTCTCGTTCAGATGTTTGGTGAGTGAGTGCAAACATGCTTTTTTATGATCGCAAAATAAATATCCATACGCCCCGATGGACCTTGAATTTGGGACTTGATATTTTAAAGATATTATGATACTGCGGATGAAAAAATGTTTCTCGTGTTCTTCCCAAGAATGATCGGGCGATCACAAAATGAATTTACGCCATTTAAGGTATCAGCGGACCCATACCCACAAAACTTTTATCTCCATGTAAAAACAGGAGTCGCCCGAACCAAAAGAGATTTAGGCGTGGAAGCTCCAACTTTCTTGAGGTACCTATTTACTCATTGTATAATGAGACTTGAGATTTGTCGAAGACTGTCAATTTGGCATTTGAATAGCTCGTTAAATTGAAGTGCTTTCAAGTAAAGGATATTGCGAAGACATTCGATGTATTTACATATCGCAAATGTTGAATAAAATCCTACTTAACGAGTATATTAAACTAAGGGACCTGGAAATAACTTTCAAAAATAGAATGCCGGAAAAATGAAATGACACAACGTAAGAAGTAAGGTCCTGACGGTAACATCACAGATTTGAGTGTTTAAATCTGTGGTAACATCTAGGAAGTCTCAATCTAGGTCACGGATTATTATACACCATGGTCTACTCTAGGTCTTTGAATTTTTATATTCAAAGTCTAGGTGAAGTCGAGTGACAGTGGGAGTGTGTTTATTTAAGTTATCGCAGGATCTAAATTTCAACTAAAAGAAGATATAAATATGGGCATGCCATAAATTACTCTGGTGAACTACCCTTGAAGTATCAAGTAAGTGATGCATTTCATACCGATTTTGCATCTAGTTTTACAAATATTTTGAAAACCATGAAAATATATATCAGTTAAATTGTCAGTGCTCTGACATCTACGGTCAAATTTATATTTATTACTAAAAAATAATACAATGAGTATTTGCCGTTAGGAAAGACTACTGGCTATCGGCACCAAATTCATCTAACAATCGAAAAATGCAACTTTGCCCATAGCCCAAAAACAAAAGATTGTAGGCCAGTTTGTTTTTCAACATCGAGTTTATCTCAAAAAAATTCATTCAGACTGCGAGGTCAATTTTTCTTATCACTTACAGTTTAACAGTTAACTGCCCATACCCAGTAGTTTATTGTTAACGTTTATTACTAAAGCTTTGATTTTTCAGATGTTGGCCCTTCGGTTGAAAGTTGTAATTACACATTTTATACGGGGTGTCAATTTTAAAACTTGCAGTCGACCATCTTTCCAAACTAAAGAAGATATTATGAGTGACAACCCCCCACATCCCTTAACCCCCAGCCCCCCTCTTCAAAAATACTAAATGGCAACCCCATACTTGTGACACATCGTCGGAAAGCTACAGAAAAATGCTTTCCAGTGGTACCAATAAAGTCAATATTCATTAAGACAATTTCACAAAAATTTAATAATTAGCAAAAAAAAACCCTGAATGTTGACTTTGAGGGATTTATGGCAAATTGGCCAAGAACTTCAGCCTGAGCTGCTTCATTAAGCAATCTTGGTTGCTTTCTTTTTTTATTGATAACAGATCCCGCTTCTTCGAATTTAGTGACCAAATCTTGAAGGCATGGCTTACATTTCTCCCGGAATGTCTCTCATTAAACGTTCTAGCTGTTCTAAAAGATGTTTCGGAGTCATAAATGAATATTATTTCCACACATTCAGCTGTACTGTAAGTCAATAAAAAAAGAAAGCTACCAAGATTGCTTAATGAAGCAGCTCAGGTTGAAGTTCTTGCCCAATTTGCCATATAAATCTCTCAATGTAAACATTTAGTTTTTTGGATAATTATTAAATTTTTGTTCAATTGTCTTAATGAATATTGACTTTATTGGTACCACTGGAAAGCATTTTTCAGTACCTAGCTTTCCAACGATGTGTCACAAGGAGGTTGTCACTCATAACGTCATTCTGAATCCCCCTCGATACCCCCGAAACGGTTTTGCGCGATTTTCAATATCCTCTTTAGTTTGGAAAAAATGGCCGACTGCAAGTTTTAAAATTGACACCATATACATAATATGTATAAAGAACGTGTTCTAGAAAACGGTATCATTACTAATAATTAGCTCACCCCCTTGTAACCTAACACAAAGCAGAGGAGATAAGGGAAATGACGATCCACAACGGTAGAGGTCGTATAAGTTGTGTTTTATCTCTTTTAAAGATTCGAAGCGCAATTGGTAACGTTTGAACATGAACCCTTAAAAATGTCAATGAGATTTGCCTCTTGTTACATTACTGGGTTTCATAAACCGTGACTTTCCTAGTCCTACGTGACGCCTAGCAACCAGTGCACGACCTCGAGGGAGACACCAACGAGGTTTTTCGCTTTTTCACAGTTATCAGTCCTTTGACGACACGATACGATGGTGTTTCATTCCTCGTAGTTATTGAAGAGCCATGTCAGTTGGAGACTGTGGAAAGAAGAAAAAAAGCGAAACACCAAAAGAAAAAGAGTAACAACAGTTGTACATTTTCCCAGAATATAAAAAACTAACGACAACGCGTTCTTTCATGCGCTGAATTCGTTATTACCTACTTTTGCATTTTTAATGAATGCACAAATGCAACAAGATAGTTCGTGCTGCAAGGATAGGTACTTAAACGTTATTCATAACCAAAATTTTTAAACGTACAGTACCTACCAGTTTATAATATGTGTATAAAATACTTATATTTCTGGAAATAACATAATCCCTGCAATTGGCCAAGAAATCGTTAGTTCTATAGAGCCATGAAACATTTTCCCATTGGTCACAGTTCATTAAGTTTGAATCTTTCAGTGAAGTCGGTGAAGCAAAAAAAGTATCCGAAATTTAAAACAAAAGGTCATTCTATACATAGAATGGCATAGTACAAGCTACAAAAGAGTCAGTCGTCCTATTCTCAGAAACGATAACAATTGAGAACGAAATAATGTTACTTTATATTTACAAGGGAAACGTAGGATGTTGTTTTGAAAAGTATGGTGATCATTTTCTAGTTGTTTGAGTACCTATCCAGCCAGCCTTGCAATAGCTGTACCAAATTATTCATAGCCTAGTCGCAATTCTCGCATGTACACGCAATGTACAGGGTGTAAATCGAAAAGTGGAACATAGGCGTTTAACATTGGAAATTACCTTTTCTTTGCGCAAACGTTTCCTAATTATTTTACGCAAAAATACTTCAAATAAAAATTATAGAGATATAAATTCTGCATCTAAATCATCATCATAAACGATTATTCTACCTCTTCTTGTACGCGAAAAAATTAATTATAAAGATTCTGTTCTGACGAGTTTTTAGTGTAAGTAGCAATGGACTATGATAATAGTACATTATACCGGGTGGTGCCTAGCGCGACGCAGCATAGGGATTTCAATGGTAATTTCTTTATAGTCAATTACTAGCTCCCCTAATTATTTTAGAGCAAAAGTCTAAATACGTTTTTTTAGAGAAAAAAATACTGCATCTGTTCATACAATTACCATAGTGTAAGACTTTACACTAAGCTATTACTTATAATTTTCCGTTTTTCAAAACCGTAGAAATCGACAAAATAAAAAGGTTCATTTTACAATAAATCAAATATGCCTTGGAATTACCTAAAAAAACAGCTATCACGTTTCATTATTTGCCTTTGACGTATATTAAATTTATCTGGAAATTTATACTTGTTTATAACAAGTAAGTTAAAGAACTGCAAGTGCAATAACATTCAAAATGTCCGTGTCAAAACCATTAGGAAAACGACAATCCATTCAACGTTTTGGCTGCGCAGTAGCGGAAAATCCGAATATAAGTTTAGGAACAAATCTTCTTCAAATCAGTTTTTTTTCTTCGATTATGTAGGTACTCTGATTACGGAAAATGATAAACAAATAGTATCTGATGCAGATGCAGCATACATTCTCTAAATAGTTATTTGTATCACAAGTCCAGAAAATGGATGTTTGCGAGTGTGAGTAAGGTTGCAGGCCGAAGCGGAGCTGAGGCCTGCAATACGAATACTCGCAAAACATTTTTATGGACGTGTAATACACAACATTTTTTGTGTCGAAGTAAAAAATTTGAGGGAACAACGTTCATTTTAAAATTTATATTTCTACCTCGTATAATATTATAAGCCGTCATACTTGCATTCAAATTTCCAATATTTCGATGTTATGTTGGTAGCACAGACAGTTGGCAGTTGGTAGCACAAGCATGTCAATTCACAAATCACAACCGATATTTACCAGTGTTTATTACACATTAATTGTGATTAAATGAATAAACAAAGCATTTACGTTAATTTAATTATTATTACAAATTTCTAAAACGCTTAGCCCAGTCTTAAGAAGTTCATAACATTTAAAAGAAGCTGCGCTAAAACTAATAAGTAGTAAGTTGATTTCAATGGGAAACATAACCTTGAAATTTATTTCAATTTCAGCTAGTGCTTACGGCTTACACCTATTTTGGGAATTGGGTTGCAATGTTTTCATTTGCAAATTGATTTATCATATTAATTGCATTACATATAAGAATGATAACAAGTTTGTTT